TCTCTTTTGTTACACTTGATGGGTGTTTGGTGGAGGGCAAGGGGAACCATGGGGCAGGGTCCAGGATGCTCAGATTATGGCCACCAGACCTCCCCTTTCATGATGTGACCGTGATGTATGAGTGATGTAGTTGGGGGGGGGGGAGTAACATTGGGATGAGCAGCTAATAAAAGTTTGGGTTCTCTTTTGTTCAGGGCTTCCATCTTGTTTCACCTGGTGGCAGGTGGGAGTCCTGTCGCGACAGTCTTCAATCAAGACCAAGCCTACTGGCTGCTGTTTGGCTCTGGTATTCCTGGCTGGTGTCCTTGTTTTTTGTCCAAGGGAGCCCTCGGATTTCTCCATTAACACTGGGCTAGGTGAGACGTTAGCCTGATCCAGCAGAATATTCTTATATTCTCCAGGAAGTGATATAGGAAAAGATGGGGTGATTGGCTTTTGCTGCCCAACTCCCCAAGGGGGGGGGAGTCCCCTAAGTCCATGATCGGTCCGAGATTAATGGATGGAGGTGGGAGGCGGGAAAAGCAAGGCAGGTCTTCGTTTTTCTGTTGCAACAGAATTCCCTCCCCTCCTTGCAAGGAGGCAAGATAGACCTCGAATCAAGAAGAAACATCTCTTTTAAGGGTTTGCATTTTGGCAAGGGGAAAAAGGACCCCCCCTTCTCCACAAACAGTCAGAAATTTCATCACACAGAAAGCGGGGTTGCTGTGGCTCAGGCAGGCCAAGGTGTGATATTCCTGAATATTTAGCAAGTTTTACATAGTTCTAGTCTAAACCAGTGTTTTTCAACCACTGTTGTGTGCCGCGAGATGTTGCCTGGTGTGCCGTGGGAAAAATTGAAAAATTCGAAAGATTTAAAAATAAAGTATTTTATAATTTTTCATATTTCTGTTTACTTACTATTTCATAATAAAGTAATTATAAAATACTTTCTTTGTGTTTATTTGATTCCTATTCAAGAGAATTACTTTATATATAGTAAATATAGGCACAGAGTTAATTTTTTAAACATTTTCTAATGGTGGTGTGCCTCATGATTTTTTTCATGAAACAAGTGTGCCTTTGCCCAAAAAAGGTTGAAAAACACTGGTCTAAACCACAGAGCCTAGGACTTGCCGATCAGAAGGTTGGCGGTTCGAATCCCCACGATGGGGTGAGATCCCGTTGCTCGGTCCCTGCTCCTGCCCACCTAGCAGTTCGAAAGCACCTCAAAGTGCAAGTAGATAAACAGGTACCACTCCGGCGGGAAGGTAAACGGCGTTTCTGTGTGCTGCTCTGGTTCGCCAGAAGCGGCTTAGTCATGCTGGCCACATGACCCGGAAGCTGGACGCCGGCTCCCTCGGCCAGTAAAGCGAGATGAGCGCCACAACCCCAGAGACATCTGCGACTGGACCTAATGGTCAGGGGTCCCTTTACCTTTACCTTTACCTAGTTCCAGACACAGTTTACACTAAAAAGAAGATTCCACCTAAACATTAGGAAGAACTTCCTGACAGTAAGAGCTGTTTGACAGTGGAATTTGCTGCCAAGGAGTGTGGTTGAGTCTCCTTCTTTGGAGGTCTTTAAGCAGAGGCTTGACAACCATATGTCAGGAGTGTTCTGATGGTGTTTCCTGCTTGGCAGGGGGTTGGACTCGATGGCCCTTGTGGTCTCTTCCAACTCTAGGATTCTATAAACATTAGCATTTGATAAGACCATCGGGATGGCTGTCGGATATCCCTCAGTGCAGAACATCTGGGCAAATAATGCCCAATTATTACAAAGGAGGTTTATAGATATAGGAGCGGAATTCCTTCAGGAACTGCCCCTGATTGCTATCTGCCTACCTGTTCTCAGGCAAGGGGTGTTAAGGAAATATTTATAATCTTTAGGAGAGCCAAGATGATTTTTGGATTGCTTTCCTGTGCTGTTTTAGACATGTGGGTCATATACTTATGTATGTGCGTTTACCTTGTCCAATTATCAACATTTATTCTATGTTTGAAGGAAATCAGCCTTTAGTTCTCACTGGAAGGACAGATCCTGAAGCTGAGGCTCCAAGACTTTGGCCACCTCCTGAGAAGAGAAGACTCCCTGGAAAAGACCCTGATGTTGGGAAAGATGGAGGGCGCAAGGAGAAGGGGACAACGGAGGACGAGATGGTGGGACAGTGTTCTCGAAGCGACCAGCAGGAGTTTGACCAAACTGCGGGAGGCACTGTAAGACAGGAGGGCCTGGCGTGCTCTTGTCCAGGGGGTCACGAAGAGTCGGACACGACTAAATGACTCAACAACAACAAATTCTATATTTGAGACCTCAGGATTCCTATAACAGAAGAAAATACAGGGTTGAGCTAGATCACCACTGGGTGCTTTTCCAATTCTACGGTTCCGTGATTCTTTGTCTTCTCCACTGCAGACCGCTTGGCGTAAGAGCGATCAGGAGGTTTCGCACGGCGCTTCAGTGTCAAAGGGCGCCCGATTCGGGTTAAATATTAGTTCGGCGTTTTTGCCTGTACCGTTTCGGTTCAATAACAAACCGGCCTGGAAGCTTCAAGCACTCGTCTTCTTCCTCTTTGGCCTGGAGACTTAAAGGCCCCCCAAGAAACTGGCTCTCTCCCAGGCGGCAAATTTTTAACTTGAAACACGTGGTCACTTCTTTCTTTCCATCCCAGAATTGTACTGCCTGGTTCTGATTCTAAAATTTTGTCTAAAATGTATAAATTGCTGCTTGAATGGCATTTGAAGGACGTGGAGGTTAAGTCGGTTATGATTCACTGGGCCAAGGATTTTGGGTATAATATACAGCTGAGTGATTGGGTAAAATTATGGAAAGAAGGTTTAAAATTTACTGCATGCAATGCCTTAAAAGGAAATGTGATGAAAATGATGTATAGATGGTATATTGCACCTGTCAAGTTAGCGAAGATGTATAAAGTCAGTAATAAATGTTGGAAATGTAAAGAAAAAGAGGGAACATTTTATCACATGTAGTGGGAATGTAAAAAGGTGAAATGATTCTGGGAGATGATATATAACGAGATGAAAAAAATGTTGAAATATACATTTATAAAGAAACCAGAAGCATTTTTACTAGGCATTGTTGGGAATGATATAAATAGAAAGGAATATAAGCTCTTTTTATATGCAATAACTGCAGCAAGAATATTATTGGCCCAAAAATGGAAGCAAGAAGAATTACCGACGATTGAAGAATGGAGGATGAAGTTAATGGACTATGCAGAACTAGATAAACTAACAGGAAGGATTCGAAACCGGCGGGACCATAAATTCACGGAAGACTGGAGTAAATTTACGGACTATCTGAAAAGTATTTGTGAAGATCAGACGACGTTTGTAGGTTTGCAAGAAGTTTTGTGAGGCGTATTATTGGAAGTATTGCAAAAATGGAGAAGGGGAAGGATGATTTGTTAAGAGATGTAAAGGCAATATAAAGTTAAGAAATGCGTAAGAAGTGGTTAAAACGGTGGATCATCAGAGGTGCTGATGGAAGTCCAAAAGGATTGTATAGGTGATAAGTTTTGTGGTACATTTTATAATTTATATGTTAAAATCAATAAAAAAAAAATTATTTTTTTTAAAAAAAGAATTGTATGGCCTGGTTCTAGCGGCTCGGTGACCGAGAGGGAAAACCACTCTGCGTGTGCTCCGGAGACAACCGCTCTTTATTTTTAAGCAGAATTCGGGTGGCATTGTAAATCATCGAATCGCAGAATTCTGGAGTCGGAAGGGACACCTGAGGGTCATCCATACCAACCCGCTCCATTGCAGGAATATTTTGCCCTGAGCAAGAACTCCCCACATCTGAAGATTGGCAAGTAAAGATGGTCGAATATGTGGATTCGGAATCGCCGTGATGAACTGTTTCCAAAGGACTGGGGCAAATTTATACTTTATAGGAAAGAAAATTGTAAACATTTGAAACGTGTGTCTGAGTCGAAATGTTTGGTAATGGGAAATTAAGTAGCTGATTTACTTATAAGAAAGCGATTGCTAAAAGATTGATGTAAGGTAAAAAAAGTGAATATAGGAATGTGAAGAAATTGGTAAAGTGATATGGAAGTCCATTAGAGGGAGGGAAAGAGGTTGATGCTTTATTTAAGCAATGCTTTAAGTTATGAATTTTGTGGTTTTTTGATACTGAAATGTAATGAAATATGGAAAACTTAATAAAAATTATATTAAAAAAAAGAGGAATATTTTGCCCTGGTTAATCTTCAACTCCCTCCCTCCTGTAGTGGATTTTTCTCCAAATCGCCAGCTGCGGCACAGCTTTTTAACTTTATCGGCCCACAAAAGCAGAGTCCTGCAGGTCTATAAACTTACACAGGTTTATACAGATGCATTCCCTCCCCTTGGCTTCACACATGCGTGGAAATTAAATCCCGTAACAACCAGCTAGCTAGACCTGAATAGAAGAGACGAGAGATGGGAAGAAAATTAAGTCCTGACCAGAATGGCAGATTAAGTCGACGGATTATGTAGAGATGGCAAAAAACGACCGGAAGAATCCGAAATCCGGAAAGCTAAATTTTTAATAAGGAATGGGGGGAAATTACAATTTATCTGGGGGGGGGAAATCATTGTAAACAGTTAAAATCATTAGTGGGAGTGGAATAACACTTGGTGAATTTTGGGTTATAATGAAGATGTAAAAGATTTGATTATTAATAATAATAATAATAATAAATTTTATTTATACCCCGCCCTCCCCGGCCAAAGAAAAGAAAATTAAAATACAGGTTAAAATGCAATTTAAAATGCAGCCTCGTTTTAAAGTAGCTGATAAATCAAGACCGTAAGAGGTCTTATAAAAGATGGAGGAGGAATTGGCCAACAATAGGATCCACAAAGGAGAGGAGGGAATATTCTTTCGAATCTTGTTTTTATGATGTATGTTGGATATGCGATTGTAAAAATCTTAATTTGGAAAACCAAATAAATATTTCTTTTTTAAAAGAAGAAGGGCGAAAGCATCACCAAAGGCAAGAACAAGGCCACAGATTCATCAGAAAATTTCTTCAGGCTTCTTCACAGACTTATTTATTTATTTATTTATTTTGCAACAACCCTGGCATTGCATGGGGTTGGTCTAGATGGCCGCAGGAGGTCCCTCCTGTGATTCTGTGACTCTTCTCCTCTTACCCAAACTCCTCCTCTGCACTCGCTTTTGCTGCCCCTGCATCGCGGGCTATCCATCCCCCCTCTCTAACCAGGAGCCTAGGTGTGGAGGGTAGGATTCGAACCCAGAGCCCGCTAGAATCTCTTCTCAGCTGCCAGCCTCCTCAGGGCCTCGTTGGGGAAACGCAGGAGGTGCCAGCCGTCCTTGTCGGTCAGGTTTTCGCCTCCCCTCCTCTCGAGGAAGCTCAGGACGTCCGCCTTCTGGGAGGAAACGTGCATCCGGAGTTGGCTGAGGCCTTGGCGCCAGGCAACCTGAGGTGGCAGGCAGAATTATAATAATAATAATAATAATAATAATAATAATAATAATAATAATAATTTATTTATACTCCGCCCTTCCCGGTTCAAAAACCGGGCTCAGGGCGGCTAACAACAAATGTATAACACTTAATTCTAAAAGCAGCATAAAATACAGTATAAAAACATGAATACCAATAAAATTCAAAAATCAATTTAGGGGAAATAAGCATAAGGGCTGGCTGGCTGAATTGGTCCTCTTTGGGCCAGCGAGGAGACCAGGGGAGAATTAGCTGTGGGGTCTCAGAGTGGGTGATCTTCATAAAAAGGGGAGGGGGAGGGAAGAGAAGGGAAAATAAAAGATCAGGCTGAATTCAAATTAAAGGCCAGGCGGAATAGCTCTGTCTTACAGGCCCTGCAGAAGGAGGTTAAATCCTGCAGGGCCCTGGTCTCCTGGGACAGAGCATTCCACCAGGTCGGAGCCACCACTGAGAAGGCCCTGGCCCTGGGGAAGGATAGTCTGACTTCCTTAGGGCCCAGGACCTCTAAACTATGATTATTCATGGACCTTAAGGTCTTCTGTGGGGCAGAGCAGGAGAGGCGATCCCATAAACACGAGGGTTTGGCAATGGGAACTTTCCAGCCAAGAGAGGACAAAGGGACTGTCTCCTTATGAGATAGTTTCCAGGTATATGTTACTTTTCTAAGCTAAGTCTGCCTTCTGGGATCCAATTGTGAACAGAATGATGTGTGAGTAAACCTTTTTATACTTTTATAGACGACTGTGTCGTGTCTTATCTTTTAGGAGGGAATAAGGGGGAAATACCAGAGCAGTTATTCTATACCACGGGTGTCAAACACAAGGACCGCGGGCCGAATCCGGCCCGCCAGACCTCGTCATGTGGCCCATGTAGCCGCCGGCCGCCAGCCTTCACCTTTTATTCTCGCTTTCTTTTTTTTTTGACACAAGAAAGCCGCCTCTTCAGCGCATGCGCGGCTGCCTACAAGCCAGAGAACGTCTGCCCTCTAGCGGCGCCGGCCGTTCTACACAGGAAACCTCCACTTTACACGCATTCAGGAAACCTCCACTTGTTTTTATACTGAGCGCATGCCATCCTGTGATGTGAGAGATCCAACAGGCTGCCTGAACCCTTCTCTCCTGTACTGTAAGTACATATGGTGTATGGGGGGAGGGATCTTATTAGGGGGGGGGTCTGCTTATTATTCTGCTTAAAAGTCTGAGCGGTAAACTTTGGATATACTGACCACTTCCGTGTCACTTTACAGTGGTATAGGGACCATAAACTACAATCAAATAACCCAAAAATGTCCAAGAAAAGAAAAGTTGATGCAGAGGGAAGGCAATTTCAGGAGAGATGGGAAAGTGAATACATGTTTGTGATTAATGGAGACAAGCCATATGTGTAATAAACAGTGTTTGGCAATATTTGTATGTTTAAAAAAAAATAAATTACTGTCTGTTACCAAAAATCATTTTTCAATAAATTGTACAATAATTGTACATTTGAAAATCTACTTGCCATTATTCTGACTATGTTTCTGCTTTCAGAGCTAGTTATTACTTACATTATTACAAAAAACAGTAATAATTGAATGCAGTGACAATAATTTATGATAATAAAGAGTGGACACATAGTCCTACAGATACAACCGGCCCTTTGAGGGTGACCAAACTGCTGATGCGGCCCCCGATGAATTTGAGTTTGACACCCCTGTTCTAGAGGCTTTAGCGAGCCTGAGCAAACGCATCCACTGCGAGTTTAAAACAGGGAATGTTACTCTGCTAAATTGTGGAACTTGTTAACACGAGTTGGAAAGGCTATAACCAGACAATATATCCTCTCCTGCATCCCTGAACACACAACTCACCTCACCCGCCTGCTCCATCAGCGCCTTCCCGATCCGCCTCCCTGTGAGGAAGGAGAAGCAGAAGAAGCCTGTTAGGATAGGGTGCTCTGGGTGCGATTCCTACGTGGCGAAAGAGGGTTGGGATGGATGACCTCTGAGGAACCCCCGACTCTACAATTCCACAATTCTGTGACCTCGGAAGGCGGCAGATTCCCCCTCGCTGGAGGTTTCTGAACGGAGAGGCATACCCCAGGGAATCTTACGCTGCGATTCCGACATGGCGAAGCGGGTTGGGCTGGATGACCTCTGGGGGTCCCACTCCAACTCGACATCTCTCGGATTCCATGATAAACTGAGCAGGGGAAAGGTGGATTCTATCCATCCTGAGGTGACTGCATTGATACCAGTTATATCCGCCGCTTCTCTCTGAAGATAGAACCCAAGGTGGCAAGAATTTTGTGGCGCTGCCAGGGGTCCCAAGATGGCCTCTCACCTGAGCTCTGGCCAAACCTGCTCAGTTCCGGCCATTTTGCAGCCTCTTAAACCATGGGTGGGGACGCAGGTGGTGCTGTAGGTTAAACCACAGAGCCTAGGACTTGCCGATCAGAAGGTCGGCGGTTCAAATCCCTGTGACGGGGTGAGCTCCCGTTGCTCAGTCCCTGCTCCTGCCAACCTAGCAGTTCGAAAGCACGTCAAAGTGCAAGTAGATAAATACCGTAGGTACCCCTCCGGTGGGAAGGTAAAAGGCGTTTCCGTGCGCTGCTCTGGTTTGCCAGAAGCGGCTCAATCCTGCTGGCCACACGATCCGGAAGCTGTACGCCGGCTCCCTCAGCCAATAAAGCGAGATGAGCACCGAAACCCCAGAGTCGGCCACGACTGGACCTAATGGTCAGGGGTCCCTTTACCTTTGCCTTTATTCCTTCTCTTAGGGACGCAGGTGGCGCTGTGGGTTAAACCACTGAGCCTAGGGCTTGCCGATAAGAAGGTCGGCGGTTAGAATCCCCGCAATGACGGGGTGAGCTCCCGTTGCTCGGTCCCTGCTCCTGCCCACCTAGCAGTTCGAAAGCACCTCAAAGTGCAAGTAGATAAATAGGTACCGCTCCAGCGGGAAGGTAAACGGCGTTTCCGTGCGCTGCTCTGGTTTGCCAGAAGCGGCTCAGTCCTGCTGGCCGCATGACCCGGAAGCTGTACGCCGGCTCCCTCGGCCAGTAAAGCGAGATGAGCGCTGCAACCCAGAGTCGGCCACGACTGGACCTAATGGTCAGGGGTCCCCCCCCTTTTAAACCATGGGTAGGCAAACTAAGGCCCAATCGCCTTCTCAATCCGACCCGCGGACGGTCCGGGAATCAGCGTATTTTTACACGAACAGAATGTGTCCTTTTATTTAAAATGCATCTCTGGGTTATTTGTGGGGCATAGGAATTCGTTCATTCTTATTTTTTCCCAAAATATAGTCCGGCCCCCCACAAGGTCTGAGGGATAGTGGACCGGCCCCCTGCTGAAAAAGTTTGCTGACCCCTCTCTTAAACCCTGGCCCATCATGAAGCACAAAGAGGGCTTTTTCAAGAGCAGCTGCTGCACCCTTGATCCGCAGAAAAGGGGCGCGGCTTCAGTGCGCATTGAATTCTTCAACCTTCAAATCTGAAATATTACGAGGGTGCTAAAAACTTGTAACGTGACTTGGGAATTCCAAAGATATTTTGGTTAGGTTGCTTATAATTTGGTTTTTCTTGGTAAGCAAACAGGTGTAAAATTGCACAGAAATCGTTAAAAGGGATTGCCAAGTACTTGCAGTTGTGGTTGTGGTTGCTGCTGCTGCTGCTGCTTCTTCTTCTTCTTCTTCTTCTTCTTCTTCTTCTTATTATTATTATTATTTAATAATTTTTAATAATTTATTATCTATACCCCACCCATCTGGCCGAATTTGCCCAGCCACTCAGAGCAGCTCCCAATCAAGTGTTAAAAACAATACAGCATTATATTATTATTATTATTATTATTATTATTATTATTATTATTGCAGAGGCTGGATGGCCATCTGTCGTGGGTGCTTTAGCTGAGATTCTTGCATCGCAAGGGGTTGGGCTCGATGACCTTTGGGTCCCTTCTAACTCTACGATTCTACGATTACGTGACATTTTCAGGAGGTAAAATTAAAATTCCCCTGGTTTTCCGGAAGCAGACTGTGTGCTCCTTCGTCAAACACAGAGACCCATGTTGTCCGATCCAAAAGAGAATTGAAGGTTGAATTCCGCACACCCGAAGACATATTTTTAAGACTGCCCCCCATCACCGCTAAAATTGCCCCCCCAAAAAGGTTTCGCCCCGCTAAAATACCGCGTGGCTATTCGTAATGCTTCTGGATGCAAATTTCTGGAAACCACAGGACGAGAGAGCGCTGGTCTTGCGTTCAAATCCTGCCTGCGGATTTCCCAAAGCGGCTGGCAGCCGTGAGGACAGGATTCGACCACTACCTCCCCATCCGTACCTCTAAATTCCGGCATGACGTAAAGATTGTCCATGTAGATGTTCTTTCCCCTCCAGGTGTTATAGGTGTACGAGAAGAGGGTGTACCCGATAAGGGTGTGGCCTGCGTGTGGAGCAAAATAAATAACGTTACGCAGGAGTTCAGCCTTGCTGGCATTTCCGTCCCACCCACTTGCGCCTCAATTGCATCAGCAGCAGCTTCTCCCTGCGAGCCGGATCATGTCCACCGCAAGATGGGAGCCTCATCCCCTTATTACCTTCTTTGCTTTTCTCTTCGGCGGGGACTTCGGCCACAAGGCACTCGTATCGGGCCTGCGCCCCAAAACCGGCTTTCTTCAGCTCTGGGGAGGAAGCAGGGAAGTGAGGAGCAGTAATAATAATAATAATTAATAATAATAATAATAATAATAATAATAATAATTTTTTATATCCCGCCCTTCCAGGTTCAGAAAACCGGGCTCAGGGCAGCTAACGACAAATTTAAAACAATTGATGCAAAGAAAAACAGCATAAAATACAGTATAAAATGTGAATCACAATAAATTCAGAATTCAGAAATCAATTTGGGGGGGGGAATCCATTCAATAAACATTAGATGATCACCAGGGCTAGCTTGCTAAATTAGTCCTATTTGGGCCAGCAAGGAGACAAGGGGAGAATTAGCTGTGGGATCTCAGAGAAGGTGATCTTCATAAAAAGGGGAGGGGGAGGGAAGGAAGGGGAATAAAAGATCAGGCTGAATTCAAATTAAAGGCCAGGTGGAATAGCTCTGTCTTACAGGCCCTGTGGAAGGAGCTTAAATCCTGCAGGGCCCTGGTCTCCTAGGACAGAGCATTCCACCAGGTCGGAGCCACCACTGAGAAGGCCCTGGCCCTGGTGGAGGATAATCTGACTTCCTGGGACCTCTAAATTATGAATATTCATGAACCTTAAGGTCCTCTGTGGGGGAGACCAGGAGAGGTGGCCTTTCAACAATAAAACTGCCTCTTAGCGCCCCCTGTAGGTGATCCCAGTATCATCCCCAGGGGCACAACCACCCCTGCAAAAGGTAAAAGGTAAAGGACCCCCGGACGGTTAGGTCCAGTCAAAGGCGACTCTGGGGTTGCAGCGCTCATCTCACATTCAGGCCAAGGGAGCTATAATAATAATAATAATAATAAAATTTTATTTATATCCCGCCCTCCCCAGCCGAAGCTGGGCTCAGAGCTGGCGTTTGTCCGCAGACAGCTTTCCGGGCCATGCGGCTGGCAGGACTAAACCGCTTCCGTGCACAAGGGGACACCGTGACGGAAACCAGAGAGCATGGTTCCCGCTGGAGTGGTACCTATTTATCTACTTGCACTTTTGACGCACTTTTGAACTGCTAGGTTGGCAGGAGCAGGGACCGAGCAACGGGAGCTCATCCCGTCGCGGGGATTCGAACCGCCAACCTTCCGATCGGCAAGCCCTAGGCTCTGTGGTTTAGACCACAGTGCCACCCGAATCCCAAACCACCCCTGTAAAGGTAAAGGGACCCCTGACCATTAGGTCCAGTCGTGGCCGACTCTGGGGTTGCGGTGCTCATCTCGCTTTACTGGACGAGGGAGCCGGCGTACAGCTTCCGGATCATGTGGCCAGCATGACTAAGCCGCTTCTGGCGAACCAGAGCAGCGCACGGAAACGCCGTTCACCTTCCCGCTGGAGTGGTACCTATTTATCTACTTGCACTTTGACGTGCTTTCAAACTGCTAGGTTGGCAGGAGCAGGGACCGAGCAACAGGAGCTCATCCTGTCGCGGGGATTCGAACCGCCCACCTTCCGATCGGCAAGCCCAAGAGGCTCCGTGGTTTAGACCACAGCGCCACTCGCGCTCCAAACCACCCCTGTAGGGAGCCGCTAATCTAAGGCTACCAGACGTCCCTGCTTCCCCAGATTTACAAAGCAGTCCCCATACAAAATCCATTGAAGTTGAAAAGTGTCCCCAGATTCATTGGGAAAAATCTGGTAACCTTATAATCTATTTGCACACCAGAGCCCCTTCTTTACCTTCGACATTGGTCCTGAGCGAGCCCAGAGGGACGTTGTAAATGCCCGCAATCTCCTGTTTATAGGGAGAGAGAGAGAGAATTGGGAGCAAAAGCTCTGGTTTGCAGCCGCCTCAAGACTCATTTGTTCCCCCTTTCACCCAGGGATCCTTATGATGAATCGTGCACAGAAGAACAGTCAGGATCAGGCCCAGGGCCGGATTTAGGTTTGATGAGGCCCTAAGCTGCTGAAGGTAATGGGGCCCTTTCTATGTCCAGATGTCCTTTGTCAACAACAAATTGCCGCTGTTTTTTTGTGTTGAATATATGCTATATGGTCATTGATGGACCTAAAGCCATTTGCACATAACAAAATGTGTATTTTATCAAAGTAATTGTTGAACTGAAATACTATCAGAAGTATATTAATAGTGAAATAATTATTAAGCTCTAACTTAAAATGATTTTTTTTATCCATAACAAACGTAATAATGCAAACACATTGGCATTTGGCAATAACAAAAGTTGCTTTAGAAACACAGTTTACAAAGACTCATAATTTGGGGGGGGGCCAAGAGAGTGGGGCCCTAAGCCATGGGTAGGCAAACTAAGGCCCAGGGGCTGGATCCGGCCCAATCACCTTCTCAATCCGGCCTGCAGGCGGTCCAGGAATCAGCATGTTTTTACATGAGCAGAATGTGTGCCTTTATTTAAAATGCATCTTTGGGTTTTTTGTGGGGCATAGGAATCCATTCATTCCCCCCGCCCAACTCTGACCGTTCCGTGCTTCTCATCCTGTTCCTCACCTTCACCAGTCGCATGATGTCCTTCAGGTCCTTTGGGGCGCAGGGGCGGATGGCAAAACTCATGGCTCAGTCCAGATTCTCCTGGGCTACTTACTCTGTAGAAAGGACTGCTGTGTGCCTCTCGGCTGCGTCTGAAAGCTAGGAAGGTGGGTGGTTGGGAATCTGCTTGATTCCTGAGTGACGACTGGACTCCGGTGGGGGTGGGAGGGGTTTCTGGGTGCTTTGCAGGGTGAAGGTCCCAAGGTCAATCCGTCAGGCTTCCTAGATCTCAGCAAGGAGAAGATGGGAACTTGAGCTCTCTCCAGGGTCCTGCGGCTGGCCATAGCTTTTGAGAAGTGACAGTAATACAGTGGTACCTCGGGTTAAGTACTCACCGTATTTTTCACTCCATAAGATGCAGCAGACCACAAGATGCACCTAGTTTTTGGAGGAGGGAAACAAGGAAAAAAATATTCTGAATCTCAGAAGCCAGAACAGCAAGAGGGATCGCTGTGCAGTGAAAGCAGCAATCCCTCTTGCTGTTCTGGCTTCTGGGGTAGCTGCGCAGCCTGCATTCGCTCCATAAGACGCACACACATTTCCCCTTACTTTTTAGGGGGGGGAAAGTGAGTCTTATAGAGCAAAAAATACAGTAATTCATTCCGGAGGTCCATACTTAACCTGAAACTGTTCTTAACCTGAAGCACCACTTTAGCTAATGGAGCCTCCTGCTGCCACCGCAGCACGATTTCTGTTCTCATCCTGAAGCAAAGTTCTTAACCCGAGGTACTATTTCTGGGTTAGCGGAGTCTGTAACCTGAAGCGTCTGTAACCCGAGGTACCACTGTAGCCAAAGGCAACATGATGACCAAGTACAACAATACGATGTCAATATAAACTCTTTATATGATCTATACAGAACATAGAACAATATGAAACATGCACTCTCTGCAAAAGCAAATAAACAGAAATCTTCTAAATCTCTGAAAGTCACAAATTATGGATTCTCTTTGAAAGACAGTTTTCAAGAAGGCAGGGCTGGGTAAACCTCATTGCTTCAATAGCCCTCCTTCGCACCAGGTGTTTGTCTATTTTTAAAGCCATCACTGTGACAGGGAGTTCCACAGTTTAACCATGCACAAAGAAGGCCTTTCCGTCCCAAACCTTCCAATAAGCAGCTTCCTGTGATGTCCAAGAAAGCTAGTGTTAAGAGAGGTGGGGGAGAAAACTTTTCTATATCCATTTTATCCATGGTTTTATAAGATCCTATTATGCAGATTCATGCAAGATCGTGGCCACTGGGCCCATCACCTCCTGGCAAATAGAAGGGGAAGAAATGGAGGCAGTGAGAGACTTTACTTTCTTGGGCTCCATGATCACTGCAGATGGTGACAGCAGCCGCGAAATTAAAAGACGCCTGCTTCTTGGGAGAAAAGCGATGGCAAACCTAGACAGCATCTGAAGAAGCAGAGACATCACCTTGCCAACAAAGGTCCGTATAGTTAAAGCTATGGTTTCCCCAGTGGTGATGTATGGAAGTGAGAGATGGACCATAAAGAAGGCTGATCGCTGAAGAATGGATGCTTTTGAATTCTGGTGCTGGAGGAGACTCTTGAGAGTCCCATGGACTGCAAGAAGATCAAACCTCTCCATTCTGAAGGAAATCAGCCCTGAGTGCTCACTGGAAGGACGGATCCTGAAGCTGAGGCTCCAGTCCTTTGGCCACCTCATGAGAAGAGAAGACTCCCTGGAAAAGACCCTGATGTTGGGAAAGGTGGAGGGCGCAAGGAGAAGGGGACGACGGAGGACGAGATGGTGGGACAGTGTTCTCGAAGCTACAAACATGAGTCTGACCAAACTGCAGGAGGCAGTGGAAGACAGGAGTGCCTGGCGTGCTCTGATCCAGGGGGTCACGAAGAGGCGGACACGACTAAACGACTCAACAACAACAAATCATGCAGGTTCCTGCCTCCGGGTGAATCGGGCCCCTCTTGCCAGCTGGCTATTTCCTCCTTCCCTGCACAGGCACCCAAGACACTTGGAAACCCGAGTCCCGAAGTTGTGTGAATCATGCGCCGTGAGCAAACAGACGCCTTCTGATTCAGCTGGCGCACTGTACACAAACTCTGGATTAGTTGAGCAAATGTGCTCATCATCACAGAAGTGGGTGAATTTGGATTCAGGAAATGTCTGGCCCTGATTTTACTCACGTCGGCTGCGTGACAAGTCGCCAATCTTCCACTTTCAGAGCAACACAACAGGAGAATTTCCAATTCAGGCCCGTATTTTTTTGTGTGGCTGCGGAGAATTATTGCCGTCTGCTCACCCTAACCGACCGCCTGTGAGGGAGATTGAGCCCCTGGGAGTTATAGTTTGTTCAGGGCGCTGGGAATTGTAGATCAGGTGGGGGAAGAATGGCAATTCTTGGGGTTCTTTGGGGAGAAGTACTGTGCTTTAAGGGACGCAGGTGGCGCTGTGGGTTAAACCACAGAGCCTAGGACTTGCCGATCAGAAGGTCGGCGGTTTGAATCCCCGCAATGACGGGGTGAGCTCCCGTTGCTCGGTCCCTGCTCCTGCCAACCTAGCAGTTTGAAAGCATGTCAAAGTGCAAGTAGATAAATAGGTACCACTCCGGCGGGAAGGTAAACGGCGTTTCCGTGCGCTGCTCTGGTTCGCCAGAAGCGGCTTAGTCCTGCTGGCCACATGACCCGGAAGCTGTACGCTGGCTCCCTCGGCCAACAAAGCGAGATGAGCGCCGCAACGCCAGAGTCGGCCACGACTGGACCTAATGGTCAGGGGTCCCTTTACCTTTACCTTTACCTTACTGTGCTTTAAACAACCACAACTGTGCTTTAAATGTGCATTTGATCTGTTTTAAATGTCTGCAGGTGGATATACCCATCGCATTCCCTTCAATCTCATTTTCTGCTCTTTGGAGTCATCGGATCGGGTCCCACCTTCTGGAGCAGGGAAGAAACAAGCTTGCTCCATCTTCCGTGGGACAACCCTTTAGATATTTATATTTATATTATCATTTTAATGCATCACACACTCAAAAGAAATATAGAAGTAAACAAATATCCATCACCTCCTAGCAACTAAAAAGGAAAGAAGAAATGAAAAACAACAACAATACATTAAATACCATATTTTTCGCTCCATAAGATGCACTTTTTTCTTCCTAAAAAGTAAGGGGAAATGTCTGTGCGTCTTATGGAGCGAATGTGTGGTCCCTGGAGCCGAATTGCCCAGGGGCAAAAAGCAGATCATGCTTTTTTTTTGAAAGAGGGAAGGGGGTGTTGAAAGGAAGCCGCTGATCCACAAGTGATCAGGAGGGAGATAAGGGATGGTAGCAATAAAGGAGGCTGCCTGGGAGGGGGGAGGTAAAAGGCCATGGATCCTCAGGATTTTTGCATTGGGTCACCCCAAATTCACCATCAGATCACATAGCATGTCCATGGCTACTGCCTGCACCACAAAAAATCACGCACCCACTGTTTCGTGGGGCCTCAATGGCGCAAAAACGTGGTTAAAAAGCACGGATCCACATGGATCATCAGGATTTTTGCATTGGGCTACCCCAAACTCACCGTCAAATCACACGTCTGTGGCCACAGCATGAACCACAAAAATCATACATCTACTGTTTCATTCAGACTATTTTTTCCCTTGTTTTCCTCCTCTAAAAACTAGGTGCGTCTTATGGTCAGGTGCGCCTTATGGAGCGAAAAATACGGTAGTTCTCACAATACATTTAACATAAAAATGACTTTTTAAATATATACTGTAACTGACTTCCCATCTACTCACTTCTATTTATCATCAGTTAAGTCTGATGGAAAACCTAGGCTAGAATAAATAATATCAAAACCGAAACATGTTATAATAGGGCAGTGAATAAGCCTTTAGATATTTTTCAAGGTGGCTATCGTATCTCATTTCTGAGTGGATCTACACACAGGGGAAAAGCCACTATAAATAAGTCAGAAATTAAACCGTTATAATAATAATAATAATAATAATAATAATAATAATAAAAACCGCTATGGAAAATCGCAAATAAATTTTCTTTCCTCCCCAGCTCCACCTGGTGTCGCATGTGTATAATGCAGCCAAAATGGTGCGTGTGGGTTTTTTTAAACTAATGTAGCTGAGTCTCCTTTTCCCCAGGCTAAACATCCCTAACTCCATCCACTATTTTTCACAAGGCTTTCACGGTGAAGGGAGCTGGGTTCGAGTTAAAGATTAGGGAAGGGGAAAGAATGCCATCTCCATTTAGTTAAAGAATAAACTGCACCAGGAGCTTCTGAGAGTGACTTGGAGGGCAAAGTTTGCCCGAGGGACTTGAGGAAACGGGTTCAAGAAATGGGAGGCAAAGTTGAAGCTACAATGGCTGAGGCTTAAGCCATCGAAATTTCCTCTTCCTGCCAAAATCCCAGACTTGGAGGGCCTGATTCTGGCTACTCGGTGAAGAATCATAGGGTCCGTTCCAGTTCCACAATCCTATCATTCTCTGGCCTCAGAAGGTGGTGGGCCGTCCATCAATTTTTTTAAAAACAGAGGTTGGACGGACGCCTGCCAGGGATTTTCCATGGAGGCGCAGATTGCAGCTATAGCAAAGGCGGCATTTTTTCGTCTACGCCAAGCTAAGCAGTTGGCTCCTTGCCTCTCTCACCCTGATCCAGCCACTGTGATCCACGCGACGGTCACCTGGATTATTGTAACTCGCTCTACGTGGGGCTGCCCTTGAGACTGACCCAGAAACTCCAGCGGGTGCAGAATGCCGCAGCGAGACTCCTTATGGGGTCCTCGCTGCGAGATCACATTCACCCGGTGCTATACCAGCTGCACTGGCTCCCGGTGGAGTACAGGATCAGGTTTAAGGTGCTGGTTTTAACCTTTAAATCCCTATACGCCTAGGACCCTCGTACCTACGGGACCGCCTCTCCTGGTATGTCCCACAGAGGACCTTACTGTCTTCAAACAAAAACATCTTGGAGGTCCCAGGCCACAGGGAGGTTAGGCTGGCCTCAACCAGAGCCAGGGCCTTTTCAGCCGTGGCCCCAATCTGGTGGAACGCTCTGTCCCAAGAGACTAGGGCCCTGCGGGACTTGACATCTTTCCGCAGGGCCTGCAAGACGGAGCTGTTCCACCAGGCCTTTGGCCAAGGCACAGCCTGACCCCCTCCTTCTGTAATCCTCACAGAACTCTAGCCCAATGGTTGCCATCAATGTGATTTGAACTGATTTTATAATGAATTGATTTTAGAATGTTGTATCATTTTACTGTTGTTAGCCGCTCTGAGCCCGGCTTCAGCTGGGCAGGGCAGGATATAGATTTAAAAAATATTATTATTATTATTATTATTATTATTATTATTATTGAGTCGTGATTCCCACATTGCAGGGGAGGGGGTTGGACTTGATGACCCCTGCCTCTGCAGTTATACACACACACACACACACACACACACACACACACAAACACACACACATTTTTATTGCTTTTTTTAACATATCATTTCCAACCATCATTTAACATAACTTCTTATCTTATACAATATTTTAGACTTCTGTCAACAACCTCTGAAGATGTTCCGTTCTTTATCACTTGTTCTGCATTTCTTAATTTCTCTGTTACTTTTAATTATCATTAGCTAATAATCCTCATCATGGTCTTTCTCGGAATATTTCACACAGTCCCCTCCTTACAAAACTTCTTGCAGTCCGACTGGCGTAATCTGTTTTCATTACAACTGCCTTTCAAATAGTTCAAATATCTGCTCCAGTCTTCTAAGAATCTCTAAATCTGCAGTTCTATGATTCTGTGATCTAGGGACATTATACAGAAAAGTTTTAAATGTTTGATGTTTTATTATTGTGTTTCTTAATATTGTGTTGGGACCTGCCTGGAGTAGCTGGGGCAACACAGTCAGATGGCCAGCACAGAATTAATTTTATTACTATTATTACTATTATTATTATTATTATTAGTGCTTTTTTCTGGGGGGACGCAGGGGTACACATACCCCTAAATATTTTGTGAATCTAAGTTGGGCCACACTGAGGGGCAGTATTCCAACCTTTAAATGAAGGTGAAAGAGGAGAGCGCAAAATATGGTCTGAAGCTCAACATCAAAAAACGAAGATCATGGCCACTGGGCCCATCACCTCCTGGCAAATAGAAGGGGAAGAAATGGAGGCAGTGAGAGATTTTACTTTCTTGGGCTCCATGATCACTGCAGATGGTGGCAGTAGCCACGAAATTAAAAGACGCCTGCTTCTTGGGAGAAAAGCAATGACAAACCTAGACAGCATCTTAAAAAGCAGAGACATCACCTTGCCAACAAAGGTCGTATAGTTAAAGCTGTGGTTTTCCCAGTAGTGATGTATGGAAGTGAGAGCTGGACCATCAAGAAGGCTGATCTCTGAAGAATGGATGCTTTTGAATTCTGGTGCTGGAGGAGACTCTGGAGAGTCCCATGGACTGCAAGAAGATCAGACCTCTCCATTCTGAAGGAAATCAGCCCTGAGTGCTCATTGGAAGGACAGATCCTGAAGCTGAGGCTCCAGTACTTTGGCCGCCTCATGAGAAGAGAATACTCCCTGGAGAAGACCCTGATGTTGGGAAAGATGGAGGGCACAAGGAGAAGGGGACGACGGAGGACGAGATGGTCGGACAGTGTTCTGGAAGCTACGAACATGAGTTTGACCAAACTGCGGGAGGCAGTGGAAGACAGGAGGGCCTGGCGTGCTCTGGTCCAGGGGGTCACGAAGAGGCGGACACGACTAAATGACTAAACAACAACAAATTCCAATATGAGTAGTAAATTGTGTTGTTGTTGTTTAGTCGTTTAGTCGTGTCCAACTCTTCGTAAATTGTGAATACCCCTAAACATTTTTTAAGAAAAAAGCACTGATATGTTGTTGTTGTTATATGCTGTGAGCCAATCTGGGCACAAGCATGTGGGAAAGCGGTGTCCACATGGACAGGTGCCAACGGTGGAAGAGAAAGTCACTCTGCACATGCTCCGAAGACACCTCTCCTTTATTTATTTGTACACATATTTTTTTGACACGTATATCATTTGTGTGGGGTCCTGGCTTTGTTAACGGGTTTTCCAGGGATCCTTCCCTTTCCTCCAGAGTCGCAAATCTCGCCCCAGGAGCTCCACCAGCCTAGAATTTGCTCCGAGACGCCATCCCTCGCAGGTCGTGGCTAAGAATGCGCAAGAGATCCCAGCCCTCCTTGGAAGTGAGGTCTTCGCCTCCGCGGCGAAAAAGGAACCCAAAATCATCCTCTTTCGAAGCGGAAACGTGCATTTGCAACTGGGTGCAGCCCTGGCTCCAAGCATCCTGCGGAAATAAGAGGAAGAAATTCAGCCTTGGGGAAATTTAGCGGCACTGGGAGTTCCTGAACATTGGCCTGGAGGAAAGGGGGTTTTTTTATAGCCAGGACTCCAAACCAGCCTCAGCCTTGCATCTAACTTGCAATGTTAATTGTGGATTACCCAGCCGGGTTTGTTTGTTTGAATTTATATACCACTGTGATAAGAATTTTAAAGTCTTAGATATAGAATAAATGTTCATAAGTGTACCAGCCAAGCACGTACATAGATCAGCACGGGAAGACCGACCGGAAACCATTTTTGATTCCCAAAATGACCAAAGGTTTTCTCTGCAAATTCAAAGGAAAATGGGAAAAGCCTCCCCATTGTCTTTTCCTTCACAAATCCTGTCTTAAGGGCACATTTAAGATATGAATAGGGTGTGAGCCTGTGACCTGGCCCAGGAACTAAGTATTTATTATTACAAAAGACTGGCCAGGCTCCCCAGGGTATCCAATCAAGTGACCATTAAACAGGTAACCTGCCAGACAGGAGGTAAACAAAGCCCTCAGATTTCTGCTGTAGACCACCTTTTCTGTGATGTGTGTATGATGTTTCTGGGGGTGGTCTTGGACTCCAGGGAGGGAATTTAAAACGTCTATATAAGGGCGGGCACACCTTGGTTCTGGGTTCCTCCTCCCTCCTGTGTGTGGTGAGTGAGGACTCTGTTGCAACAGATCAATAAAGACCAGGCTTACTAGCTGCTTTGCTTCTCAATATTCTCTGGTTGGCTTCTGTTATTTTCTCCTACCAATAGGGAACCCACGTAAGGACTCTATATGGGCTCTTGTGTCCCCCATAAGGGAAAAAGGGCAGGTTTTTGTTTACAACAGAGTCCACTCTAGGCAATAGGAAATGTTGTACAGTGGTACCTTGGGTTACATATGCTTCAGGTTATAGACTCCGCTAACCCAGAAATAGTGCTTCAGGTTAAGAACTTTGCTTCAGGATAAGAACAGAAATCCTGCTCCGGCGGTGCGGCAGCAGCAGGAGGCCCCATTAGCTAAAGTGGTGCTTCAGGTTAAGAACAGACCTCCGGAACGAATTAAGTACTTAACCCGAGGTACCACTGTATTTGACTGCTTCAGAGATGATAACATCCCACACCCAGTTGGGAGCTCAGGGCTTTTTAAACTGGGAAGGTTGCTTATCTGAACGAAGACAACAAGGATGCACGCCTGACCCGGGGCTGGACTCACCTCGGCCATTTGCTTCATAAGCGCACCGCCAATTCCTCTCCCTGCAAGGAAAGAAAGCAGCTGCGTTGAGCATGCTATGATAGGAATATCAAGATAATCTGAGTGAGTGACCCAAAATTAAATACAATGGATGAGTCCCATTCTGAGGAGAGGGGGGTGATGTTCTAAAGGACATTCGCAAATATATTATAAGGTTGTGGAGGGGTCAGTCTAGATAGGCAAACTCTGGCCCGCCAGAGGTTTGGGACTACAATTCCCATCATCCCTAGCTCACAGGACCAGTGGTCAGGGATGATGGGAATTGTAGTCCCAAACATTTATGTTTGGTGTGAGGTAATTGAAGCTTGAAGAAAAAGTAGGTACGTTTTATCATATGGGGTGGTCGTGTAAGGCAGGCATAGGCAAACTCCAGCCCTCCAGATTTTTTGGGACTACAATTCCCATCGTCCCTGACCACTGGTCCTGTGAGCTAGGGATGATGGGAATTGTAGTCCCAAACATCTGGAGGGCCGTGTTTGCCTATGCCTGGTCTAGATGATACCCAGGGACCCCTTTCAAAGCTGGGGTCCTGTGGCTGTGAGGTTAGACTCTGGTAGAGTTGAAAGAGACCCTGACTCGCTGCAGGAACCACAGCTGGAAAAACCTGGACAGGTGACCATCCTGTTAGGATATTTCCATTCCACCTTAAAAGGGAGCAGGCTTTGTGAGTCACAGAGTCTGCGTATTTCCTGTTCACAGGAAGTTTATGTTTTGTCTATTGCTTTCGTTTCTCTCTCTGTGCCTGAGACACCGAAGCAGGCAGTCATGTTTTCTTTGTTCTGACCAACGCTGAATAAACTTGTAAATAATGCTCTTCTGCGTGCATCTTTCGCTGTGTGAATTCTGCTGATAGAGCGTGCATCAGCTCTGGAATGTGGCAAGCTATTTCTGGAGCTCGTGTCGCTAATTGCTGATACTGCGTGTCTACGGGAGAACGATGGACGTCCGGAGGCGACGTGGAGTCATGATGGACTATGTCTCCCTGGCAGTATCCCAACACATCCAACCTCTGTTGAAAAACCTCCAACAACGGAGAGAGCCCACTGCCTTCTGAGGTGGGGTTGGAAGGGACTCCCAAGCCTCATCTAGTCTGACCCCCTCCAATGCAAGGATCACAGCTAAAGTATCCCGGACAGATGGCCATCCGACATCTGATTGAAAACCCCTGTAATAAACAGAAATCTGCCCTTATTCCCTTATGGGGGACACAAGAGCCCTTACAGAGTCCTTTGCAGGTTCTCCATCGGTAGGAGAAATAGCAGAGGCCAAGCAGAGAATATTGAGAAGCAAAGCAGCTCGTAATCCTGATCTTTATTGATCTGTTGCAACAGGGTGCCCCCTTCACACGCAGGAGGATGGAGGAGGACCCTGAACAAAGGTGTGCCCACCCTTATATAGACATTTTAAATTACCCGCCCTGGAGTCCAAGACCACCCACAGAAACATCATACCTACATCACAGAAAAGGCGGTCTACAACAGAAATCTGAGTGCGTTGTTTATCTCCTGTCTGGCAGGTTACCTGTTAATGCTCACTTGATTGGATACCCTGGGGAGCCTGGCCAGTCTTTTGTAATGATAAATACTTAGTTCCTGAGCCAAGTCACAGGCTCACCCTATTCATACACAGACACACCCTTAAGACAGGATTTGTGCACAAAAGGCAATGGGGAGGTTCCCCCACCCCCTCCCTCCTTGCAGAGAAAACATTTGGTCAGTTTGTGAGTCAAAATGGTTTCAGGGCGGTCCTCCTGTGCTGCTCCAGACATGTGGTCCACACATCTATGTATGCACTTATAGGCCGGGAGCCAGCGCTGTCCGCAGACACTTCCGGGTCACGTGGCCAGCGTGACAAGCTGCATCTGGCGAGCCAGCGCAGCACACGGAACGCCGTTTACCTTCCCGCTGGTAAGCGGTCCCTATTTATCTACTTGCACCCGAAGGTGCTTTCGAACTGCTAGGTTGGCAGGCGCTGGGACCGACCGAGTGACGGGAGCGCACCCCGCTGCGGGGATTCGAACCGCCGACCTTTCAATCGGCAAGTCCTAGGCGCTGAGGCTTTTACCCACAGCACCAACCGCGTCCCTGTGTGTGTGTGTATGTGTATATATATATATATATATATATATATATATATAACCTTAAATGTTTTATTTCACCAGCAACAAAGGGGTTTCTGCAGCCTTCTCAACTAGTCCGTTCCACTGCTCTTACCATCAGAAAGTACTTCCTAAAGTTTAGGCGGAATCTCCTTTGTTGTCACTTGAAGCCATGGGTTCAAGTCCTACCCTCCGGAGGAGGAAACAAGTTTGCTCCATCTTCCACGAGACAGCCCTTCAGAGATCTGAAGACAACTATCTCCTCTCCGTCTCCTCTTTCCCAGACTAAACATTCCCAACTCCTTCATCTGTTCCTCATCAGGCTTGGTTTCCAGACCTTTGATCGCCCTGGTTGCCCTCCTCTGGACATTTCCCAGTTTGCCAATATCCTTCTTAAATTGTGGTGCCCAGAACTGGACACAGGACTCCAGGTGGGGTCTGGCCAAGGCAGAATACAGCGAGACTATGACTTCCCTTAATCTGGACACAGACTTTTGCTGAAGCAGCCGAGAATCGCATTCGCCTTTTTTGCTGCCGCATCACAGTTCTGGCCGCCACTGAGCTTCTGCTCTGCAAAGTCCTTTTCAGAAGAACTGTTCATATTTTGGAAGAGGAGACAGATTCCTTCGCGTGCCTCTGCCCCCCACCCCAAAAGACACCCCTTCGCATCCATACCTCTGAATTCTGGCTTGACGTAGAGATTGTCGACATAGGCGTTCCTCCCTCGCAAGGTGTTATAGGTGTACGAAAACAGCGTGTACCCAGCAAGACTGCGACCTGGAAGGAGCAGAAACCCACATTGCAAACTGGGGAAGAAATGCGCAAGAGCACACCAAGCTCATTCTTGGCCATAATTCCTGGCAGCAAGCCCTCTCCAGGGATGGATGGCGGCTAACAGATTGAAGAAGAGTTTGGATTTGATATCTTGCTTTATCACTACCCTAAGGAGTCTCAGAGGAGCTAACATTCTCCTTTCCCTTCCTCCCCCACAACAAATACTCTGTGAGGTGAGTGGGGCTGAGAGACTTCAGAGAAGTGTGACTGGCCCAAGGTCACCCAGCAGCTGCATGTGGAGGAGCGGGGAAGCGAACCCAGTTCACCAGATTACGAGACTACCGCTCTTAGCCACTAGACCACACTGCCTCTGATTGAGGTTGAATCCTGACAAGACAGAAGTACTGTTTTGGGGGGACACGAGGCGGGCGGAGGACTCCCTGGTCCTGAATGGGGCAACTGTGCCCCTGAAGGACCAGGTGCACAGCCTGGGAGTCATTTTGGACTCAACGCTGTCCATGGAGGCGCAGGTCAGTTCTGTGTCCAGGGCAGCTGTCTACCAGCTCCACCTGGTACGCAGGATGAGACCCTCCCTGCCCGCACACTATCTCGCCAGAGTAGTGCATGCTCTGGTTATCTCCCGCTTGGACTGCTGCCATGCGCTCTACGTGGGGCTACCTTTGAAGGTGACCCCGAAACTACAGGTGATCCAGAATGCGGCAGCCAGACTGATGACTGGGAGACCACATAACACCAGTCCTGAAAGACCTACCTTGGCTCCCAGTATGTTTCTGAGCACAATTCAAAGTGTTGGTGCTGATCTTGAAAGCCCTAAATGGCCTCAAAGGCCCAGTATATCTGAAGGAGCATCTCCAACCCCATGGTTCTGCCCGGACACTGAGGTCCAGCTCCGAGGGCCTTCTGGCGGTTCCCTCATTGCGAGAAGCCAAGTTGCAGGGAACCAGGCAGAGGGCCTTCTCGGTGGTGGCGCCCGCCCTGTGGAACACCCTCCCATCAGATGTCAAAGGAAAAAACAACTACCAGACTTTTAGAAGACATCTGAAGGCAGCCCTCTTTAGGGAAGCTATCTATGTTTGATGTATTACGGTATTTTAATATTTTGTTGGAAGCCGCCCAGAGTGGCTGGGGAAACCCAGCCAGATGGGCAGGGTATAAATATTATTATTATTATTATTATTATTATTATTATTATTATTATTATTTCAGACCCTAAGAACGTAAGAATCAGGCTAACTGGAGACCCATCTGATCCAGCCTCCTGTTCCCACAGTGGCCGACCAGATGCCCCAATGGAAAACTGGTGAGCAGGATTTGAACACAAGAGCCACTCCCCTTCTTGCAGTTTCCAGCAACTGGCATTCAGGAGCATCGCTGCCTCCGACAGCGGAGGGAGAACAAAGAGACACCTTGGCTAGTAGCCACCGATAGCCGTCTCCTCCTCCTTGAATTTGTCTCCTCCTCTTTTCCTGTGGCAAGGAGTTCCACAGTTTAACCACATGCCCCACGAAGAAGAGTTTTCTTTTGCCTGGCCTGAATCTAGCTCCATTGGATATCCAACAGTCCTACTGATACGAGAACTATATAATAATAATAATAATAATAATAATAATAATAATAATAATAACATTTTATTTATACCCCGCCCTCCTCAGCCAGAGCTGGGCTCAGGGAGGCTAACACCAGTAAAATTACAGTAAAATCATAATGGGGGGGGGGACCAATTTAAAATACAGGTTAAAATGCAATTTAAAATGCAGCCTCATTTTAAAAGAAGCCCATAGATCAAGACCATTAGGGGAGGGAAACATAAGGGTCAGACTGAGTCCAGACCAAAGGCCAGGCGGAACAGCTCCGTCTTGCAGGCCCCGCGGAAAGATGTCAAGTCCCGCAGGGCCCTGGTCTCTTGGGACAGAGCGTTCCACCAAGTCGGGGCCAGTACTGAAAAGGCCCTGCCCCTAGTTGAGACCAATCTAACCTCCTTGAGGCTCAGGACCTCCAAGGTGTTGTCATTTGTGGACCTTAAGGTCCTCCGTGGGACATACCAGGAGAGGCGGTCCCATAGGTATGAGGGTCCTAGGCCGCATAGGGGTTTAAAGGTCAAAACCAGCACCCTAAACCTGACCCCGTATTCCATTGGGAGCCAGTGCAGTTGGTAAAGCACTGGATGAATGTGATCCCGTAAGGAGCCTCGCCACAGCATTCTGCACCCGCTGGAGTTTCTGGGTCAGCTTCAAGGGCAGCCCCACATAGAGCAATATTTAGCATGGATTGGACCAATGTGCGTGTACAGAAAAGCAACATGTCGCTGGAGAAGTAAGAAGCAAGCCTCGTTGCTCTTGTTTTGACTCTGTTTGGAGCCAAAGTTTCCTCCAGTAGCATCTTGAAAGTTTCTCCCTCCCCGCTCTGTTCAAAATTACCGTCTTTGCATTTTTCCTCTGCTGGGATTTCAGCCACAAAACACTTGTATCTGGGGCGCTCCCCGAAGCCAGCGTTCTTCAGCTCTGTGGAGGAAATGGAGAAAGGAAGAATCGTGGCGGTGTAGTGTTGGAATGGGACCCAAGGGTCATCTAGTCCAACCCCCCCGAAATGCAGGAATCACAGCTCAGGGGACAGAGGGGGAAGGAAACCCTCCGTCCCCAGTTAAGCTGGCGGCGGACAAGGGGGTGGGGATCTGAGCGGGTGGAGGTTGTTGCCAACTTTTTAGCCAGCCTCTGCTCCTCTGCCTTTAATATCAGATAGAGCCTGCTTGTCTTAGGAAGCTCCATCAGTTCTATGAGGCCAACTGCAGTTCGCTGAACCTGGGCGAGCTAGAAAAGGAAGGAACTTTCTATCACATGTGGTGGGAATGTAAAAAAGTGAAAAAACTTCTGGGAAATGATATATAATGAGATGAAAAAGATGTTGAAATATACATTTATTAAGAAACCAGAAGCATTTTTACTTGGCACTGTAGGAGATGATATTAAAGAAGAATGGCGGATGAAATTGGTGGACTATGCAGAATTAGATAAATTATGGTAACAGGAGGGATTTGAAACCTGCAGGACCAGAGATTCTTAGAAGATTGGAGTAAATATATGAATGATTCGAAAAGCAATTGTAATGAACAGATTATGCTAGTAGGACTGCAAGAAGTTCTGTAAGGAGGACTATTTGAAATATAGTGGTACCTTGGGTTAAGTACTTAATTCGTTCTGGAGGTCCGTTCTTAACCTGAAACTGTTCTTAACCTGAAGCACCACTTTAGTTAATGGGGCCTCCTGCTGCCGCTGCACCGCCGGAGCATGGTTACTGTTCTCAACCTGAAGCAAAGTTCTTAACCCGAGGTAATATTTCTGGGTTAGCGGAGTCTGTAACCTGAAGCGTCTGTAACCTGAGGTACCACTGTATTGCATGAAAGACTATGAGGAGAATGATTCATTTAGGACAATTAAGAGTAATAGAGAAATTAAGAAATGCAGAACAAGTGAACGGAACGCAGAACGGAAAATCATCAGAGGTTGTTGACAGAAGTCTAAAATATTGTATAAGGTAAGAAGTTATGTTAAATGATTGTTGGAAATGATATGCTAAAAAAACTAATTAAAAAAAGAACCTGGGTTGTGAGGGCAGGGGGGGACCCCAAGGTTCAGGCCTGCAGAAGATGGAGGAAGCCCAAAAAGTTGGGCGCTTGCCCCCCACCAGAACCCACAAAAATATCATGCCATTCGCACCCCTTCTTTACCTTCCACGCTGGTTCTGACTGAGCCCAAGGGTACGTTGTGAAGGACTGCAATCTCCTGCAAAAACGGAGACAGGTTTGTGCTTGAAGGGCGAGCCCCAATATTCTTGGCCTCTTCCCCACAGCGGTGCCAGGACACCTGGGACTCTGGGGCCATCTGAGGTGCTTTGGGGGTCTCAGTAAAGGTAAAGGGACCCCTGACCATTAGGTCCAGTCGTGGCCAACTCTGGGGTTGCGGCGCTCATCTCGCTTTACTGGCTGAGGAAGCCAGCGTCCAGCTTCCGAGTCATGTGGCCACCAGGACTAAGCCACTTCTGGCGAACCAGAGCTGTGCATGGAAACGCTGTTTACCTTCCCGCCGGAGCAGTACCTATTTATCTACTTGCACTTTGACGTGCTTTCGAACTGCTAGGTTGGCAGGAGCAGGGACCGAGCAACGGGAGCTCACCCCGTCGCGGGGATTCAAACCGCTGACCTTCTGATTGGCAAGTCCTAGGCTCTGTGGTTTAATCCACACGCCACACGCGTCCCTTGCAAATCGCTTTAGATACCTCTCAAAAAGGTAAAGGTAAAGGGACCCCTGACCGTTAAGTCCAGTCGCGGATGACTCTGGGGTTGCGCCGCTCATCTCGCTTTATTGGCCGAGGGAGCCGGCGTCCAGCTTCCGGGTCATGTGGCCAGCAGGACTAAGCCGCTTCTGGCGAACCAGAGCAGCGCACGGAAATGCCATTTACCTTCCCGCCGGAGCAGTCCCTATTTATCTACTTGCACTTAGGGGTGCTTTCGAACTGCTAGGTGGGCAGGAGCAGGGACCGAGCAAGGGGAGCTCACCCCGTCGCGGGGATTCAAACCGTGACCTTCCGATCGGCAAGCCCTAGGCTCTGTGGTTTAACCCACAGCGCCACCCGCGTCCCAGTACGGAGCGTCAAAGGGAAACCAGCTTTTCCTGCACGCTGGCCCTTTATGCTGGTGTTTGAAGCTGTGGGCACATGATGTTACCTGCAATCCGTATAAGGGAAGCCGCCTTGCGGCTAAGCTGAGGTGTGTACACTTGAGAAAGCCACTGAGTGTGCTAACAGATTGAGGTTGAATCCTGACAAAACAGAAGTACTGTTTTTTCAGGACAGGAGGCAGGTGGGTGTGGAGGACTCCCTGATCCTGAATGGGGCAACTGTGCCCCTGAAGGACCAGGTGTGCAGCCTGGGAGTCATTCTGGACTCATCACTGTCCATGGAGGCGCAGGTCAGTTCTGTGTCCAGGGCAGCTGTCTCCCAGCTCCATCTGGTACGCAGGATGAGACCTTCCCTGCCTGTAGAGTAGACTGTCTGGCCAGAGTGGTGCATGCTCTGGTTATCTCCCGCTTGGACTACTGCAATGCACTCTGTGAGGGGCTACCTTTGAAGGTGACCCGGAAACTACAACTAATGCAGAATGCGGCAGCTAGACTGGGGACTGGGAGCGGCCACCGAGACCACATAACACAGAGATCTGCATTGGCTCTCAGTACGTTTTCGAGCACAATTCAAAGTGTTGGTGTTGACCTTGAAAGCCCTAAACGGCCTCAAAGGCCCAGTAGACCTGAAGGAGCGTCTCCACCCCCATCGTTCTGCCCAGACACTGAGGTCCAGCTCTGAGGGCCTTCTGGCGGTTCCCTCCCTGCGAGAAGCCAAGTTACAGGGAACCAGGCAGAGACTTCTTGGTGGTGGCGCCTGCCCTGTGGAACACCCTCCCACCAGATGTCAAGGAAATATATAACTACCAGACTTTTAGAAGACATCTGAAGGCAGCCCTGTTTAGGGGAGCTTTTAATGTTTAATAGGTTATTGTATTTTAGTGTTCTGTTGGAAGCCGCCCAGAGTGGCTGGGGAAGCTCAGCCAGATGGGTGGGGTAAAAATAATAAATGATGATGATGATGATGATGATGATGACGTCTTCGTGAATTGGAGTTCGGGGAGGGAGGACAGGGGAACCAAACAGGTAGTGCATATCAGGTGAAGACATCCTCCGTCCCTTCTCTGGTGTGGACTTGAATCACGGACAGGAATCAGGAAATGACCTCGCTGAGTTTTAAGTGGCTCATGTAGCCTGGGAACATCATGGAACCAAACAGACACCCCCCCCCCAAAATCCCATCATTTGTTAAGGATGCTGAGAGTTACAGTGGTGCCTCGCAAGACGAAAATAATCCGTTCCGCGAGTCTCTTCGTCTAGCGGTTTTTTCGTCTTGCGAAGCAACCCTATTAGCGGCTTAGCGGATTAGCGCTATTAGCGGCTTAGCGGCTATTAAAGGCTTAGCGGCTTAGCGGCTAAAAGGCTATTAGCGGCTTAGCGGCTTAGAAAAAGGGGGGGGAGCGGGGAAAAATTGCAAGACTCGCAAGACGTTTTCGTCTTGCGAAGCAAGCCCATAGGGAAAATCGTCTTGCGAAGCAACTCAAAAACGGAAAACCCTTTCGTCTAGCAGGTTTTTCGTCTTGCGAGGCATTCGTCTTGCGGGGCACCACTGTATTAGGTATATGAGCACACCGCCTTCTCCTCACAGGGATACAATTTCCAGAGGGATTTAACAATCCATCCATCCATCCATCAAAGGGATGCATAGCCCAATGGTTGCCATTAATTTGATTTTGAATTGATTTTAGAATGCTGTGTTACTTTTATTGTTGTTAGCCGCTCTGAGCCCGGCTTCAGCTGAGGAGGGCGGAATATAAATAAATTATAATTATAATAATTATTAACCCTTAACAACTTGGGGCCAGTTTACCTGCAAAATCACCCTACCCCACATTCTTCCACTTGACTGCTTCAAGAATCAAAACTGACAGGTGCCACATAATACCCACTGCACATCTGCGAGAACTCGATATTTTAGTGTGGCAGCACTTTGGAACTCCCCGCCACTTGATAAGAGACAGGAGCGTGCATTGTACTCTTTCCGGCACCTGCTAAAACTCTTTCGACAAACCTACCCAGATGTTTAGAAAGCTGGCGAGAGTTTTAATCTGTTTTTACTGTTTCTCGAAAGTCTTAAATTATTGCTGTCAGTGATTCTTATCGATGATTTTATCTTTTTGGAAAACAGATTTGAGGGTTGTTTTTTTAAGAACGGAGCAGCATATAGATTTTGCGAAATCAATTCATTCGCCCCTCTTCCCAGGGAACTCCTTCTGTGAGGGAAAATAGGGCTAGCTCAGTCGGTTAGAGCACAAGACTTCATCTCAGGGTCACAGATTCGAGTCTCGTGTTGGGCAAAGATGGTTGATTATGTGGAACTAGCAAAACCGACCTGTAGAATCCGAAATCAGGAGGAAGCAAAATTCCAAAAAGATTGGAGCAAATTTATGGAGTACCTAAATAATAACTGTAGAAATCTGAAGACTCTGGCAGGACTGAAATAAATCTTACAATGTAGATAGGATTGGATACAATAAGAAACTGTGGGAAAGTAACTGACATAAGAAAAGCTGTTGAAGGGAGGGAAGGAAGTCAGTGTTCAGCAGAGTGTGGGGAAAGTATGAGGGTAAATGATTGTTGAATTTTACTGTATTTTGTTTGTTTGTGTTAAACGAAACACCGATAAAAAGCATTAAAAAAAAATAAACTTCAGCATTAAGGAAAAATAAACTTCAGGTCTGTTTAACGTGGCGCAACATCACTCCAAAATTCAAGGTGCAAATGCAAACCTGCTATATAGGGGGCCTGATCCACAGAAATTCTCCCGTGCGAGGGCCGCTGGAATTAAATCAGAGAGGGCTTTTGCGCACACACCCCTGCTAATATCAGCGGAAAGTAGAACTTTTTTGTGCCTTGAGCAAAACCCTGTGAATCCAGACTCACTCTCTCTCTCTCTGCCACACTGACTAACGGCTCAATCCTGTCTCGATCCACCTGGGGCAGGTGGGCACCCAGGACCACTGGGCTTGGACCCCAGGATCTCCCCCACCGCCACGGCCCTCACCTCAATAAACCGCATGATATCCTTCAGGTCCTTAGGCGTGCAGCGACGGATGGCAAAACTCATGGCTCCGGACAGAAACCTCCAAGGTCTCAACCAGGTCAACTTGCTGTCTCTTTCGGTCCTTAAAGGAGAGTCACGAGGGCAGCCGGGTTGCGAAAGAGGAGGACAGGGAAGGCCCAGTCCCACCACTGCAAGCAGGATCCGAGCGCAAGGGCAAATCTCTGCTCCTGGCATTCAGAAGTGTTGCTGCCTTATAAAGCCATCCGTGTTTGGATGGATCCCTGGTCCTGAATAATAATAATGATAATAATAAATTTTATTTATACCCCGCCCTCCCTGGCTCAGGGCGGCTAACACCAATAAAATCACAGTAAAAACATAATAGGGGAAAGGGGGGGGGAGAGAAAAAGGAAAAGGGAAAAAAAATTAAAATACAGGTTAAAATGCAATTTAAAATGCAGCCTCATTTTAAAGTAGCTGATAAATCAAGACCATAAGGGGAGGGAAACATAAGGGTCAGACCGAGTCCAAACCAAAGGCCAGGCGGAACAGCTCTGTCTTGCAGACCCTGCGGAAAGATGTCAAGTCCCGCAGGGCCCTGGTCTCTTGGGACAGAGCGTTCCACCAAGTCGGGGCCAGTGCTGAAAAGGCCCTGGCCCTAGTTGAGACCAGTCTAACCTCCTTGAGGCTCGGGACCTCCAAAATGTTGTAATTTGTGGACCTTAAGGTCCTCCGTGTGGCGTACCAGAGAGGCGGTCCCGTAGGTATGGGGGAACTGTGCCCCTGAAGGACCAGCTGCGCAGCCTGGGAGTCATTTTGGACTCACAAATCCTTTCTATATATAGGGTGGCTACATTGTGCATGGACCAGTTGCAGGGCAACATGCGCAAATGGCTTAAGATACCTATTCGGTCCATCAATGACCATATAGCATATATTCAACACAAAAAAGCAGTGACCATTTGTTGTTGACAAAGGACAGCTGGACATAGAAAGGGCCCCATTACCTTCAGTAGCTCAGGGCCTCATCAAACCTAAATCCGGCCCTGGGGACGCATACCCCGAAACATTTTGTGAATCTTTGTACTTTTGTCCATTTACTGCATTTATTTTCCCCAATTTGAACTATAAAATGGTGATTCCCTTGAGTCAAAACGAGAGCACCCCAAAACATTTTTTTAGGGGGAAAAACCACTGGATGCCCCGTTCCTGATCGAAACCGTCGCGAAGTCGAACTCTCCACCCTGATCCAGCGGGTTGGGATGGATGACCCTCCGGTGTCCCTTCCCAGCCTACGATCCTAGCATCCATTCATTGGTCGCCCCCAATCGAACCTCCTCCCAGTGGGGTTGTAATAAAATTCCCACCACGTTTGCAAAGCTCAGCAGGGACCGGTAAGGTTTCAAACTGGATGGGAGACCGCGCTTTGAGAGCAGAGGGTTGGACTGGATGTCCTTTGGGGTTCCCTTCCAATTCAAGGGTTCGCTGAGTTCTCTGGCCAGCTCTGTCCCGCCCCGCTCCTCCTCCTCCTCTTCCCACCCTCCCTCTTCCCTGGAGCATCCTGGGAAATGTAGTCCTCCGAGCCTGGAGAAAACTTCCGTATCTCCAGCTGGGGATCTGCCATGGCCGATCAGGCAGCCGTGGACCAAGACCCCGCCGCCCCCGCGGTGTCGATCCGGCCCTCCCGAGCCGAGGACTGCGCGGAGATCATGCGCATGATCCGGGTAGGCCCTTTCCCACGAGCAGGCAGACACGCAGGCAGGCAGGCATTCGACTGGTGCAGCTGCGTCCTGTTGAAGTGCTGCACCTGTTGAATGTCCGCCTAGCTCCGCCGCTGAGCCCCGGCGCTCGCCCTCCCTGCATCCCCAATAGCAAAAAAGAGAGAGAGAGATTTATTGCTTATTGAGCCTTCATCCTGGTTTGCAGGCAGGCAGGGTGGATAAAAATAATTAATTGAGGGTGGATAAAAAATAAATAATTGAGAGACAATTAAGAGCCTCGGATGTGAGATCTCCAGGCTAATAGTACATTAAGACTGATGGACATTGGTTGGGGGCTTAAACCGGGAAAGGGGGGGTGGAGTTTGGGAATCCAAAGGGTATATAATTATAATTTGATCTGCTTTTTATTTTTGTTTTTGCCATGCGTATGGAAATTGGGAAATTCGTGGAAGGGAATTTGGGTCGACTTTAGAAAAAATGTCTTAAGAATGAATATTGATGTCTAAGTTTGGATAAGGTAAAATTGGTTTTTGTTTTGTTTTGTTTTTCTAAAAAAAATATGAATGAACTAAATTAAATGAAAATAAGGTTAGCAAAAATAAATTGAGGAAATGGATGAAAGAGAAAAAGTAAAATAATAATATGTTAAATTAAGTATAGAAATAGGTTAAAAATTACGGATAAGGACTTGCTGAATTAATAATTTGAATTGGAATACAAGAAGGGGAGGTATGAGGAAGTCGGGGAAATATGTTATTGAAAAATAAGTACTGTGAAATGTATGTGTTTTTAAACTTTTTGTTTTTTTCTTTTTTGATTCTTTTTTATCTGTATAAAATTTGAAAACTTTAATAAATATATTTTTAAAAAATAAAATAAATGTTTTTTATTTAAATCGGATTTTAAAATAAAAAGCATTTGGAGGAAAAATCTTTCTAAAGATAGTTTTCTGTTTAAGTTGCATTAGAGTCCAAAGGCTATTCATCAGGAAATAAGGGTTTGTTTTACGTTTTCTGTGTGTGCTAAAACTCAGGCTAAGTTGTTTGTTTGTTTTTAATTGTTTAACCACATCAGTTAACAAACGTGGATACATATGCTATAATGCTACTGTTTCAGTTAAATAAAATGTTTAAATTTATTAAGGAAATGGTTATTTTTCTCCTTCCAATCACGCACAGCGGAAAAGTTGTCCAAATAGAAACAGTTCACTTGTTAAACCTCACAATAATTTCATCATTCTCTGCCTGGGTGTTTCTTGTAGTAGAACCAAATCAGTAATTTTTGTAAAAACTACTCTGAAAATTTATTATTCCAGAAATGAGACCTTCATCTGGTTGTAAATATTAAAATTATACCAGCAATAATGAGTCTTTCTGCAAAAAAAATGATGATTTAAATCAAGTCTTACTGAAATTGTGATTTAAATCGATTTGATTTAAATCAAATCCACCCTGCAGGCAGGGATTATTATTTAATTCCATTTGTCTATTGCATTTATATCCCACCCTTTCCCCGCTTCCTCCTTTAATCCTCGCTGCAATCCTGTGAGGTGGGTGAGGCCTTAGCTCAGATGGCAGAGCACGACTCTTCATCTCGAGGGTTGTGGGTTCGAATCCCAAGTCGGTCAGAAAGATTCCTGCATTTCAGGGAGGTGGGCTGGAAGATCCTTGGGGGGGGGTCGAGACTTCTTTGCGGAGTTCACAGTTAAACTGCGGAACTCCTTGCCACTTGAGGCAGCGATGGCTACCAACTTTGGTGGCTTTAAAAGAGGATTGGTCAAACCCAGTGAGGATGAAGGCTATGGGGTGGCTAAGAGCCATGATTGGGACGCGGGTGTCGCTGTGGGTAAAAGCCTCAGTGCCTAGGGCTTGCCGATCGAAAGGTCGGCGGTTCGAATCCCCGCGGCGGGGTGCGCTCCCGTTGTTCGGTCCCAGCGCCTGCCAACCTAGCAGTTCGAAAGCACCCCCGGGTGCAAGTAGATAAATAGGGACCGCTTACTAGCGGGAAGGTAAACAGCGTTTCTGTGTGCGGCTCTGGCTCGCCAGAGCAGCGATGTCACGCTGGCCACGTGACCCGGAAGTGTCTCCGGACAGCGCTGGCCCCCGGCCTATAGAGTGAGATGAGCGCACAGCCCCAGAGTCTGTCAAGACTGGCCCGTACGGGCAGGGGTACCTTTACCTTTACCTTTAAGAGCCATGATGGCTCTGCTTCTGAAGGCCAGTTTTGGGGAGGACTTGTGTTCGAATCCTGCTTGTCGGTTTCACATAACGGGCGTCTGCTTGGTCACTCCGGGATGCTGGAGAGAAAACTAGCTCAGTCGGTAGAGCGTGAGACTTTGAATCTCAGGGTCGTGGGTTTGAATCCCACGTCGGGCAATATCTGCCCTCCCTTCCCCACAGGTGGGCGGGGTTTGCGGCACCGAGCGGGGCTCACCTGGGCGGGTGCCACCCACCTGCTTCAGCTGGCCTTTGACCCGCCCTCGGCCAGGGAGGATAATAGACGGCCGGCCGGGGGTGGACCTAAGGCCAAGCCTCTTTTGCGGTTCTTCCTTCCAGCATCACCCACCCTCCCTCCCTCCCTCAAATTAATAATTTCTTGCCTTATTAATTTCATCCTAGGTCAGCGATCTTCAATTTAATAATTCTTTCTTTGCAGACTAATATTTTGCATTCCAGGTCAGCGGGCGCTGCTGCGGTTGTAAGATGGGTGCTGTATTCAGAACCGGGAAGGAATTTTCCCTGCATTGGCAGGTTTCGCCTTAAATGCATTTTGTCACAACTTTGGCGGTTTGAGGCCTTGGCAAGGTAGCCTTTAGTCTGACATCAAGTTGGGGGGGGGGGAATGCATCCATGCTCCCTCCCCATGTGGCGGCGCTTGCAGGGCCCGTTAAAGGGCAAGAACCGGGAGTCCCTGGCCCTAGAGCAGCGGCATGTACCGTATTTTGCGCCCCATAGGACGCTCCGGCCCATAGGACGCACCTAGTTATTTGGGGGGGAAATAAATAAATAAATAAAATATTTTCCCCCCCCCCCAGGTGCAGGGCTGGAAGAACCAGGTCGGGGAACAGCGGGAAGGCGCGCTCTGCCTCCCCGCTGTCCCCCGAGCTTGTGGGGCTGGCGATGGGGAGAAGTGCGCTGATCCCGGGACTGCAGGCAGCTCTGCGCCGCCATCGGGAGCAGGGCGGGACTTCGCCCCATAGGACGCACACACATTTCCCCTTCATTTTTGGAGGGGAAAAGGTGCGTCCTATAGGGCGAAAAATACGGTAGGTCAAACTCCCGGGACGAGGTCAGTGGAAGGGCATGCTGTGTAAGTTTGCGCTTTGCAGTCCCCTCTCACTGGATCTCACTGAGAGGGTTGCCTGCCAAGGCCTGTGCCAAGTTTCTCGCTTCTGAAGCTCAATAAAGTTGTGGCCAATTTGAGCCCATACTCTGGTCTCTTGTCTCATCATTTGGGATAATGAGGTAGGCACCACAGACAGGGCTTAGCGCGTGTGCCCACAAAATGATTCCTGCATATTGCAGCGGGGTGGGCTGGATGACCCTCAGGGGTCCCACTTGACTCTATAATTCTAGGATCCCAAACAGGATTTGTTCAGGATATTGAGGAGGAATAAATTGAAACTGCAGGTGAGCTGATTTGGAGCGGAGTGCGAATTAATTGAAGCCTGGAAGCGGGGCCCGGGGGCGGGATTCCGATGCGAGGCTTTTAAATCTTTAAATGTAGATTAGCATATGCAAATCCTATGCAGATGTGAGGGCCCAGGATATTTCCAGCCCTAGCAACAGCCCCCTGCTGTCAGAATAAAAGGGAGCGAAGGCTCATCCTCCTTTGCAAAGTCTAAACTGGGCACACTCTGTAACAACAGTTCCCCCTGCCTGACTTCAAAAGGAACCTCCTTGGCTTTGAAAGGCTGAGCCAGGATTTAACCGGAAAGTTTGATGCTGTTTGTTTAGCACTGGACCACGGCCAGCGATTTCTCTCCTGTGGGTTTTGCATTAGCATAGCAAAGCTCGCCGAAAGATTGTGTAATTGCCAGATATTGCTTTAGACTCTAGGCTATCCTCTCTCTGTGTCATTTGAGATTCTGCAGAGAAACTTGCACTCCGCAGTTTGCAATCCAGAGAGGCTGCTGGATCAGGCCAGAGGGGGCCCGATCCACTCCAGGATCCTGTTCTCATGGTGGCCGATTGTGATAAGAATTTTTAGGTCTTAGATATATGTTAAAGGTAAAGGGACCCTGACCGTTAGGTCCAGTCGTGACCGACTCTGGGGTTGTGGCGCTCATCTCGCTTTACTGGCCGAGGGAGCCGGCGTACAGCTTCCGAGTCATGTGGCCAGCAAGACTAAGCCGCTTCTGGAGAACCAGAGCAGCGCACGGAAACGCCGTTTACCTTCCCGTTGGAGTGGTACCTATTTATCTACTTGCACTTTGACGTGCTTTTGAACTGCTAGGTTGGCAGGAGCAGGGACCGAGCAACGGGAGCTCAACCTGTCGCCGGGATTCGAACCGCCGACCTTCTGATCGGCAAGTCCTAGGCTCTGTGGTTTAACCCACAGCGCCACCCACGTCCGTCTAGATATATATTAAATGTTCATAAATGTACCAACCAAGCACGTACATAGATCAGCACAGGAAGACCGACCTGAAACCGTTTTTGATTCCCAAACTGACCAAATGTTTTCTCTGCAAGGTCAAAGTGGGAAACCTCCCCATTGTCTCTTTCCTCACAAATCCTGTCTTAAGGGCACATTTAAGATATGAATAGGGTGTGAGCCTGTGACCTGGTTCAGGAACTAAGTATTTATCATTTCAAAAGACTGGACAGGCTCCCCAGGCAATCCAGTCAAGTGACCATTAAACAGGTAACCTGCCAGACAGGAGGTAAACAATGCACTCAGATTTCTGCTGTAGATCACCCTTTCTGTGATGTATGTATGATGTATGGAGGGGTGGTCTTGAGCTCCAGGGAGGGAATTAAAAATGTCTATATAAGGGCGGGCACACCTTGGTTCCGGATCCTCCTCCCTCCTGCGTGTGGTGAGTGAGGACCCTGTTGCAACAGATCAATAAAGATCAGGCTTACTAGCTGCTTTGTTCTCAGTATTCTCTGGTTGGCCTCTGTTATTTTCTCCTACCAATAGGGAACCTATGTAAGGACTCTATATGGGCTCTTGGATACCCCATAAGGGAAAAAGGGGCAGATTTTTGTTTACGACACAACCCGGTCGGAAACCCACAATCGGGATCCAAGAGCAAGAATAACACCCTCCCCTCCTCAAGTGCCGATTTTGGGCAAGATCGCCTCCGTTTGGGCCCAGATCTCCCCCAAAATGGGCACATCCTTGCCTGCGGCAAAGTGCAAGGCAGTGGCAGGAAAGCATTCACCACAACAACAACGTCCCTGCTTGCTTACAGGGAGACCCCTTGAAATCCACGCTGTTTAAGTAAAGGTAAAGGTAAAGGGACCCCTGACCATTAGGTCCAGTCGTGGCCGACTCTGGGGTTGCGGCTCTCATCTCGCTTGACTGGCCGAGGGAGCCAGCGTACAGCTTCCGGGTCATGTGGCCAGCATGACTGAGCCGCTTCTGGCAAACCAGAGCAGTGCACGGAAACGCCGTTTACCTTCCCGCCGGAGTGGTACCTATTTATCTACTTGCACTTTGAGGTGCTTTCGAACTGCTAGGTTGGCAGGAGCAGGGACCGAGCAACGGGAGCTCACTCCGTAGCAGGGATTCGAACCGCCGACCTTCTCATTTCCGGAAGAGGCTTAGTCATGCTGGCCACACGACCCGGAAAAACTGTCTGCGGACAAATGTTGGCTCCCTCGGCCAACCCCAGAGTCGGCCACGACTGGACCTAATGGTCAAGGGCCCCTTTACCTTTGCTTTTTATGTGTGGAAATTCAAGGTCTTGGCAAATGAGATGGTGGGGCAGCCATTGTGCCCGCGGTTCATGTTCTCTTTCTCCCTTTTCAGGAACTTGCAGAGTTTGAGAAAATGCCTGATCAGGTAGCAAACAGCAGTCAAGGTGAGGCCGAACCCAGGGCGCGAATTCTCGGGGCAAATTTCCTTGGCCAGGTCTACTTACAGGGGTGTTGTGTTCATGTTTGGGGCACGATGGGTGGGATCAGATCACCGTGGGCTGGTGGTTGAGGGCACCGGGTGTGGGAGAGGGGCTGCATTTCCCGCCCCAACCTGGCCACAGTGATCCATGCTTGACTACTGTAATTCGCTCTACGCGGGGCTGCCCTTGAAGCTGACCCAGAAACTCCAGCGGGTGCAGAATGCTGCGGCGAGGCTCCTCACGGGGTCTCTGCCATGGGAGCATATTCACCCAGTGCTTTACCAGTTGCACTGGCTCCCGGTGGAGTACAGGGTCAGGTTCAAGGTGCTGGTCTTGACCTTTAAAGCCCTTTGTGGCTTAGGGCCCTCGTATCTATGGGGCGGCCTCTCCTGGTCTGCCCCACGGAGGACCTTAAGGTCCATGAATAACCATAGTTTAGAAGTCCCGGGCCCTAAGGAAGTCAGACTATCCTCCACCAGGGCCAGGGCCTTCTCAGCGGTGGCTCCGACCTGGTGGAATGCTCTGTCCCATGAGACCAGGGCCCTGAAGGATTTAACCTCCTTCCGCCGGGCCTGTAAGACAGAGCTATTCTGCCTGGCCTTTAATTTGAATTCAGCCTGATCTTTTATTCCCCTTCTTTCCCTTTTTATGAATATCGCCCGCTCTGAGACCCCACAGCTAATTCTCCCCTGGCCTCCTCGCTGGCCCAAGTAGGACCAATTCAGCCAGCTAGCCCTGGGAATTATCTAATTGATTTTTGATTTTGAATGTTACTGTATTGTCATTCATGTTTTTATACTGTATTTTATGCTGTTTTAATAATTAAGTGTTTTAAATTTGTTGTTAGCCACCCTGAGCCTGGTTTTTGAACCGGGAAGGGCGGGGTATAAATAAATAAAATTATTATTATTATTATTATGCCCTGCGGCATCCAGGAGCATAGAATCACAGAAGCGTCGAGTCGAAAGGGACCCCTAGAGGCCATCTAGCTCAACCCCCGCAGAATGCAGGAATCGCAACTCAAGCATCCCCGACAGAGGGCCATCCGGCCTCTGCGTAAAAACCTCCACCTTCCAGGGGGGTCCCTTCCACTGTTGAAAGGTGGTGGACAACCGCACTTTGCAAAAGGAGAAGAGAATTGGCCTCTGCCCACAAGGGGCTTGCAAAACAGAAAATCAACGCAGGAGAGCCCGCAAAGGAATGGAAGTCAGGAGATGGCTCCCGAAGGAATGAGCTGGCCTGGCCAACTTACAAAGCAATTTCCCCGCAGAAAAAGACTTGTGGGGGCTTTGAGGTTGAATCCTGACAAGACAGAAGTACTGTTTTGGGGGGACAGGAGGTGGGCAGGTGTGGAGGACCAGGTGCGCAGCCTGGGAGTCATTTTGGACTCACCGCTGTCCATGGAGGGGCAGGTCAGTTCTGTGTCCAGGGCAGCTGTGTACCAGCTCCATCTGGTACACAGGATGAGACCCTCCCTGCCCGCAGACTGTCTCGCCAGAGTGGTGCATGCTCTGGTTATCTCCCGCTTGGACTACTGCAATGTGCTCTACGTGGGGCTACCTTTGAAGGTGACCCGGAAACTACAAGTAATCCAGAATGTGGCAGCCAGACTGGGGACAGGGAGCGGCCGCCGAGACCACATAACACCGGTCCTGAAAGACCTTCATTGGCTCCCACGACGTTTCTGAGCACAATTCAAAGTGTTGGTGCTGACCTTGAAAGCCCTAAACGGCCTCAAAGGCCCAGTATACCTGAAGGAGCATCTCCACTCCCATCATTCAGCCCGGACACGGAGGTCCAGCTCCGAGGGCCTTCTGGCAGTTCCCTCCCTGCAAGAAGCCAAGTTGCAGGGAACCAGACAGAAGGCCTTCTCGGTGGTGGCTCCCTCCCTGTGGAACGCCCTCCCACAGATGTCAAAGAGAAAAATAACTACCAGACTTTTAGAAGACATCTGAAGGCAGCCCTGTTTAGGGAAGCTTTTAATGTTTAATAGGTTATTGTATTTTGGTGTGGGGTATAAATGGGTGGGGTATAAATAACATCATATTATTATTATTATTATTATTATTATTATTATTATTAATTTCCAGAGCTCACCTGAACTTAAAAGCCCAAAGGTTTGGGGTTTATATATCTGGTCGTCTTGCAATGATTCCTGGGTCCTGCTGACCCCAGTTTTTTTCCACCCCCTTTTCTCTCTGTCTCTTTGATACTCGCGTCTTTGTTCCCAGGACTTTACGAGGACGGCTTCTGCCAGGACCCCTTCTATAAATGTGTGGTGGCCGAGGTCCCCCCGAAACATCAGAGCAAAGACGGTAAGCGAGATTCCTGCCCCAAAATCCCATCTTCCAACACGGCAAAGATGCAATCCTTTCCTTTCTGCCGCGATAGGGAGGTTCCCCTTCTCTCTCCCAATTAACCTCCGTCTCCGGGGCTCAGCGATGGGAGGAAAAGCAGAAGGAAGAATCTCTCAGGTTTGCCCCAGAGACGTTCTGCCTTGGTCAGAGCCCATCTGGCGTTCTGGGCACCCCAGTTTAAGGAGGATATCGACAAGCTATAGGGCGGCTGAGAGGATCAAGGGGTCTGGCCATATGAGGAGCGGCCGAAGGAGTTGGGAAGAGAGAAGAGGGGACTGAGAGGTGATAGCCACCTTCAAAAATAATAGATTGGCAAATTAAATTACAACAATTTGTAATTGAGATGGCTCGATGGACGAGGAAACTCAGAGGAAACTCAAAGCAAAAATTTGCGGGGAAATAGGATGGTTATAGAAGATACGTGCAAAAATACAATAGCAGTTTTGACTCCGTGCTAGCGTTCGGGTGACAAAGGAAGTAAAAGGAGGTGGACAACAATTAAGGATTTATTATATTTTCTGAATGCATTGGGAAATCTATATAGAAAGGTTTGTTGTTTTGTTTACGTTCAGTTGTAAGATAAAATATACGCGAAGGGACTTGACAGGAAGTCAAAATTGAAGAAACGGTTTTGTGAGATAAAAGGTGAAAAAATATTATTGTCATTATTATTGCTATTGTGTGTGTGTGTGTGTGTGTTTGTGAGGGTGTGTGTTTTGCATGGAATGTTTGGGAGGAAATAAGACGGTAAATAACAAATAGCAAACAAAATATGGATGTATGTAATTTTTATTTCTCAGTTATATTTTGTGGTAGTATGGTTCTGGCGGTTTTCTCCCCGCGAGAAGCCAAGTTACAGGGAACCAGGCACAGGGCCTTCTTAGTGGTGGCGCCCTCCCTGTGGAACGCCCTCCCAGCAGATGTCAAGGAAATAAACAACTATCTGACTTTTAGAAGACACCTGAAGGCAGCCCTGTTTAGGGAAGTTTTTAATGTTTAATTGGTTATTGTATTTTAATATTCTGTTGGAAGCCGCCCAGAGTGGCTGGGGAAACCCAGCCAGATGGGCGGGGTATACTGTAAATAATAAATGATGATGATGATGATGATGATGATCAATTAGATTTATAGACCTCCCTTCATCACAAGATCTCAGGGCGGTTCACAGGATAAAATACAAGGTAAATAGTTAAAATAACACACACACCCCGGCAGACACATTTAGAAGGCCGTAGAATATTGACCAACCATTAATCTGCTATTGAAACTGTGTTTAACTGAATGCAACAAGGGTTTGCCCCCTCCTTCCCTGTATCAAAAATTGCAAATCCCTTTGGACAGGGCCTTATATTTTGGTTGTTTCCCTGCAAATGTCTACAAAACTCTCTATATGGATGGATTTCCCCCCTAAATTGACTTTTGAATCCTGAATTTATTGTTATTCACGTTTTATACTGTATTTTATGCTGTTTTTTGTTGCATCAGTTAAGTGTTTTAAATTTGTTGCTAGCCACCCTGAGCCCGGTATTCTGAACCGGGAAGGGTGTGGTATAAATAAAAAAATATTATTATTATTATTATTATTAACCCTTGGGGTGCATTGCAACTTTCTGATTCTATGATTTGCAATCCAGGGGGAATTTCAGAACCACTTACCCAGGTTCTCTTTTTTTAAAATTTTAAATAATATTTATTAATTTTTCAACAGTTTAAACACAACACTACAGAAAACCAAAAAAAACACACAATACAACAATACAATACAATACAATACAATACAATAGACACTACAAAACACTGACACAAACAATTAACAAAACAAAACAAAAACCATTCAAAACACAATCCAATTTCAATATCTTATCTTTCATTCACTTGTTTCCACGACTTCCTCACACCTCCCTTTTTGTCTTCCACTTCTATTAATTGTTTCAGCAATTCCTCTCCATCTTTCTCTGTTTTCTATCCTATAATTATCTTAACACATTCTAACCTTATTTTTCCCTTTAATACTCTATCAATCTATCTATACTTAACTCCTTACAGTATAACATTTCTACTAAAGCCATGTAACTTCATTCCAACATTTTTCTAACATTCATTAATTTTACAGTATTTCTGTACACTTACCCAGGTTCTCATCCCACGGGGAGCGGCCCACAATCTCTAGGGCAGCCCCCCAATATATGTTCTGCCCCCAAGCAACTGCCTGGAGGAAAAGGCTGCGTTTGAATCGCCTGGGTCCTGTTTATGGTCGGCTGCTAACCTAATCCAGAAGAGCCCTGGACTGATTTTAGAAAAGCAGGTTGCGATCTCTTGTTGTCGTTCTTTCGTTTTTCCCACTGCAGGCCACACCGTCGTGGGGTTTGGCCTGTATTTTTTCACGTACAGCACCTGGAAAGGCAGAAACATCTACATGGAAGACCTCTACGTCATGCCAGAGTTTCGGGGTACGGAAATGCGGAAGGGAAGAAGCTGATTCCAGGCTCTTAATCTCCGGGTTGCGGGTTCGAGTCCTGCGTTGGGCAAAGATTTCCGCATCGCAGGGAGTTGGTCTGGATGACCGTTGGGGTCCCTGGCAACTCGACAATTCGGTGGATTCTATGAACAGCCAGGAACTACAGTGGTACCTCAGGTTACATACGCTTCAGGTTACATACGCTTCAGGTTATAGACTCTGCTAACCCAGAAATAGTGCTTCAGGTTAAGAACTTTGCTTCAGGATGAGCAGCGGGAGGCCCCATTAGCTAAAGTGGTGCTTCAGGTTAAGAACAGTTTCAGGTTAAGAACGGACCTCTGGAACAAATTAAGTACTTAACCCGTGGTACCACGGTATAATTAAGAAAATGTGTGTGTGTGTGTGTGTGTGTGTGAGAGAGAGAGAGAGAGAGAGAGAGAGAGAGTGTGTATTGGACCTTCAAAGCAACTTGGCGCCCTCCACTTTCATTGCGCTACAACTCCCAAAACTCCATGCGAGAAGCCAAGTTACAGGGAACCAGGCAGAGGGCCTTCTTGGTGGTGGCGCCTGCCCTGTGGAACGCCCTCCCGTCAGATGTCAAAGAGAAGAACAACTACCAGACTTTTAGAAGACATCTGAAGGCAGCCCTCTTTAGGGAAGCTTTTAACGTTTAATAGGTTATTGTATGTTAATATTCTATTGGAAGCCGCCCAGAGTGGCTGGGGAAACCCAGCCAGATAGGCGGGGTATAAATAATAATAAATTACAGTGGTACCTCAGGTTAAGTACTTAATTCGTTCCGGAGGTCCGTTCTTAACCCGAAACTGTTCTTAACCTGAAGCACCACTTTAACTAATGGGGCCTCCCGCTGCCGCCGGAACACGATTTCTGTTCTCATCCTGAAGCAAAGTTCTTAACCTGAAGAACTATTTCTGGGTTAGCGGAGTCTGTAACCTGAAGCGTATGTAACCTGAAGCGTATGTAACCCGAGGTACCACGGTATTATTATTAGGGACCCATGACTATTAGGTCCAGTCGTGGCCGACTCTGGGGTTGCGGTGCTCATCTCACTTTATTGGCCGAGGGAGCCGGCGTACAGCTTCCGGGTCATGTGGCCAGCAGGACTAAGCCGCTTCTGGCGAACCAGAGCAGCGCACAGAAACGCCGTTTACCTTCCCGCTGGAGCGGTACCTATTTATCTACTTGCACTGGCACGCTTTCGAATTGCTAGGCTGGCAGCAGCAGGGACCGAGCAACGGGAGCTCACCCCGTCGCGGGGATTTGAACCGCCGACCTTCTGATCGGCAAGTCCTAGGCTCTGTGGTTTAACCCACAGTGCCACCCTCATCCCATATATTATCATTATCATTATTATATCTGGAAGCAGTCCGGTTGCTTTGAAAACAAAGATAAAATTTGGAGGGAGCGACTTAGACCAGATGAGGGTGGGACATGTCCTGGGACGTGGTGGCAGAGAGTTCCCAAGGCGTAAATACCGGGGGGGGGTGTATTTCCTTCCTTCGGAGAACCCAGGAGTCCTGTCTTCCTTCTGAGCTTTTCCTCTTCCTTCTGTCGCAGGGAGAGGCATTGGGAAGAAGCTGATGAGTGCCATTGCCCAGGTAAGAGCTGCCCCTACACAGAAATGGAACCTTCTGAATGCCAAGCAACTGTTCTGCTACGTCCCTTTCCCCTACAAATAGGAACATCGGAAGCTGCCTCATAGCGAGTCATGCCTCTGGGGTCCACCTAGCTGCATATTACCTGCTTGGGCTGGCAGCAATAACTCTCCAGGGTTTCAAACAGGTGTAAGGTAAAGGTAAAGGGACCCCTGACCGTTAAGTCCAGTCGCGAATGACTCTGGGGTTGCGGCGCTCATCTTGCTCTATAGGCCAAGGGAGCCGGCGTCCAGCTTCCGGGTCATGTAGCCAGCAGGACTAAGCCGCTTCTGGCAAAGCAGAGCAGCACACGGAAACACCGTTTACCTTCCCGCCGGAGTGGTACCTATTTATCCACTTGCACTGGTGTGCTTTCGAACTGCTAGGTTGGCAGGAGCAGGGACCGAGCAACGGGAGCTCACCCCGTCGCGGGGATTCGAACAGCCGACCTTCTGATCGGCCAGTCCTAGGCTCTGTGGTTTAACCCACAGCGCTACCCGTGTCAGGCAGGTGTAATAATAACAATTATTATTATTATTATTATTATTATTATTATTATTATTATTATGCCTCACCCATCTGGCTGGGTTTCCCCAGCTACTCTAGGTGGCTCCCAACATAATTAATGATAATAATAATGAAAAAGTGATAAAACACCAAATATTAAAAGATTCCTTAAACAGGGCTGCCTTCAGATGTCTTCTAAAAGTCAGGTAGTTGTTTATTTCCTTGACATCTGAAGGGAGGGTGTTCCACAGGGTGGGTGCCACCACTGAGAAGGCCCTCTGCCTGGTTCCCTGTAACCTCACTTCCTGCAGTGAGGGAACTGCCAGAAGGCCCTCGGAGCTGGACCTCAGTGTCCGGGCAGAACGATGGGGGTGGAGACGCTCCTTCAGGTCTACTGGACCGACGCCGTTTAGGGCTTTAAAGGTCAGCACCAACACTTTGAATTGTGCTCAGAAACGTACTGGGAGCCAATGTAGGTCTTTCAAGACCGGTGTTATATGGTCCCAGCAGCCGCTCCCATTCCCCAGTCTGGCTGCCGCATTCTGGATTAGTTGTAGTTTCTGGGTCACCTTCAAAGGTAGCCCCACGTAGAGCGCATGGCAGCAGTCCAAGCGGGAGATAACCAGAGCATGCACCACTCTGGCCAGACAGTCTGCGGGCAGGGTAGGGTCTCATCCTGCGCACCAGATGGAGCTGGTAGACAGCTGCCCTGGACACAGAATTGACCTGCGCCTCCATGGACAGCGGTGAGTCCAAAATGACTCCCAGGCTGCACACCTGGTCCTTCAGGGGGCACAGTTGCCCCAGCACTACCCAAAGATCCTGAAGGCTGAACCCACGACCTTCCACATGCCAAGCAGATGTCCTCCCTGCTGAGCTAAGGTCTTCTTCTCCTCTGCAGATCGGCGTGGAGAAAGGATGCACCCAGATGAAGTTCTCCGCTCTGGACTGGAACCAAAAGGCCATCGACTTATACCTTGGCAACGGCGCCGTGGACCTGACTGCCACTGAGGGCTGGCACGTCTTCCGCTTCGAAGAAGACGCCATGCGGCAGCTGGCAGAGGGGGCAGCCAACAAATGAGGCGTGGGCAGAGATTTCGGAACAGCAGGACTGTCATCCCTCGGAGAACCCAGGAATCCAGGTTCCTTTATGTTGGTACTAAAGGGTTAAGAGGTAACAAGTCGCTCTAATCACTGAGCAGCTGGAAGTCATTAAGCATCCAGGAATGTGAGTTAGTTTGTATAAATAGTCAGTTCACCAGTGTGTTTGTTGCCATGGGCGTGTTTGCTGATATGAGTTAAGTTTAGAGTAAAGTTTTCTTTATGCCGGAGATAAAAGCATGTGTGCTTTATCGCCAGGGTTTTTTTTCTTTTGTAAATAAAGTTTTTTCCTGAGTTCCAAAGTGCTTGCTCCAGGATTCTTTGTTGAAAGGTACTGTCTCTCCTGCCCTTCTTAAACAGCTGCACGAAATTCTCTGCTGAGATGGGATTTATGGCGTTGGAAGCGCACTGGACGTTTACTTAACATTAAACTAATTAAAGTTTAATGGACACTTTATTCACTCTGGACAGAGTGGTTGGGGAGGTCTAGCAATAGCAGGGCCGCCGCTTCGCAGATTTGCTAAAATGGTGGGGCTGGAAGGGGACCACCAAAGGTCATCTATCTCAACCCCCTTGCGATGCAGGAATCGCACTCAAAGAATCCCTGACATCCAGCCTCTGCTTTGAAACCTCCGGGAAAGGATAGTCCAGCAACTTCTAGGAGTACCTCTGTTGAATGACTCTCACCACCAGAATCTGCTTAGCCCGAATCTCCTTTCTTGCAAACTGAAGCGATGGGTTCGAGTCCTACCCTCCGGAGCAGGAGAAAACAAGCTTGCATCTTGTGATAGCCCTCCGTGTGATAGCCCTGAAGAAATATCTTAAGGGCTATCCCATGGAGGAGAGATGCAAGCTTTTCTCCTGCTCTGGAGGGTAGGACTCGAACCCATCGCTTCAATCTCAGTCCTCTCTTCTCCAGGCTAAATACCCCCAGCTCCTTCAACTGTTCCTCAAATGCAGGCTCCCACAAGTTCGGCCCTTCAGATGTTTTTGGCCTACAACTCCCATGATCCCTAGCTAGCAGGACCAGCGGTCAGGGATGCTGGGAATTGTAGTCTCCAAACATCTGGAGGGCCGAGGTCGAGGAAGCCTGCTCATAATGTAGCCTTTTTAGACTTCACCGACTGGTGGGGTCTGCGTTGCTCCCGGGAGGGAGAAAGGAAGTCAAATGACACCGAGGTTGATTCAGAGAAAGAGTTTATTCTGCTCTCCGGATAGCAGAAGGCACTTGCGTGGTCAGTCCACAGCAAGAGCACTTAAAGAGCAGTTACCCACAGCTTATATACCCTTTCTGGTCCCCTTGCCCCCTCCCCAGGAATCCAGCCACGTCAGCTTATACACGCAGGTTGACATTACATCTGTTCCTGCTCCTTACTCTTAACCATAAAAGGGTTTTCCTCTTCCTGTACTTTTGACCATAAAAGGGTGTTCCTATTCCTATACTCTTATCTTGGAGCAAGAGGTCACCAACTCCTGGTGCTGTTCCCGGGCTAAGTCTGTGGGTCAGAGTGTGGCCTTAATGTAAGATAAGATAGAGTGCCATCCCTGCTCCACTGGAACAGCCAAGGCCATCCATTGCCGTCACGGACTGATAAAGGAGAGGGCTTTGAGCACTTGCTTATACAGCTGGCTTTCTGTTTATACATTGACTCACGAGCTCAAGTTAATGCATTTTAGAAATGCTCCCTTGCAGGGGGGGGGGGATGTGGATTTTGGGTCCCGTTTCAGACTGACTGTACAGTCAGGTTTTTAGATTTGGGAAACCCATTCCTTCATTAAGGCTTGGTTTCCAGACCCTTGGTCATCTTGGTTGCCCTCCTCTGCACACGTTCCAACTTGCCAACATCCTTCTTAAATTGTGATGCCCAGAATTGGACACAGTATTCCAGGTGTGGTCTGACTAAGTCAGAATAGAGTGATACTATTACTTCCCTTGATCTGGACACTATACTTCTGTTGATGCAGCCTAGAACAGCATTAGGTCTTGTTTTTTTTTCCTTTTTTTCTTTTTCTTTTTGCTGCTGCATCACACTGTTGCCTCATGTTCAGCTTGTGATCCACCAAGACCCCTAGATCCTTTTCACATGTACTGCTAGTAAGCCAGCTGTCCCCAATCCTATACAGTGGTACCTCGCAAGACGAATGCCTCGCAAGACGGAAAACTCACAAGACGAAAGGGTTTTTTGTTTTTTGAGCTGCTCCGCAAGACGATTTTCCCTATGGGCTTGCTTCGCAAGACGGAAACGTCTTGCAAGTTTGTTTCCTTTTTCTTAACACCGTTAATACAGTTGCGACTTGACTTCGACGAGCAACTCATAGCACGCGGTGTGGTAGCCTTTTTTGAGGTTTTTGAAGACTTTGGTATTTTTTGAAGCTTTTCCAAAACTTTCCCGACACCGTGCTTCGCAAGACGAAAAAAATCGCAAGGCGACAAAACTCACGGAACGAATTAATTTCGTCTTGCGAGGCACCACTGTATTTTGCTTCTGGTTTTTCCTGCCTAAGTGCAGAATCTTGCATTTGTCCTGACCGAAACACAAGAAATGTCCTTGCCTTTGGGTTTGCCTCCTTTTTAACTCTCTGCTTTCCTCCCCACTGGCCCCAGCCTTCACTGCATCAAATAAATAAATATACGTACAGGTTTGCAACATTTCGCCTTTCCCCTTCTTGCAGTACGCCAAAGGTTTTTAGGATGCCGTTGTCTTCACAGTAATAATACCGGTCATCGTGGTAAGATTGGGCCAAGCCCCAGACCCCTATCCTGTTCACGCAGGGTCATACCATTTAAAACAGTTTTCACCCGCAAAGAGTCCTGGGAAACGTAGTTTGGTCACTGGGGCTGAGTGTGGTGAGGAGAGTCGTATTCCCCCCCATGGAACTACAATTCCCAGAGTCCCCCGGGAAGTGGCATTGAACTGGCATGGCTTCCCCCCAAGGAATTCTGGGAGTATCAGGATTTTAGAGATGCGTAGGTGGGGCATGGTCCCAAAAAAGGTTGGTCTAATCTATGCTGTGACTGCACTGCCTGATTGTAAAAACAAACAAACAAACTCAAAGCTCTTTACCAAAACAATAAAATTATCGTGAAAGAAAACCGTTTTAAACATTCCCAAAATAATTAAGAATAAGAATATAACTCTTAGCTGCAAAACAACTACGGTGGTACCGTGGTTCTCAAACTTAATCCGTTCTGGAAGTCCGTTCCAAAACCAAAGCGTTCCAAAACTGAGGCGCGCTTTCCCATAGAAAGCTATGCAAAACGGATTAATCCGCTCCAGACTTCTAAAAACAACCCCTATTTAACGAGACCATTGATGCATAAAATGAAAGAAATACACAATGTACTGCAGTCACACAGTCAATCAGTCGGTAGCTGAACTGGGTTCCACACAGTCACAAAAGAAAAAAGAGCCGCAAAAAACGGACAGACCTCAGCTTAACACTCAAAACAAGCATAACACTCAAAACGGAGTATGTTCGGCTTCCGAAAAAGGTTCGCAAACTGGAACACGTACTTCCAGGTCTGCAGTGTTGGGGTTCCAAGTTGTTTGAGAACCAAGGTACCACTGTACTTCAAAGTCATGTTTTTATACTACAGTGGTGCCCCGCAAGTCAAATCCCTCGCAAGACGAAATGTTCACTAGACGAAAGGGTTGTCCATTTTTTGAGTCGTTCCGCAAGACGAATTTCCCTATGGGCTTGCTTCGCAAGACGGAACGTCTTGCGAGTTCTTGCAAGTTTGTTTCCTTTTTCTTAAAGCCGCTAAGCCGTTAATAGCTGCTTAGCCGCTAATAGCCGTGCTTCGCAAGACGAAAAAACCGCAAGACGAAGAGACTCGCGGAACGGATTAATTTCGTCTTGCGAGGCACCACTGTATATTTTACGCTGCTTTTACACTTAAGTGTTTTAAATTTGTTGTTAGCCGCCCAGAGCCCATTTTTTGAACTGGGGAGGGTGGGATATAAATAAAAATCTATTATTATTATTTATATTTATAAAAGTCGACGCGGTTTGCCAAAAGGAAAAAGCGATAAAATTACCGGTAAAAACCGTGAGAAACGGAAACGTTCCGGAAATAGACAATGATGACAAGGTGCCCCCTTTCTTTGCGAAATGGTTCTGTTTATTTGCTGTGGAAGAGGCCGAGCAGCCTGGCAAACCCTGTGGTCTCCATGCTGGCTGCTCTCTGTCTGGTGACTCAGCTGTTCATCTCGCACACCCAGTTGTAGCGGCGGTTACAGTTCTCGTTGCTCCATAGCCCGTCGCGGTAGAGATGGGCGCAGTGGGCCGGGTGGTAGGGCATTTCGACAGAAAAGCTATCCGGTTCCCCGAGCCGCCAGTCTCTGCAACGAGAGCGAGAGCGTGATAGGAATTTTGAGGTCTTAGATATATGGTAACGTTCATAAGCGTACCAACCAAGCACGTACATAGATCAGCACAGGAAGACCGACCTGGAACCATTTTGATTCCCAAACTGAGCAAATGTTTTCTCTGCAAGGTCAAAGTGGGAAACCTCCCCATTGTCTCTTTCCTCACAAATCCTGTCTTAAGGGCACATTTAAGATATGAATATCAACAACCTCAGATATGCAGATGACACAACATTGATGGCAGAAAGTGAGGAGGAATTAAAGAACCTTTTAATGAGGGTGAAAGAGGAGAGCGCAAAATATGGTCTGAAGCTCAACATCAAAAAAAACGAAGATTGTGGCCACTGGTCCCATCACCTCCTGGCAAATAGAAGGGGAAGAAATGGAGGCAGTGAGAGATTTTACTTTCTTGGGCTCCATGATCACTGCAGATGGTGGCAGCAGCCACGAAATTAAAAGACGCCTGCTTCTTGGGAGAAAAGCAATGACAAACCTAGACAGCATCTTAAAAAGGAGAGACATCACGTTGCCAACAAAGGTCCGTATAGTTAAAGCTCCGGTTTTCCCAGTAGTGATGTATGGAAGTGAGAGCTGGACCATAAAGAAGGCTGATCGCCGAAGAATGGCTGCTTTTGAATTCTGGTGCTGGAGGAGACTCTTGAGAGTCCCATGGACTGCAAGAAGATCAAACCTCTCCATTCTGAAGGAAATCAGCCCTGAGTGCTCACTGGAAGGACAGATCCTGAAGCTGAGGCTCCAAGACTTTGGCCACCTCATGAGAAGAGAAGACTCCCTGGAAAAGACCCTGATGTTGGGAAAGAGGGAGGGCACAAGGAGAAGGGGAGGACGAGATGGTTGGACAGTGTTCTCGAAGCGACCAGCATGAGTTTGACCAAACTGCGGGAGGCAGCGGAAGACAGTAGTGCCTGGCGTGCTCTGGTCCAGGGGGTCACGAAGAGGCGGACATGGCTAAACGACAAAACAACAACATCTGAGGGGTGGTCTTAGGTTACACCCCTTATGTGATGTATGTACGATGTTTCTGTGGGTGGTCTTGATCTACAGGGTGGCAATTTCAAAAGTCTTTATAAGGCCTTGCGCACCATTATTCTAGGTTGCTCCTCCCTCCTGCGTGTGGTGAGCGAGGACCCTGTTGCAACAGATCAATAAAGATCAAGCTTACTAGCTGCTTTGCTTCTCAATATTCTCTGTTATCTTCTCCTACCAATACGGAACCCTCTTAAGGACTCTATATGGGCTCTTGGATACCCCATAAGGGAAAAGGGCAATTTGTGTTTACAACAATAGGAAGGAAGGGAAAATGGCAGCCCGAGCAAAACTGTCACGCATCTTGAATGCTCCTGCGAAGGTTCAGATCAGATCAGAGAGCCACATACAACAAAAAATAATATTTGGAATATACTGGACCCCATTAAAGTTAAAGGGACCCCTGACCGTTCGGTCCAGTCGTGGCCGATTCTGGGGTTGCGGCGCTCATCTCGCTTTACTGGCCGACGGAGCCGGCATACAGTTTCTGGGTCATGTGGCCAGCAGGACTAAGCCGCTTCTGACGAACCAGAGCAGCGCCGCCGGAGGGGTACCTATTTATCTACTTGCACTTTGACGTGCTTTCGCACTGCTAGGTTGGCAGGAGCAGGGACCGAGTAACGGGAGCTCACCCCGTCGCGGGGATTCAAACCTCTGACCTTCTGATCGGCAAGTCCTAGGCTCTGTAGTTTAGACCACAGCGCCACCCGCGTTCCCTGGACCCCATTACATTTGTTTTAAAAAAGGGCTATCTAAGGTATCGAACGGCTGAAGAAGCAATAGGGATAATGCTTCTCTAAAACATATGTTTTTTTCATTGCCCTATATTGAAAGATTTTTGGCGGAAGGTAACTGAAACCATCAACAGGACTGTACGGAACAACCTCACATTTACAGAGCAGAATATCCTCTTGAATTATATACCCAGCACATGGAACCACACAAAAGGGCAATGCGAGTGGACACCAGGAGGGCAGGGGGTCAAGCTCACATTCTGCGGATGGTGTAGCTCGTCCCGTCCACCCACTTCCAGACGCCGCTAGCCATGGTCAAGCCGATCCAGGTGTTCCGGGGCTTTGTGAGCTGGGCCACAAATTGCTGGCGAGAGAGAGAGGAAAGAAGAAAAAAGTGGTGTCACCGGGGGCAGATTGCGGTTATTAGTTGGTGTTATTAATTGCATTTCTTAGGGCTCGTCCATAGTTCCTTTTGCGCTTCCCAGGAAAAACCCGTGTGATTTAGCGTTGGATCGGAACAAATGTCCGTTGCATTTTCCACGGTTTGCTGTTTGTCCCAATGCAGCAGTAATAATAATAAAGATTTCTTATTTATACCCCCCCCCCAATCTGGCTGGGTTTCCCCAGGCACTCTGGGCAGCTCCCAACAGAAAACACAACAAAACTTGCAACATTAAAAGCTTCCCTAAAGAGGGCTGCCTTCAGATGTCTTCTAAAAGTTTTGTAGTTGTTTTTCGCTTTGACATCTGGTGGGAGGGCGTTCCACAGGAAGGGCGCCACCACCGAGAAGGCCCTCTGCCGGGTTCCCTGTAACTTGGCTTCTCATACCGAGGGAACCGCCAGAAGGCCCTCGGAGCTGGACCTCAGTGTCCGGGCAGAACGATGGGGGTGGAGACGCTCCTTCAGGTCTACTGGGCCTTTGAGGCCGTTTAGGGCTTTCAAAGTCAGCACCAACACTTTGAATTGTGCTCGGAAACGTCCTGGGAGCCAATGTAGGTCTTTCAAGACCAGTGTTATGTGGTCCCGGCGGCCACTCCCAGTCACCAGTCTGGCTGCCGCACTCTGGATTACTTGTAGTTTCCGGGTCACCTTCAAAGGTGTTTCTCCCGCCTAGAGTTCAGGCCAACTTACCTGCTCCAGGTAGCTGGTGATGATGACCAGGTGGGCGTCTTTATCTTCGCAGTCCAGCTTGGCTTCGTCCCAGGACTTGTCCGTTTTGGAGAGCCAGTAGCAGCTGCGACTAAACGGGAGCCAACCTTTGAGGCAGCAGTGGCTTCCCACTTTTTTTGGGGGGGGGGTAAAGAATGACAGAGAGGTCAAACTCTGATCCACGCTGTCTTACGAAAAAGAGCCGGCTGGCGAAGATCGCTTTGAGGAATTGCAAGGCATTCCTTGAGTGGTTCTCCCGTGGGATAGCTGGTAAAAACGTCACATAGAATCGTGGTTCTCAAACTTAATCCGTTCTGGAAATCTGTTCCAAAACCAAAGCGTTCCAAAACCAAGGTGCGCTTTTCCATAGAAAGTAACGCAAAACGGATTAATCCGTTTTAAAACAACCCCAAAAACAGCAATTTAACATGAATTTTACTATCTAACGAAACCATCGATCCATAAAATGAAAGCAGTAATCAATGTACTGTACTATAAAATAAACAGGACAGTATTGTAGATGATAAAAATTAAAATTTTAATTTTTTTTTCTTAGCTGCACTGATGATAGTCATTGTTTGGAAGGGGGGCTTTTATCCATTTCCGCAGTCACACAATCAATCAATCGATCGGGAGCTGAACCGGGTTCCACACAGCCACAAAAACAAATGAACCGAAAAAGCCTCAAAAACGAAAACGCCAAATAAGTATCAAAAACAAAAGCGCCAAATACAGCGGTACCTTGGTTCTCAAAGTCTGTTTGACTTCCGAAATGTTCAAAAACCAAGGCGCAGCTTCTGATTGGTGCAGGCGCCCCGGAAACAATAGCTGACAGCTGCATTGGACGTTCGGCTTCTGAGAAACGTTTGAAAACCGGAACATGTACTTCTGGGTTTTCTGTGTTTGGGAACCAAGGTACCACTGTAGTTGGAAGGGACCCCAAAGCTCATCTAGTCCAACCCCCCTGCAATGTAAGCATCTCAGCTGAAGCTTTCCTGACAGATCGCCACCCAACCTCTGCTTAAAATGACCATCAAGGAAAGAGAGGGAGACCGTTCCACTTTCAAACAGCTCTTAATGTAAGGAAATCCTTCCCGATGTTTAGTCGGAATCTCCTTTCTTGTCACTTGAAGCCACGGGTTCGAGTCCTGCCCTCCGGAGAAGGAGAAAACAAGCTCACTCCATGGGGAGACCTTGAGATATTTGAAGATGGTTCTCATATCTCCTATCAGTCTCCTCTTTTTCAGGCTAAACATCCCCAGCTCCCTCAACCGTTCCTCATCAAGCTTGGTTTCCAAACCCATGGTCACCTTGGTCGCCCACCTCTGCACACCTTCCAGCTTGTCCATCTCCTCTTTAAAATGGGGTGCCCAGGAAAAGATAAGCCCAGAGATTGCCTGATTACAGTGAGATCAAAGGAGGAAAGGGACAGAATTTTGGGCCTACATTACAAAAAATCACTGGACATTCTGGACAAAAGAATTGAAATTTATAAGGATATTCCTAGACAGCTTTTGGATTTGAGATCAGGATACTTGGAACTAGCAAAACTACTGAGGAGCAACTCAATCATCTTTAGGTGGGAATTCCCTCAAGGATTATCGTTTACTTTTAGAGGGAGGAAGATTAAAATCAAAACATTGGAAGATAGAGATAAATTTCTGAACCAATACGGAGAAGACCTTCATAAAGGACTTGGATCACTGCCGGAGCCTGGAGCACCAAAGGAACCGGCACCCTTGGATGACAAAGTACCACCCCCTGAAAAATAACCAGATTTCTACAGGATGTCTCTGCAACTTCTGAGCTGGAACATAAATGGCTGTAACATTCCCGAAAAAAGGAAGAAAATCTTTCACATATTAAAAAAGGAACAATTGGACATTATTTGCTTGCAAGAAACACATGTGACTAGGCTCCATAGAAAAGTTCTGGTAAATAAAAGACTCGGCCAGGAATTTATATCTTCGGACAGAGTAAAGAAGAGAGGGGTGGTGATATATGTAAAGGAGAGCCTTTCACCCAAATTATTATTCAAAGATGAACACGGCAGAATTTTGGCAGTTGAAATACAGCATCAAGGAGAAAAAATTATGTTATTAGGAATTTATGCACCAAATGAAGGGAAATCGGAATTTTACAAGAAGTTGCATGAGAGCATGCTGGAATATCTGGACTTTGACAACATCATTATGATGGGAGATATGAACGGGATTGTATCAACTAACATGGATAAGTCGCAAAGTCAAAAAGTTACTAAAGATGGCAGACTGCCAAAGACCTTTTTTGAAATGACAGACAATATGGACTGGATTGACATCTGGAGAATGAGAAACCCCTTAGGAAAGGAAGGAACATTCTTCTCTGAAGCCCATCTGACTTGGACAAGAATCGACCAAATATGGATCACTAGAGGTCTGGCACCTAAGGTCAGAAAAGTGGAAATCTGCCCAAAGACCTGCTCCGACCACAACGCTTTGAAAATGGATTTGGCATTGTTACCAACCGGCTCCTTTCGATGGAAGATGAACGACAATTTATTTAGAGATCAGGAGATTATTAAAAAGGCCCAAAAAGCATTGAAAGACTATTTCGAAATAAATCTGAACACAACGGTGGAAAAAAGAACAATTTGGGACGCAAGTAAAGCAGTGATGAGAGGGTTCTTAATACAACAGAATGCTATTAAGAAAAGGAAACAAAATGAAAAGAAAGACAAGATTCTGGAAAAAATAAAAGAATTAGAAAAGAAGCTAAGAGTAAATCCGAAGTCGCAGCCGATTCTGAGAGAAATTAAACTTCACCAGGCACAATATTCTAAATTGATAAATCAGGAAATAGAATGGAAGATTAAGTCAATGAAACAAAAAACGTTCGAATCGGCAAATAAATGTGGGAAACTGCTGGCTTGGCAGTTGAAGAAGAGACAAAAGTTGAACATTGTAACAAATCTAGAAATTGAAGGAAGAAATATTCAGAACCCCGTGGAAATCAGAAAATCTTTCCAGAAATATTTCAAGAAACTATATACTCAAGGGCCGCAAAATGAGGTTGAGATTGAACAATTTTTGAAAAAAAACAGTTTTAAAAAGTTTACACAAGAAAACAGACTACTCCTGAACAGTCAAATAACACGACAAGAAATTGAACATGCCATTCAGAACATGAAGCTGGGCAAATCTCCAGGACCAGATGGCTTGACCTCCAAGTATTACAAGATAATGAGTGACTATTTGATTCAACCTTTGATGGAGGTCAGCAATGAAATTCTGGAGGGAAAGAAGGCGCCGGAATCGTGGAAGGAAGCTTTTATCACGTTGATACCAAAATCAGAAACTGAAAAGACACAACTTAAGAACTACCGCCCCATCTCCCTTTTAAATGTGGATTACAAAATATTTGCTGATGTGTTAGCAGGCAGACTTAAAAGAGTTTTGAATGAAGTAATTCATAAGGACCAGGCTGGCTTTCTCCCAGGTAGACATATGTTTGCAAATACAAGGAACATTATTGACATTTTGGAACTTCTGCAAACAGATATAAACACTAAAGCAGTGCTGATTTTTATAGACGCGGAGAAGGCCTTTGACAACATCTCTTGGAAATTCATGAAGGGAAACTTAAAAGAAATGGGAGTGGGGCGGGGTTTTCAAAATGGGATTGATGCAATATATTCAGAACAAAAAGCCAAATTGATAGTTAACAATGTGGTAACGGAAGAATTTAAAATTGAAAAAGGAACACGACAAGGCTGCCCGATTTCCCCTCTGTTATTTATTTCAGTTCTAGAGGTGCTCCTGAACATGATTAGAGGGGACCGGCTGGTGCAGGGGATCCAGGTCGGAGCGAAACAATATAAACTTAAAGCTTTTGCAGATGATCTAGTTTTGACATTGCAGGAGCCAGAACCTAGTACGAAAAGAGTATTACAACTGATACATGATTTTGGTCAGGTGGCAGGATTTAAGCTAAATAAACAAAAAACGAAGGTGTTAGGGAAAAACATGACAGATACAGAGTCAGAACGGTTTCAGAGAGAAACAGAATTATCATTGGTGAAAAAGGTAAAGTACCTAGGGGTTAATATAACAGCCAAAAATCTGAGTCTATTTAAAGATAATTATGAAAAATGTTGGTCTGAAATTAAGAGAGACTTGGACAGTTGGGCAAAACTGAAGCTTTCTCTGTTAGGACGAATAGCTGCGATTAAGATGAATGTGCTGCCAAAGATGTTGTTTTTGTTCCAAACATTGCAAATTGTGGACAAAACGGAGTGTTTCCGGAGGTGGCAGAGAGATATTTCCAAATTTGTCTGGCAGGGCAAAAAGCCCAGAATCAAGTTTAAGATATTAACAGATGCAAAGGAAAGAGGGGGCTTTGCCCTGCCAGACTTAAGGTTGTACTATGAAGCCGCAGCTTTCTGCTGGCTAAAAGACTGGCTACTTCTCGAAGACACTGATGTGTTAGATCTGGAAGGTTACAACAATACTTTCGGTTGGCATGCATATTTGTGGTATGACAAAGTTAAGATCAACAAGGCTTTTAAGAACCACATTGTCAGAAAAGCAGTGTTTAATGTCTGGACAAAATACAAAGACTTATTGGAAAATAAAACTCCAAGGTGGCTCTCACCTTTGGAAGCTAAGGCCCGGAAAAGACCCAATATGGAAGCCTATTGGCCAAAATATTGGGAACTGTTAGAAAAAGATGGAGATAATTGGAAATTGCAGAGTATGGAGAAAATGAAGGACAAAGTGCGAGACTGGTTACACTACGCTCAGATTAAGGAAATTTTTAAAAGTGACAAAAAGTTAGGATTCCAGGTGGAGAAATCGAAGTTAGAAACAGAACTGTTAGAACCTAAGACTAAGGTACTTTCAAGAATGTATAACTTGCTGTTGAAATGGAACACACAAGACGAAATGGTTAAATCGGCTATGATAAAATGGGCACAGGATATTGGGCATAACATTATGTTTGAGGACTGGGAAAGGTTGTGGACCACTGGGTTGAATTTTACTGCATGTAATGCTCTGAAAGAAAATATAATGAAAATGATATACAGATGGTACATGACCCCAGTTAAACTTGCCAAAATATACCATTCGTCTGATAACAAATGTTGGAAATGTAAAGAAAATGAAGGAACATTCTTCCACCTCTGGTGGACTTGCCCCAAAGTGAAGGCCTTCTGGGAAATGATATATAATGAGCTGAAAAAGGTATTTAAGTATACCTTTACCAAGAAACCAGAGGCCTTTCTTCTGGGCATTGTCGACCAGAAGGTGTTAAAGAAAGATAGAACATTTTTCATGTATGCAACAACAGCAGCAAGGATACTACTCGCTAAGAACTGGAAAACTCAAGATCTACCCACACTGGAAGAATGGCAGATGCAACTGATGGACTATATGCAACTGGCGGAGATGACTGGCAGAATCCGAGACCTGGGAGAAGAAAGGATTGAGGAAGATTGGAAGAAATTCAAGACTTACTTACAGAAATATTGTGATTTAGTGGAATGTTAAGAAGGATGCTTGGTTATAAAAAATTGGCCATCACTAAAATAGATCAGGAATTGATGATAAGAGAGATTAAGAGAAACAAACTTGCAGGAGAATTATTTTATTGTACCTAAGTAAGTGGTTACAGATTTGGAAATAAGATGATAATTTGATTGACAAAAACTTATTAATGATGTAAGTGGGAGCGGGAGATGTGAGGAAGTTCAAGGATACTACGAAATTTTGTTAAAACAAAGTAATAATGTTTATTATTATTGTATTCTTTTTTTTTTTTAAAACCCTAATAAATATTTATATAAAAAAAATAAAATGGGGTGCCCAGAACCCGATGGAGAACGAGGTCATTTGGAGTATTTGAAAGACGGCTTCCCCAATATATGCTCTAATCCACCGAAGAAGCCACTTCCCATTATTATTATTATTATTATTATTATTATTATTATTATTATTATTTCGTACCGCCCTTCATCCAAGGATCACAGGGCAATTTGCAAGATAAAAACACCAAAATGCACACTTGATGACTTGGAGACGCTGAGAATAATAATATAATAATAATAATAATTCATTATTTATACCCCGCCCATCTGGCTGAGTTTCCCCAGCTACTCTGGGCGGTTCCCAATCAAGTATTAAAAACAATACAGCGTTAAATATTAAAAACTTCCCTGAACAGGGCTGCCTTCAGGTGTCTTTGAAAGATAGGATAGCTACTTATTTCCTTTACATCTGAAGGGAGGGTGTTCCACAGGGTGGGCGCCACCACAGAGAAGGCCCTGTGCCTGGTTCCCTGTAACTTGGCTTCTCGCAGGGAGGGAACTGGCAGAAGGCCCTCGGAGCTGGACCTCAGTGTCTTGGCAGAACGATGGGGGTGGAGACGCTCCTTCAGGTCTACTGGGCCTTTGAGGCCGTTTAGGGCTTTCAAGGTCAGCACCAACACTTTGAATTGTGCTCAGAAACGTCCTGGGAGCCAATGCAGATCTCTCAGAACCAGTGTTACCGTATTTTTCGCTCTATAACACGCTCCCAACCATAACACGCACATAGTTTTTAGAGGAGGAAAACAAGAAAAAAAATATTCTAAACAAAACAGTGGATGTATGATTTTTGTGGTTCATGCTGTGGCCACAGACATGTGATCTAACGATGAGTTTGGGGTAGCCCAATGCAAAAATCCTGAGGATCCATGTGGATCCGTGCTTTGTAACCACGTGAATGAAGGAACTGTCAGTAATGTATGGTATCTCCAATACAGTGATGAAGGAAGAGGGGGGGAGCTCGCACTTGTCCTAGGCAAAGCAGCCAACTCCTATAGGCCTAGGTGCCTTCACCCCCTCCATTAAATATTTGAGGGAGTCATCCTCCCCCCATGCTGATGGGCATTGCCATTCATATAAGGTACCAGTGTGCATGCACTTTGTCTTGAGATCATTGCAGTCTGTGAGATGGGGCTTACCTGTACCTGCCCCCCCAATATTTTATTGAAATTGGAAGAGGGAGGGAGGGAGGGAGGGAAGAGAGATGGAGAGCTCACATTTGTCCTAGGCAAAGCAGCTAACTCCTATGGGCCTAGGTGCCTTCACCCCCCATTAAATATTTGAGGGAGTCATCCCCCATCCCCCATTGTGGTATGTGAGTGGGGCTTACCTGGCTGTCTCCCCAATATTTTTTGAAGCTGGAAGAGGGAGGGAGGGAGGGAGGGAGGGAGGGAGGGAAGGAAGAGAGAGGGGGAACTCACATTTGTGCAGCTGCCTTGCCTCGAACTGAAGCAAAAAGAGGAGGAGATGCAGGGACACGAGCCTTGTAAGCTGCTTTGTTTGAATTTACCGGTGAGGTGCTGGGGGAGGGACGGAAGGGGATGCCCTCTTTGTCCCTCCTTCCAGCTCATTGTAAAGAAAGCAGAGTAAGAGCCACTTACATGTGTGTAAGGGAGAGCCATAGAGCAGGCAGACACTGAGAAAAAGAGGCTGTCTCCCTTCTCCCACCTCGGCTTTTACAGCTGCAGGCAGCTCTTGCCGGCTTCCAAGCTGCCTCCCTTCTCCCACCTCGCCAAAAAGCCATAGAGCAGGCAGACAGGAGGGAGAGAGGCTGTCTCCCGACACTCAGCTGTTGCTCAGCTGTTGCCGGCTTCTCAGGGAGCCAAGCGGAGGAAAAGAGGCTGCCGAACAGCCAGCAAGAGCGGCTCCTCCTGCCTGCATTCGCTCCATAACACGCACACACATTTCCCTTTACTTTTTAAGGGGGAAAAACTGCGTGTTATGGTGCGAAAAGTACGGTATGTGGTCCCAGCAGCCGCCCTCAGTCCCCAGTCTAGCTGCCGCATTCTGCATTACTTGTAGTTTCCTGGTCACCTTCAAAGGTAGCCCCACGTAGAGCGCATGGCAGTAGTCCAAGCGGGAGATAACCAGAGCATGCACCACTCTGGCCAGACAGTTTGCGGGCAGGGAGGGTCTCATCCTGCGTACCAGATGGAGCTGGTAGACAGCTGCCCTGGACCCAGAACTGACCTGCGCCTCCGTGGACAGCGGTGAGTCCAGAATGACTCCCAGGCTGTGCACCTGGTACTTCAGGGGCACAGTTGCCCCATTCAGGACCAGGGAATTATTGCAAGAATTATTGCATGAGCCACCTTTCCACAGTTATGCACCCCCCTTTTCCAGACAGACGCTTGAGCGCTGCTCCCCAATTAATTCCTGACCTGTTTTGTTGCTTTTAATGCTCTCCACTTCGCAATTCTGGGTCCGCACGCTGGTCCGCAGTTTAGAGATCTGCTCCTGGAACTGGGTCTTCACTGGATCAGGCCAAAGGGAAATGAGGGTCATTCAGTATGATTCTTCTTGAGCCCCCACCCCCCACCCCCAACAAATCTTCAAGGACTGACCGTTTTCTAAGCAAAGGGCTTTTTAATGGGCTATGCTGTTTTTGTTACCTGCATTTTAAAGATTTGTTTTCTCACATGGTTTTAATTTTGTTATGGCTTAATTGCTTTTTAACATAGCCGCCTCCCTCCCCTTTTCTTGCGAGGAATCCTATTCGGAATAAGGGAATTTCCCTTAAAAAAAGGAAAACGTTGGCAGCTATGCTTTTTAACAATTATCTCTTATGTGTTTTTAGATTTTTGTATTCCATATACTTTTTGTAGACAATAACTACCTCGGGCACCGGAAAATGCGGGATATAAAATTAGTAGTTGTAGTAGTAAGGTAAAGGTAAAGGGACCCCTGACCATTAGGTCCAGTCGTGGCCGACTCTGGGGTTGCGGCGCTCATCTCGCTTTATCGGCCGAGGGAGCCGGCGTACAGCTTCCGGGTCATGTGGCCAGCAGGACTAAGCCGCTTCTGGCGAACCAGAGCAGCGCACGGAAACGCCGTTTACCTTCCCGCCTATTTATCTACTTGCACTTTGACGTGCTTTCGAACTGCTAGGTTGGCAGGAGCAGGGACTGAGCAATGGGAGCTCACCCCGTCATTGCGGGGATTTGAACCGCCGACCTTCCGATCGGCAAGTCCCAGGCTCTGTGGTTTAACCCACAGCGCCACCCGCATCCCTAGTAGTAGTAGTATACTGCCCTATATCCGCAGGTCTCAGGGCTGTTCGCAGCAGAAGATCACAATATAAAATCACAAAACGCGTAATCAAATTGAAAATGAAAATAATCCATAATGAATTGAAAAAAATGTTTAGAAGTACGTCGTCCCCCCTAAAATAAACCAGTCTTCTTTTTGTTGGGGAATAATTCAGACGGAAATTCCCAAGTGTCAAAAAAGGTTATTTATGTATGCCACTACTGCGGCCCTTGTTTTGTTAGCCCAAAAATGGAAAACGCGCGAGGTCCCTGCCAAAGAAGAATGGGAACTTAAAACTGATGGAATATGCGCAGCTTATGAACCTAACATATAGAATATCTGAAGAAGTGTGCATGCACACGAAAGCTCATACCAATAACTAACTTAGTTGGTCTCTAAGGTGCTACTGGAAGGAATTTTTTTATTTAATTTTATTTATTTGATTTTATTTTGAATATAGAATAAGAGTGTTGAATCAAAGAGAACAAGAAGAACATACGTTTAAAGAAGATTAGAAAATTATTGAATATATGGGGGGGCTGTTTACACTTGAAAACATTAGCAGCATTAAGATAAATTCAGCAGTGTAAATACATTTTGACGGATGTTAATAATGGAATACTGAACGGTTTGGTTTTATGGATGTAATAATGGACTACTGAATGGTTTAGTAAAATATGCAGGGATTTATGATATGCAAAATGAGCCATGGAACGAGAAGAAGGGAAATCACTGATATTTTAAGGTTGTTTAAATGAGCGTTCTAAATTGTGAAACAGAAAAATTAATAAAAATTATATTAAAAAAGAAAATGAAAACAAACCAATAACACACACACACACCCCCAATTTTAAAAGGGCATTGGATATCAATTAACCAAAGGCTTGGTTGAAGAGGAACCTTTTTGCCTGGCGCCTAAAGTTGTATAATGAAGGGGTAACATTATTAGAAAGGGACGCAGGTGGCGCTGTGGGTTAAACCACAGAGCCTAGGACTTGCCAATCAGAAGGTCAGCGGTTCGAATCCCCACAACGGGGTGAGCTCCCATTGCTCGGTCCCTGCTCCTGCCAACCTAGCAGTTCGAAAGCACCTCAAAGTGCAAGTAGATAAATAGGTACCGCTCCGGCGGGAAGGTAAACGGCGTTTCCGTGCGCTGCTCTGGTTCTCCAGAAGCGGCTCAGTCCTGCGGGCCACATGACCTGGAAGCTGGACGCCGGCTCCCTCGGCCAGTAAAGCGAGATGAGCGCCGCAACCCCTGAGTCGGCCACGACTGGACCTAATGGTCAGGGGTCCCTTTACCTTATCATTATTAGAAATAATAATAGCAGCAACAAAATAGTTACTAACCTAAATTAATAACTAAAAAGTACAGCCTGCCCTGAATCCAGGTACAACCACCACCTCCCCTCACACAGGGGGGGGAAACCCCTACATCTGTCTCACAGCTGCTTCTGCGCGGACGTACCTTCCTTCGCCTCCTCGGTCAGGTTTTGCACCATATCTTCAATCTTCACCAGCTGCTTCAAATCTTCTGCCTCTGGAACCAGCAGAAAGAGGTGAGGTTGGGGAAAATGGTTTGGGGGTGTTGCAGGAATTTATGTATAGGTTGGGGGGGGCTTGCCCCTCCAGCAGATATCATGCACATGCAGCCCACTACCAAAACCAGCACAATCACTTTTGTGACTTTTGTGATTTGTCCCCACAAAACACTTCCTCACTGTTTCTTCCTGTCTATTCAAAGGGCCTTTGCTGCATGATACCAAATGTAAGAATTCACTGATCAATGGATCTCTGTACTGGCTCACTGGGAAAACTTCAGAAATTCATATAGACATGTGAGCTCAGCTCCTCAGCAGCCCCTCTGCCTGAGGGATAATCCCTGGCATCCTGATACCTGAGTGCCAGACAGGTAGCCATTCCAGAAATAGCAAACCCAGATGAAGAGAAAAGGATGGGATGAACTTGGCTGGGAAATGTAAAGATCTCTTTTGTTACACTTGGTGGGTGTTTGGCGCAGGGCAAGGAGAACCATGGGGCAGGGTCCAGGATGCTCAAATTACGGCCACCAGACATCCCCTTTCATGATGTAACCATGATGTAGTTTGGGGGATGTAACATGGGGATTAGGTAAAGGTAAAGGAACCCCTGACCATTAGGTCTTGCCAATCAGAAGGTCGGCGGTTCGAATCCCCGTGACGGGGTGAGCTCCCGTTGCTCGGTCCCTGCTCCTGCCCACCTAGCAGTTCGAAAGCACCTCAAAGTGCAAGTAGATAAATAGGCACCGCTCCGGCGGGAAGGTAAATGGCGTTTCTGTGCGCTGCTCTGGTTCTCCAGAAGCGGCTTAGTCCTGCTGGCCACATGACCCGGAAGCTGTATGCCGGCTCCCTCGGCCAGTAAAGCGAGATGAGCACCGCAACCCCAAAGTCGGCCATGACTTGACCTAATGGTCAGGGGTCCCTTTACCTTTACCTTACACTTGGAAAGAAGATCTGCTTCCCAGACTCACCCTTCTTTTTCAGAGCGGTGATCTCCGCCGAGACCGTGCGGTTGACGCTTTTCAAAGTCTCCTCCATCCCTCTCAATTCACCGACAGATTTCCGACCTGGGGGGAGGGAACAAAGTTCGAAACTGCCATTCTTCTAGGGGCATTTTGCTTTTTAAAAATATTTTTAATTAATTTTTCATTAATAAGAATCCAATATGTTCTGACAAAGGGTGGTAGATTAATTTAATAAACCCTCCAATCAAAGCAGCCGAGGGGGTGCAGGTGGGGGGGTGTCAGTCGATCTGAAAGGTAGACTGGTCCTAAATGGTTGCGTTCTTTTTTATAAAAAAAATTATTAAATTTCCCCATATTTCATTTAAATATACATATTCACAACTTATATTCTTTGCTCAAAGTGAGCTTTGACTTCCTTCTGTCTCTCTTTCTGACATCCCTGTAGTCTATAACATATCTTTCGCATTCCCACCATCACTTCTTTATCCTATAATCACCTTAAAAGGTCACATTCTTATTTATAAATCAGCATCTTAAATTCACTTTACAAAACATTTCACGTTAATGCTACAAACGTTTTTAAATGAGTGCAATTTTCTTTCAGGTAATGAATAAATTTGATATTTTTCTTCGAGCCGATTCCTAATTCTCCCCGTCAGCTTCACCAACTCTACAAATTCTACCATTTTTATTGTCCAGTCTTCCAATGTAGGTTCTTGCTGCTTCCACCTTCGAGCCAGGAGGATTCTCGCTGCTGTTGTGGCATACATAAATAGATTTACATCTTTTTTATAAATTTCTCCATCAATAAGCCCTAATAAGAATGCCTCTGTTTTTTTGCTGAAATTATATTTTGGTATCTTTTTTAATTCATTGTAGATAATATCCCAGAAAGCCTTAACCTTAGCACAGGACCACCACATATGTAGGAAGTTCCCTTCCGTCACCTTACATTTCCAATATAATTTGTCCTGACACCTAAATGGTTGCGTTCTTCTGAGTTCGCCACCCCATAATCGTGGACTCCACACCTGGCTGTCGAACAGGGGGTCCCCCTTTTGGGGGGGTACCCTCTTTGCCAAGGTAACGGGTGGCACTGTGGATTAAACCACAGAGCCTAGAACTTGCCGATCGGAAGGTCGGCGGGGTGAGCTCCCGTTGCTCGGTCCCTGCTGCTGCCAACCTAGCAGTTCGAAAGCACGTCAAAGTGCAAGTAGATAAATAGGTATCGCTCCGGCGGGAAGGTAAACGGCATTTCCGTGCGCTGCTCTGGTTCGCCAGAAGCGGCTTAGTCATGCTAGCCGCATGACCCGGAAAAACTGTCTGCGGACAAACGCCGGCTCCCTTGACCGATAAAGCGAGATGAGCGCCGCAACCCCAGAGTCGGCCACGACTGGACCTAATGGTCAGGGGTCCCTTTAACTTTACCTTTACCCCTCTTTGCCACACCCGTACGCGAGGAGACGGACATCTCATCCGCCGAGCCACTACTCACCCGTTAAGCCGAACACGGCGACTGCAATGGTGAAGACGCAGACGAGTCCCAGCAGGATGAACACCAGGCAGTGGCCCGGGCAGACACGCCGTCCCCAGGAGTCCGAGGGGCGTAGGCCGAATTCTGCAAGGATAAAGAAACCTTTTCAGCCTTTTCCTGCCTTCCCACCTTGACCGCTTGCTGTGCTGGAGGAGACTCTGGAGAGTCCCACGGATTGCAAGAAGATCAAACCTCTCCATTCTGAAGGAAATCAGCCCTGAGTGCTCACTGGAAGGACATATCGTGAAGCTGAGGCTCCAAGACTTGGGCCACCTCATGAGAAGAGAAGACTCCCTGGAAAAGACCCTGATGTTGGGAAAGATGGAGGGCACAAGGAGAAGGGGACGACAGAGGACAAGATGGTTGGACAGTGTTCTCGAAGCTACAAACATGAGTCTGACCAAACTGTGGGAGGCAGTAGAAGACAGGAGTGCCTGGTGTGCTCTGGTCCAGGGGGTCACAAAGAGTCGGACATGGCTAAACGACTAAACAACAACAAAAAACATAGGTTGGCAAACTAAGTCTCGGGGGCCGGATCCAGCCCAATTGCCTTCTCAACCCAGCCTGCGTACGGTCTGGGAATCAGTGTGTATTTACATGAGTTGAATGTGTCCTTTTATTTAAAATGCATCTCTGGGTTATGTGTGGGGCCTGCCTGGTGTTTTTACATGAGTAGAATGTATACTTTTATTTAAAATGCCTCTCTGGGTTATTTGTGGGGCATAGGAATTCGTTCATTTCCCCTGTAAAAAAATATAGTCTGCCCCCCCCACAAGGTCTGAGGGACGGTGGACCGGCCCCCTGCTGAAAAAGTTTGCTGACCCCTGTCCAAGTATTTCAGAGCTAGATGGTACCCCCACTGGTTATCTAGCCAAACCCCAGGCATGCAGGAATTACAGCGGAAGAATCCCTGACAGATAGCCATCCGACCCCTGGGCTAATCTACACCAGTCAGCTAAAACATTAAAAATGTGTTATAGGCAACGCTCTCGCTTTTGGACAGCGTTTAGCTCAGCAGCAAAAAGAGCCGTCGCCTGGCCCTAAAGGGTTAACTTTTGGTGAATCGCCAATGTGTTGAGGAGCCTATCATTGGAACTGTAAATGACAGGCTCCTCCATGTGCCAGCAGAGGGCGCTATAGAACAGCGATGCCGACGGGAAATTGCATTGAGAGCCACAATACTGTTTTTTAAAGTGTTTTTTCCAGAACGGTGTAGATCCAGCCTCAGTCTAAAGTCCTACGCAGAAGGAGATTCCTGCATCTTTGTCAACAAGGCTTGGAAGAGGGGATCTTTATTCCAGTACCGAAATGAAATCTTCAGTTGTTTTTAAATGTCGGTGTTGTTTTTATAGACGGAATTGGTTTATAGATGGAACTGTTTTTCTTTTTTATATACAGTGGTACCTCAGGTTAAGTCCTTAATTCGTTCTGGAGGTCTGTTCTTAACCTGAAACTGTTCTTAACCTGATGCACCACTTTAGCTAATGGGACTTGCCAATCAGAAGGTCGGCGGTTCGAATCTCCGGGACGGGGTGAGCTCCTGTTGCTCGGTCCCTGCTCCTGCCCACCTAGCAGTTCGAAAGCACGTCAAAGTGCAAGTAGATAAATAGGTACCGCTCCAGCGGGAAGGTGAACGGCGTTTCCGTGCGCTGCTCTGGTTCGCCAGAAGCGGCTTAGTCATGCTGGCCACATGACCCGGAAGCTGTACGCCGGCTCCCTCGGCCAGTAAAGCGAGATGAGTGCCGCAACCCCAGAGTCGGCCACGACTGGACCTAATGGTCAGGGGTCCTTTACCTCGGGTTAAGAACTTAATTCGTTCCAGAGGTCCGTTCTTAACCTGAAACTGTTCTGAACCTGAAGCACCACTTTAGTTAATATGGCCTCCCGCTGCCACCGGAGCACGATTTCTGTTCTCATCCTGAAGCAAAGTTCTTAACCCGAGGTAATATTTCTGGGTTAGCAGAGTCTGTAACCTGAAGCGTATGTAACCTGAAGCATATGTAACCTGAGGTACCACTATATTAACCTGATACACACACACACACACACACACACACTATTTTTGCACCTGTTTTGCGGTTGCATCCACTTTCTAAACTCCTGGGTAGTATGTTTTCCTGGCTAAGAATATTTTTCGCAGGTGCCGATCAAGTTCCCACCTGATATCAAGAGGCAGGGAGTTCCAAAGGTGCCGCCACAGAAAAAAGATTGATTTCTTACAGAAGTGGAATGGGTTTTTATGTGGCACCGTCGCCTGGGCGCATACGGGGTAAGAAATATGGTGAAATACACAAGATGAGTGTTTGTGAAAGACAGAGAAACAGGATGGACAGAGAAACGTACCTCCGCTGCTCCGATCCTCATCCTTGTCCTCCATATTTGGGGATCTAGTGTCTTTGCGACGCTTGATCACTCTGGGTCAGAGAGGACATGAGAAACCTGGAACCAGAAGGATGGGATTTTGAAGGCAAAAATCTTGTCCTCTGCGACATAAATCTTGGCTACATCCATGCTTTCAAAGTAAAAGTAGTGGATTTCTCTGAGTTTATAGTAACAAACCAACCAGCCTCAAAGTCAATAGATCCCACAAGCCCAGCTCCCTCCCAGTAGATTTCGGCCAGATATTGGCAGAGCAAAGTCCAAGACGCCGCTCTCAAATTGGGAAATTCCTCGTCATCAGACACACAGGTTTAAAATACGCAGATTAATAAACACACCCTCAATCATTAACACAGGCTCTCTCTAAAAACGTACGAAATAAAACAGGCACCGGGCTTTGGGTGGCGGTTTAACGCCCCAAAAGGAAAAGCAGGGTGTTAATTGCAGCAGCCTTCAGATTAAATGTATTTCACTGAAATTAGTTTCCAAATAGGCTGCGATTCGAAAGAGTTCGTAACCACAATCCATTTTAATTTTTCGCATTATTTCAGCTGGAAAAACCCTGGGGTCTCAGTTTGACACAAATTTTGGCTTCCGTACATTAACCTGGAGCTAAGATTTACATGAAAACATTGGCTACTGATGACCACAATTGTTTGATTTCGACACACTGGAATTTCCAAATTGGGGGGGGGACTGATTTAATGCCGAACCCTAGAATTGGTGACGGCACCTCAAAATTTAACGCCCAAAATTACTGCTCTAAAGAGAAAACAAAACTGAGCTACAGAATATTTCCAGGGGGAACGGACACACAAAACAGACTGCAATCTGAGTGCTCCTGTTTGATTTTCCAGTATGGCCAAATGGATTGGTTTCAGACCCAGATATTTTTCACCCTGCTACGAGTCGTCTGGAGAATGTAAGAGCATGAGAAGAGCTCTGCAGGATCAGGCCCGTGGCCCATCAAGTCCAGCATCAATTTCTCACAGTGGCCAACCAGATGACCATCGTAAGAAACCCGCGATCAGGATTCGAACACGAGACCCACTCTCCCCTCTTGTCGTTGGATTCGGAAGCCTTGGAGGCAGGGCGCAGGCATTCTGCCTAGTAGCCACCAATAGCCCTCTCCATTAATTCTCTTTGAAAGCCGTCACTGCCTCCAGTGGCAAGGAGTTCCGCAGTCCAACTCTCCGCTGAATCTGCAACGTTCAGCTTCCTCGAATGCCCATGCATATAAATGTTATACAGACCTCTTCTCACGTCCCCTTTTGCTCGCCTTTTTCTCCAAACTCAGAAGTCCCAAACGCTGCGACTTTTCCTTACTCGGAGGTCGCTCCTCAGCTCCCCCAACACTTCCCTTTCAGCAAAAACCCACAAGCGGAGATAAAATTCGCGAGCCGGACGCACGTGGGGGGGGACACAAGGATCCGTTTCTCCCGACTGCGTCCAGATTTTTGAACCAATCGATGTTTCTGCGGCTCCGGCAAATGGATCGTTATCTCCTCAAAAGGACTGACAGGCGGCCCTTGGGATTGGCTCCCAAAGGGAGTTGAAGCGTCGAGCCGAAAGGGACCCAGGGGTCATCTAGTCCAACCCCGTGCTGCTGCAGGATTTTTCCCAGACAGACACGGGTTCAACGAGGAAGGTCCGATTTATTGGCTGCACAGGGCTCCAGTGAGATACATCTGAAAAGGCTGGAAGCCTCGATTAGCCGCTGAGGGCTGCTTTTATAATGAAAGACTATAAAACCTCCTACAGGGTTATTTCAGAAATGAGGAACCTCAATCAGGCAGGCAAAAATTTAAAAAGCGGAACTATACTCATGCAGCCAAGAGAAACAGAACTTTTTTAGCTTCCCTTCCTGTCCTGTGTGCCCCAAACTGCGAGCACGTGAAGATTTCTCGTTGAAACTGCTGATCTGTGCAAGTTTAAAAACAGACACTGCAGTGGTACATCTGTTTACGAACTTAATCCATTCCGGATGTCCCTTCTTAAACCGAAACCGTTCTTAAACTGAGGCGCGCTTTCCCTAATGAGGTGCCCTTCCAAAGTTCGGGTTCCGTTCTTAGACCGAGGTAAAGTTCACAAACCGGGACACTGTTTCCGGAGTTTGTTAACCGGACTGTTCTTAAAACCGAGGTGCCACTGTAGTTAGCTCACCCCATCTGAAAGGGTGTCAGGCTTCTTGCCATAGTTGGCTTATTATACAGTGGTACCTTGGGTTAGGGACGCAGGTGGCGCTGTGGGTTAAACCACAGAGCCTAGGACTTGCCGATCAGAAGGTCGGCAGTTCGAATCCCTGGGACGGGGTGAGCTCAAAGTGCAAGTAGATAAATAGGTACCGCTCCGGCGGGAAGGTAAACGGTGTTTCCGTGCACTGCTCTGGTTCGCCAGAAGCGGCTTAGTCCTGCTGGCCACATGACCCGGAAGCTCCCTCGGCCAATAAAGCGAGGTGAGCACCGCAACCCCAGAGTCGGCCGCAACTGGACCTAATGGTCAGGGGTCCTTTACCTCGGGTTAAGAACTTAATTCGTTCCAGAGGTCCGTTCTTAACCTGAAACTGTTCTTAACCTGAAGCACCACTTTAGCTAATGGGGCCTCCTGCTGCTGTCACGCCGCCAGAGCACGATTTCTGTTCTCATCCTGAAGCAAAGTTCTTAACCTGAAGCACTATTTCTGGGTGAGCGGAGTCTGTAACCTGAAGCGTATGTAACCCAAGGTACCACTGTAACACAAACATCCTGTCTCCATCACTTCCCACTCTGTGGAGTCAAAACATATGTGGAAGACAACAATCCCATGACTGCAATCACGGAGCAGGAATTCTAATAATCTCTGCCCTCTCCTGCTTGCACGCAAGTAGGAGTTGGGATCGGGGCTGCTCCGATAGGCAGCATGGAGCCTCCCTTCACAGCTTAGTTTCTGGGGTCAAGGAAGGTGGAGGCAGCCTGGAAACTGCATCTTAGAGCCCCTGCACCACCGTCATATGGGGACTTCTGAGCAGCTCCTGAAGCCACCAGAGCCAACTGCTCTGGGCTGCTGAGACTGCCGCTACTGCGTTTCCCGGGGACATTAGATGAAATCCGGGGACATTCCCGGGATGGAATTTGTCCAGGGACTTATTCGCAAATCCGGGGACTGTCCCTGGGAAACGGGGACATCTGGTAACCCTAGGGTAGAGGATCTACAGGCCAGAGGGGCTAGAATAATAATAATAATAATAATAATAATAATAATAATAATAATTATTATTTGTACCCCGCCCATCTGGCTAGGTTTCCACCCCAGCCACTCTGGGCGGCTTCCAACAAAGATTGAAAATACATTAAAATACCTTCTTTACCTGTTTTTTCTGTCTCTCTATGGGTCCGTTTGCTGTCGCCCTTCCCCACGGAGACTTTCGCTATGGACTCCTCGCCCCCAATCTTTGAACTGTCAACATCGCTCATCTGCCATGCCCAAATTTAGAACTTTCCGGCTGCGGGGAAGGGGAAAATCCTTTCGCTGGCTCCAACCCAGCCAGCCTTGGACCCTGAGCCAACTTAAACATGGCTAATAATGTTCTAACAACGAATATAGCCTGTATTGTTTCACAGTTCTTGAATAAAGAACATATGGTGGCAATACAGCTAATAAAATAAATCAATATTGTACGAACAAAATTAGAGAAGGCAGTCAATCAATATAACTGAAGCAAACGAGCTTTTCATTAGCCCCAATCCTGAAATATTAGAAGCTCAAAGCGTAGCAACAAAACCAAATTAGACAATATAGTCCATCGGTATAGAACAGGGGTAGGCAACCTAAGGCCGGGGGGCCGGATCCAGCCCAATCGCCTTCTAAATCCGGCCCGCGGACAGTCTGGGAATCAGCGTGTTTTTACATGAGTAGAATGTGTCCTTTTATTTAAAATGCATCTCTGGGTTATTTGTGGGGTATAGGAATTCGTTCATTATTATTTTTTCAAAATATAGTGGCCCCCCACAAGGTATGAGGGATGGTGGACTGGCCCCCTCTGCCCTTGTAATAAAAATTTAAGGTCTTATATATAAAACAAATGTTCATAAATGGACCAATGTCTGGAGCAGCACAGGAAGACCGCCCTGAAACCATTTTGACTCTCAAACCGACCAAATGTTTTCTCTGCAAGGAGGGAGGGGGTGAGGGAACCTTCCCATTGTCTCAGGAATTGGGAAATCACCATCTCAAAGGAATGGCCAGACTACCAGGAAGGCAATCAGATAAGGCATTAAACCTGACAGACAGGGTAAAAACAAGGCACTCGGATTTCTGTTGTAGACCGCCTTTTCTGTGGTGTAGGTATGATGTTTGTGGGGGGTGGTCTTGGGATACACCCCTTCTGTGATGTATGTATGATGTATGGAGGGGTGGTCTGGAGCTCCAGGGCAGGGAATTTAAAATGTCTATATAAGGGCAGGCACACTGTTCTGGGTTCCTCCTCCTTTCCTGCGTGTGGTGAGCGAGGACCCTGTTGCCACAGATCAATAAAGATCAGGCTTACTATCTTACATGCACATAAATACTAGCTTAAAGGTAACGGTACCCCTGCCAGTACGGGCCAGTCTTGACAGACTCTAGGGTTGTGCGCTCATCTCACTCTATAGGCCGGGAGCCAGCGCTGTCCGCAGACACTTCCGGGTCACGTGGCCAGCGTGACAAGCTGCATCTGGCGAGCCAGCGCAGCACACGGAACGCCGTTTACCTTCCCGCTGGTAAGCGGTCCCTTTTTATCTACTTGCACCCGGGGGTGCTTTCGAACTGCTAGGTTGGCAGGCGCTGGGACCGAACGACGGGAGCGCACCCCGCCGCAGGGATTCAAACCGCCGACCATACAATCGGCAAGTCCTAGGCGCTGAGGTTTTACCCACAGCGCCACCCGCGTCCTTTTAAATACTAGCTTAAATGGACATAAATACTAGCTTACATGCACATAAATATATAAACCACATGTCTGAAAACCCCACAGAAAAAAAAGTCCTGAACAAATTGACCTCAATTATTTCTTTGCAAGGTCAAAGTGGGAAACCTCCCCATTGTCTTTTTCCTTCACAAATCCTGTCTTAAGGGCACATTTAGGATATGAATAGGGTGTGAGCCTGTGACCTGGCCCAGGAACTAAGTATTTATTATTACAAAAGACTGGCCAGGCTCCCCAGGGTATCCAATCAAGTGACCATTAAACAGGTAACCTGCCAGACAGGAGGTAAACAAAGCACTCAGATTTCTGCTGTAGACCACCTTTTCTGTGATGTGTGTATGATGTTTCTGGGGGTGGTCTTGGACTCCAGGGTGGCAATTTCAAATGTCTATATAAGGGCGGACACACTTTTATTCTGGGTTCCTCCTCCCTCCTGCGTGGGGTGAGGGGAGCACCCTGTTGCAACAGATCAATAAAGATCAGGTTTACTAACTGCTTTGCTTCTCTGGTTGGCCTCTGTTATTTTCTCCTACCAACAGGGAACCCACATAAGGACTCTATACGGGCTCTTGGATACCCCATAAGGGAAAAAAGGCCAGATTTTGTTTACAACCCCCTGAGATGGCATCCTGCTCCCCCCCCCCAAAGGCAAACAGCAAGGCCAAAGGGATGAGCACAGTCGGGGGGGGTTAATCTGGGAGGGGTGGTCAAGGCAGGACACAAACCCAGATGCTTAACCATTTGTAGGGTGGCACCCATTTCCAAGCTGGCACCCTATAAACGTTTGGGACTACGACTCCCGTCAGCTTCCAGAAGGAAGCCCAGAAGCTGCAGGATTGGACCAGGGGCCGATCTAGTCCAGCATTCTGTTCTGTGATAGGAATTTTGAGGTCTTAGATATCTGTTCAATGTTCATCAATGTACCAACCAAGCACGTACGTAGATCAGCACAGGAAGACCGACCTGGAACCATTTTTGATTCCCAAACTGACCAAATGTTTTCTCTGCAAAGTCAAAGGAAAATGGAAAAGCCTCCCCATTGCCTCCTCCTTCACAAATCCTGTCTTAAGGGTATGTCTGTGTATGAACAGGGTGAGCCTGTGACTTGGCTCAGGAACTAAGTATTTATCATTACAAAAGACTGGCCAGGCTTCTCAGGGTATCGAATCAAGTGACCATTAGCAGGTAGCCTGCCAGACAGGAGATAAACAATGCGCTCAGATTTCTGCTGTAGACCGCCTTTTCTGTGATGTATGTATGATGTTTCTGGGGGTGGTCTTGGACTCCAGGGCTGGCAATTTAAAATGTCTATGTAAGGATGGACACACCTGGGTTCTGGGTTCCTCCTCCCTCCTGCGTGTGGTGAGTAAGGACCCTGTTGCAACAGATCAATAAAGATCAGGCTTACTAGCCGCTTTGCTTCTCAATATTCTCTGGTTGGCCTCTGTTATTTTTTCCTGCCAATAGGGAACCTACGTAAGGACTCTTCACGGGCTCTTGGGTACCCCATAAGGGAAAAGGAGTAGTTTGTTTTTTCCTTACAACATTATTTTTAATGACAGTTTATAAATATTCTTATGAATAGATACAATAAAGGCAACTGACCCATGTCTGAAGAAAGGCAAACAAACATTCCTTTTGGAAGATAATCTCATCATGCTTTATTTGCTTTCGTAAAAGATACAGTTGATTTCCTGTATAACCGTAGGTTTGTTTATTTTCATTTATCTATTGCATAAAATCAAACAGAACTTGGTTGTAAGATTAAAAAAAGCATTTATTTAGGTTCATAACTTGCAGATTTTCTGCCCTTGGGGCCAGGGCCTCAGACCTGCCTCATCTCAGTTATTCTGTCTTCACAACAAGATATATTTTCTGTTTTATGTATTAAAAGGGATGAGGGAAAGTCAGGTCTCTGCCTAATGGTGAATGCACAGGATCGCATTGGTCTTGTGTGAACCTTCCCCAGTCGGAAAGCCCATGAACATTCCATGACACGCGCAAGCCCCTCGGCCAATAGCGGACCAGGAAATGCAGCCGGCCAATGGCGGCCAGGTCCAATTTAATTCTAGCAGAAACGGCAAATCTCGCTAAAGAAGCAATCGCTCACGGTACAAAATTAATGGGTATTTTCGACGACGCGAAATTTTGTCAAAAGAATTGGTTTCGCATATGATCTTGGCAGTAACTGCAACTTAGTAAAAAAAGAAATAACAATTTTAACACAACTCATTCTGCGCCAGGGCGAAAATGTGGGGGGAATTACATGTAATTTGAGATTTCGACAAGAACTAGAACTTCCAGGCACTTTATATGATTTGATTTGAGTTTCTACAGAATGAGGCTGCATTTTAATGTTGTTCTTTAATGTTGTTTTTAAGTTGTATTTTAATCAATTGTTTTTATAGCTGGTGTTAGCCGCCCTGAGCCCGGTCTTGGCTGGGGAGGGCAGGGTATAAATAATACTAATACTAATACTAATAATAAAGTTTTATTTATATCCCCCCCCTCCCCAGCCGAAGCCGGGCTCAGAGCGGCTAACAACAATAAACATAAGACAGTTTACATAAAATCACAATCAATTAATTGAAATACATTCTAAAATCAATTCATTCTAAAATCAATTCAGAATCAAATTGATGGCAACCATTGGGCCATCTGTGAGGAGGGGGTCAGACTGTGCCCTGGCCAAAGGCCAGGCGGAACAGCTCTGTCTTGCAGGCCCTGCGGGAAGATGTCAAGTTCTGCAGGGCCCTGGTCTCTTGGGACAGAGCGTTCCACCAGATCGGGGCCACGGCCGAAAAGGCCCTGGCTCTGGTTGAGGCCAGCCTAACCTCCCTGTGGCCCGGGACCTCCAAGATGTTTTTGTTTGAAGACCGTAAGGTCCTCCGTGGGACATACCAGGTCCCGTAGGTACATAGGTCCTAAGCCGTATAAAAGCCAACCATGACTTCTCCATCTTCAGTTACAATGAGGACTAGTAGGGTGATCAATCAAAGGAGGAAAAAGCGGTTGGTTGCAGCATGGAAGCATAAATAAATCAAATGTAAAGAAAAAGGAATGTACTTTTTAATCATATGTGGTGGTCGTGTAAGGCAGGCATAGGCAAACTCCGGCCCTCCAGATGTTTGGGACTACAACTCCCATCATCCCTAGCTTACAGGACCAGTGTTTTTTATACCTTACTAGTCTATAGGCAACTTCGTTTTTATTATTCTTTTCCATTAATTATCAGTAGAAATTTTCACTTTATAATTTCCTTAAACTCCAATCCTAATCTCCAGTCCTAATCTGTCAGGAGATTTGTGTAATTACAGTGCTTTTAAAGATATTCTTTAAACGTTAGCCAATCTTTACTAAATTTCCGGCCGGAATTTCCTCTTATTCTCCCAGTCATCCTTGCAAGTTCCAAATATTCTATCGTCTTTGCTTGCCAATCAGTTTTTGTGGGGATGGCATCGCCTTTCCAATTTTTTTGCTATTAAAATCCTCGTCGCTGTGGCTGCATACATAAAGAGGGTTCTGTGGGGTTTTTTGTAGATCAGTGGACATAATACCTAACAAAAAGGCTTCAGGGTTGTTGTTTTTCGAAACGAGAATTTGAAGATCTTTTTGAGTTCCTTGTATCTTATGTCCCAAAATTCTCTTATCTTGGCGCAGTACCACCACATGTGCATAAAGGTACCAACTTCCTTCCTGTTTCCTCTAGAGGCCCAGCTCCATCTCGCACATCCAAGAGAACCGGCGAGAGCAGTGGTTGTCGTTCCAAAGGCCGTTTGAATAAGCCTGCACACAGTCCTCTCCGCCTCCCAGTCCGTGGCCGTACCAGTGGTCCGGCTGCCCTTCAGCCCAGTCCCTAAAACAACAGAACCAAAAATCCATCATTTGCAGTGTTCTTGAAAGGAGGGATGGGGAAGACATTTAATGCGTTGCTGATGTTACGATATACAATATCATTATTGTCATTGTCCCATACAGAACAATGAAATTGAAAAACTACATAAAACATTCAAAAACCCCTAAAAACTCTGAAACCCCATTTTAAAATACACTATACTATACTGTAAAAACCCCTAAAAACTCTGAAACCCCATTTTAAAATGCACTATATTTTAAAATACACTATAGGTACCCCTGCCCGTACAGGCCAGTCTTGCCAGACTCTAGGGTTGTGCGCTCATCTCACTCTAGAGGCCGGGAGCCAGCGCTGTCCGGAGACACTTCCGGGTCACGTGGCCAGCGTGACAAGCTGCATCTGGCGAGCCAGCGCAACACACGGAAACGCCGTTTACCTTCCCGCTGGTAAGCGGTCCCTATTTATCTACTTGCACTCAGAGGTGCTTTCGAACTGCTAGGTTGGCAGGCGCTGGGACCGAACGACAGGAGCACACCCCGCCGCGGGGATTCGAACCGCCGACCATGCGATCGGCAAGTCCTAGGCGCTGAGGTTTTACCCACAGCGCCACCCACGTCCCCAAAATACACTATACTATACTATACAAACCCCTAAAAACTCTGAAACCCCATTTTAAAATACACTATACTATACTATAAAATACACTATACTATAAAATACACTATACTATAGAGATGTTGTTCTCCGATTTAGGTAGAAAAAGGTAAAGGTAAAGGTAAAGGATCTCTGTGTGGGAATGTTCAGGAAGGCAGGAGAGGATATATTGTTTATTAATATCCTTCCTAACCTGCGCTAGGGACGCGGGTGGCGCTGTGGGTTAAACCACAGAGCCTAAGGCTTGCCGATCAGAAGGTCAGTGGTTCGAATCCCCGCGACGGGATGAGCTCCTGTTGCTCAGTCCCTGCTCCTGTTCAAAAGCACACCAGTGCAAGTAGATAAAGAGGTACCGCTCCGGTGGGAAGGTAAACGGCGTTTCCGTTCGCTGCTCTGGTTCGCCAGAAGCGGCTTCGTCCTGCTGGCCACATGACCCGGAAGCTGTACGCCGGCTCCCTCGGCCAATAAAGCGAGATGAGCGCCGCAACGCCAGAGTCAGCCACGACTGGACCTAATGGTCAGGGGTCGCTTTACCTTTACCTTTAACTTGTGCTAGCAAGTTCTTTTACTTAGCAGAGTTTTACAGTCCCACTTGGACTATTGCCATGCACTCTACGTGGGGCTACCTTTGAAGGTGACCCGGAAACTACAACTAATCCAGAATGCGGCAGCTAGACTGATGACTGGGAGCGGCTGCCAAGACCACATAACACCAATCCTGAAAGACCTACATTGGCTCCCAGTACATTTCCGAGCACAATTCAAAGTGTTGGTGCTGACCTTGAAAGCCCTAAATGGCCTCAAAGACCCAGTATCCTTGAAGGAGCATCTCCACCCCCGTCGTCCAGCCCGGACACTGAGGTCCAGCGCCGAGGGCCTTCTGGCAGTTCCCTCATTGCGAGAAGCAAAGCTACAGGAAACCAGGCAGAGGGCCTTCTCGGTGGTGGCACCTGCCCTGTGGAACGCCCTCCCATCAAAGAGATAAACAACCACATCTGAACGCAGCCTCTTGTGACAGAGCGTTCCACCAAGTCGGGGCCACGGCCGAAAAGGCCCTGGCTCTGGTTGAGGCCAGTCTAACCTCCCTGTGGCCTGGGACCTCCAAGATGTTTTTAGCTGAAGGCCATAAGGTCCTCCGTGGGACATACCAGGAGAGGCGGCCCCATAGGTACGAGACTTCACCCCCAAAGTACACAAATACATTTTCTCCTGAGACAGAAGGATTCCGGCATTAATTATTAGTGCCAAAACAGTCTAAGCAGCTTATGAGCATGAGAATAAATTATACGGGCGTTAAAATCTCCGCATCCAGAATTTAAACGCACAATGCAAATTGCCTTTCTTGGAACGCTCTGTAAAAGTGTGATATAGTCTGTCTTTCTTTCTTTCTTTCTTTCTTTCTTTCTTTCTTTCTTAACATAAGCTGAGCCCTAAGGCAGGATGCTGAGGATATTGTGAGTTAGGGCAGGAAGCTGGAGTCTGACTGGGGAGAGAGGGGCGGTGGTTTATGGGGAACTGCGCTGGCCAGGAAGCAAGAATGAATCAGGGGTTGGGGGAAGTTTCAGAGCGGTTGGAAGAAGAGGCAGGCCAGGAAAGGAGGGGTTGGAAGAAGAGGCAGGCCAGGAAAGTGTAGGACCAGGCACTGCCCAGCCTCTCCTGCACCAGAGCCAGAGGGGGAATGAAAAGAAAAGAGCATAGGACATTTCCATGAAGGTGTCGTCTCCGGCTGCAGGTACGCAGCCAGCCAGGGGAAGGTATATAAACTAGCAGAATGGGAATCGTCCTCTGTTGCTGCAACTTTGCCATAAAGCACAGAGCTGGGAATAGCCACCATATGCTAGATTGGTGTGCTGCAGAAATGATAATAATAATAATAATAATAATAATAATAATAATAATAATAATAATAATAATAATTTATTATTTGTACCCAGCCCATGTGGCTGGGTTTCCCCAGCCACTCTGGGTGGCTTCCAACAAAGATTAAAAATTGAATGTTATCTTTGGCGTTTCCGAGCACAATTCAAAGTGTTGGTGCTGACCTTGAAAGCCCTAAATGGCCTCAAAGACCCAGTATCCTTGAAGGAGTGTCTCCACCCCCATCGTTCTGCCCGGACGCTGAGCTCCAGCTCTGAGGGCCTTCTGGTAGTTCCCTCCCTGCGAGAAACCAAGTTACAGGGAACCAGGCAGAGGGCCTTCTCGGTGGTGGCACCTGCCCTGTGGAACTCCCTCCCACCAGATGTCAAAGAGAACAAGAACTACCAAACTTTTAGAAGACATCTGAAGGCAGCCCTATTTAGGGAAACTTTTAATATTTGATGCATTACAGTATTTTAATATTTTGTTGGAAGCTGACCAGAGTGGCTAGGGAAACCCAGCCAGATGGGCGCGGTATAAATAATAAATTATTAGTAGTAGTATTAGTATTATTAGTACAGGGGTGCCCCGCAAGACGAATGCCTCGCAAGACGAAAAACCCGCTAGACGAAAGGGTTTTCCGTTTCTGAGTTGCTTCGCAAGACAATTTTCCCTATGGGCTTGCTTCGCAAGACGAAAACGTATTGCGAGTCTTGCGATTTTTTCCCGCTCCCCCCCCCTTTTTCTAAGCCGCTAAACCGCTAATAGCCTTTTAGCCGCTAAGCCGCTAAGCCTTTAATAGCCGCTAAACCACTAATAGCGCTAATCCGCTAAGCCGCTAATAGGGTTGCTTCGCAAGACGAAAAAACCGCTAGGCGAAGAAACTCGTGGAACGGATTATTTTCGTCTTGCGAGGCACCACTGTAGTATTATTGGTATTATTATTTGCACTTTCTCCCAGAGTCTTGCTGGTCAAGCCTCGTGTGTATTTTATTAATCAGAGTCCAATCATTCCTTGCTTTTGGGACGCAATTCTTCCTTGTTTTTGGGGGATTTCTTTAGCTGCGATGACAGCACCGCAGAGGGTTGGGTGGAGTGGGAAACAGCCGCGTCTGTGCATGGGGCATCAAACTCACTCTTGCTGGAGCATGTAAGAAGTCCCGTCCACCCACTTCCAGACTCCCGTGACGTCCGTCAGGCCGATCCATATGTCAACGGACCTCCAGCGCTGACTCACAAATCTCTGGGGGGGGGGGGGAGAAACGTCGCTGCATGTCAAAGAGCAAGCAGGCAATAAATCACACCGTTCAAAGTCAGAGTTAACCCTTTATTAGCGAGAACAGGGCCGGATTTGGGTTTGACGAAGCCCTAAGCCACTGAAGGTAATGGGGCCCTTTCTATGTCCAGCTGTCCTTTGCCAACAACAAATTGTCGCTGTTTTTTTGTGTTGAATATATGCCATATGGTCATTTATGGACCTCATAGGTACCTCAAGCCGTTTGAACATGCAGAATGTAGGCACCCTATATATAAAGGTAAAGGTACCCCTGCCCGTACAGGCCAGTCTTGACAGACTCTAGGGTTGTGCGCCCATCTCACTCAAGAGGCCGGGGGCCAGCGCTGTCCGGAGACACTTCCAGGTCACGTGGCCAGCGTGACAAAGCTGCATCTGGCGAGCCAGCGCAGCACACGGAAACGCCGTTTACCTTCCCACCAGTAAGCGGTCCCTATTTATCTACTTGCACCCGGGGGTGCTTTCGAACTGCTAGGTTGGCAGGCGCTGGGACCGAGCAACGGGAGCGCACCCCACCGCGGGGATTCGAACCGCCAACCTTTCGATCAGCAAGCCCTAGGCGCTGAGGCTTTTACCCACAGCGCCACCCGTGTCTCACAAATAGAAAGGAGCAAACCTGTGATATTTTAGGGAGCTGGCCAGCAGGCGGGGCCCACGACTTACATCACAGGAGAATAAAAAGTAAAGATAAAGGTACCCCTGACCATTAGGTCCAGTCGCGGACGACTCCATTGTCTTTTGCTTACCTGTGTTAAGGGCTTATTTGTGTCTGAATAGGGTGAGCCTAGATTCAGGAATTGAAGTATTAACCATCACAAAAGAATGGCCAGGCTGCCCAGGTAAAGCAATCAGGGACCATTATCAGGTATCCTGGCAGACAGGATTTCCGCTGTAGACCGCCTCCTTCTGTGATGTAGCTATGATGTTTTGGGCTACAGGGCCAAATGTCTATATAAGGGGGGGCACACCTTGGTTCTGGGTCCTCCTCCTTCTCCTGCGTGTGAAGGGGGCACCCTGTTGCAACAGATCAATAAAGATCAGGCTTACGAGCTGCTTTGCTTCTCAATATTCTCTGGTTGGCCTCTGTTATCTTCTCCGACCGATGGACAACCTGCAAAGGCCTCGGCCCAGTATACCTGAAGGAGCGTCTCCACCCCCATCGTTCTGCCCGGACACTGAGGTCCAGCTCCGAGGGCCTTCTGGCGGTTCCCTCATTGCGAGAAGCAAAGCTACAGGGAACCAGGCGAAGGGCCTTCTCGGTGGTGGCGCCCGCCCTGTGGAACTCCCTCCCGCCAGATGTCAAAGAGAACAACAACTACCTGACAGTCAGAAGACGTCTGAAGGCAGCCCTGTTCAGGGAAGTTTTTTATGTGTGACATATTAGTGTATTTTTGGTCTTTGTGGAAGCCGCCCAGAGTGACTGGGGAAACCCAGCCAGATGGGCGGGGTACAAATAATAAATTTATTATTATTATTATTATTATTATTATTATTATTATTATTATGGCTCTTGTGTCCCCCATAAGGGAATAAGGGCAGATTTTTGTTTATTACAAAAGGGAAAGGAACCTTTGGGTAAAGGGTTGTTCGGTGAGGTGGGGAGAATTTATATAAGTGAGAGCGGGTCCATCGGCAAAGAGGAAAAAGTGCCCACGCGCCCATCTCAAGGACTGGCATGTCCACAGGTGCACACAAGGACCTGACACCCTTTGCCACCCACCACCCACCCGGGGAGAGGCCTCCAAACCCACCCACCCACCCCCACCTACTTTCTCTTGCGGCGAGTTGATGATCACCAAGTGAGCCTCTTTCTTCTCGCAGTCCAGCTTGGCCTGGTTCCAAGAAGCCGCGTCCTGAGACATCCAATAGCAGCTTTCCTCGAAATTCTTCCAGCCTTTGGGGCAGCACCCAGTTTTGCTCCCTATAACGGACGGAGGAGGGGAGAGGAAAGGTTTGAGGAGTTGTTTACCTGCTTGCAAGAGCTGCACCCTGTTAACGGGAAAATCCGAGGGCTCCCTTGGACAAAAAGTAAATACACCAACCAGGATAACTTGGAGCAAATCAGCAGCCTGTAGGCTTGGCTTTTATTGATCTGTTGCAACAGGGTGCTCCCCTCACTTGCAGGAGAGAGGAAGGACCCAGAAAAAATGGTGTGCAAGACCTTATAAAGACTTTTGAAATTCCCACCCTGTAGGTCAAGACCACCCCCAGAAACATCATGCATATATTACAGAAAGGAGGGGTTGAGGGAGGAGTTGTGGAGGTAACCTGAGTGTCCTGTCACCTGGCTGGTTCCTCCTTTCCCCCTCCCCATGAGTACTTTCCAGGTGACAGAGGGGAGTTTCCAGTTTCCTGCCCCCAGAGGGAAGATCTGATCATTGTCCTTTGTTCCAGTCCGTGCTGAATCCACTCCCATATGCAAGTTCTTTGTGATCTTGATGGTCTTCTGTCTAGGACCATCAGGGTTGGCATAGCAACTGGGCAGGGCTCCTGTGGATGTGCTGGGATGGTGAAGGGATTATGGTGGCCTGTATCAAACCTTCCCCATTTTGTAGTCCTTCCTTCATGGAGTAAAATAAAAATGGAACAGTGCAAATCCGATGTATGGTTGATTTTCTATGAATTTATAACAGAAGCGTAGTGTATGTAGTGTGTGAGTGTGAGTGTGTGAAGTTTGTACAAACTGAATGATTGGGGGGGGGGTTTCCTGCTACAACCCATAACCCCCCACCTCTGTGGGAGGGGGAAAAATGTTTTCAGCACTGTTATAAGAAAAAACTGCTCCTTTTCCCCTTATGGGGTATCTAAGAGTATAGCATGGGGAGGCAAACTAAGGCCCTGGGGCAGGATCCGGCCCAATCGCCTTCTCAATCTGGCCCGCAGACGGTCCAGGAATCAGCGTGTTTTTACATGAGTAGAATGTGTCCTTTTATTTAAAGGAGATGAAATAAATGTGCGATCTCTTACCGTTGCTTCTCATCTCCACCAGCTCACAGCGGAAAGCTCTCGAGTCTTGCTTTAAGGTGTCCAACTGGCCTTCAACTTGTTTCTTGACTGGAAGAAAAGACAGAGGATAAAGGAGCGTATTGCAAAGGTAGCGAGGGAGAGACGCCGCTGCGCCCCTGAGCTGCACACTTTCTTCCTGGCCAAATCCTGAGCACCTTGAGGAAGCCGGCACCGGGGTGCAAAGATCTGCCCAGTGGCCCCCCCCCCCCCGCCAGTTGTTGACCTTTCTTTAGGTCGAAGGAGGGAGGAGGATCCCAGAACAATATAGACATTTTAATTCCCTGCCCTGGAGCTCAAGACCACCCCTCCATACATTATACATACATCACAGAAGGGGTGTAGCTCAAGACCACCCCCCAGATACATCATACCTACATCACAGAAAAGGCGGTCTACAGCAGAAATCTGAGTGACTTGTTTATCTGACAGGTTACCTGTTTAATGGTCACTTGATTGGATTGCCTGGGGAGCCTGGCCAGTCTTTTGTAATGATAAATACTTAGTTCCTGAGCCAGTATCTTAAATGTGCCCTTAAGACAGGATTTGTGAAGGAAAAAGACAATGGGGAGGTTTCCCACTTTGACCTTGCAAAGAAATAATTGAGGTCAATTTGTTCAGGACTTTTTTTCTGTGGGGTTTTCAGACATGTGGTTTATATATTTATGTGCATGTTTGTTTGGTACATTTATGAACATGTATTACATATCTATGGGGACGCGGGTGGCGCTGTGAGTTAAACCACAGAGCCTAGGACTTGCCGATCAGAAGGTCGGCAGTTCGAATCCCCATGACGGGGTGAGCTCCCGTTGCTTGGTCCCTACTCCTGCCAACCTAGCAGTTCGAAAGCACGTCAAAGTGCAAGTAGATAAATAGGTACCGCTCCGGTGGGAAGGTAAACGGAGTTTCCGTGCGCTGCTCTGGTGCGCCAGAAGCGGCTTAGTCATGCTGGCCACATGACCCGGAAGCTGTCCACCGGCTCCCTCGGCCAGTAAAGCGAGATGAGCGCCGCAACCCCAGAGTCGGCCACGACTGGACCTAATGGTCAGGGGTCCCTTTACCTTTATTACATATCTAAGACCTTAAAATTCTTATCGCAGCAGCAACTGAGCAAAGCCAGGTCCTTCATGTGAGCAGAATGTGCTGGGCGGTAATCCCAGGTGCGCAGTAGCTGCAGTGCTCTGACGGGCTCGGCTTTGCTCAGCAGCGGCTGTCGACTCTTCCCAATCCCAGACTCCAAATCTCAGCCCAGACTTCCGGCCTGGCGCCCCTGAGAGCCCGGCACCCGGGTGTCCCGCACCCCTAGCACCTATGGGTGAGACGGCCCTGGGCCCACCAAACTCCCGAGCTAGCACAGCGGAGCCGCAGGTCTCTCGGCGAGATCTTAATTAATTAATTTTAGAATGAATGATTTTAGAGTGTTGTTTATGCGGAACTTTTTGTACTGTTTATTGTTGTTAGCCGCCCTGAGCCCGGCTAAGGCTGGGGAGGGTGGGATATAAATAAAAATTTTTATTATTATTAGTAGTAGTAGTAGTATCTGAGGCCAGAGCGACTGTGCTGGTCCTGGGGGCTAACCAAGAGGCGAGGTCCGAGTCCAGTCTGAAGTCGAGGGTGCGGTATGGAGGCTGTCCGTTGAAGCTGGGTCCAAGGCCGGGAATCGGGTGAGGTCAGGAGCTCCGGCATAAAAGCAGGATAGGGTGCAGGCAGGAACTGGCTACCAACAATGTTGCTCCAGCAACTTGGGACTGGGGCTGGCTGGCTTTTATCTGCCCCGAGGCATAGGGCGGCCCCGGTCCACAGGTGACTCGCCTCTCCTGGCCTGGAGGCGAGCACTCCTCCTGCGGGAACTTAGTTCCCTCCGCCTCTCTGCCCTGAGCCTCTGCAGCTCAGGAGAGGCTGGAGGGTTACCGGACCCAGAGGCAACCTCACCTTCCCCTCCATCACCTCAGGAGCCAGAGCAGACTCAGCTGGTGCCTGCACCTGAGGATCCAGCACAGGTGAGGACCCTTCAGGCTCAAGCCCCAGCCCCGGCTCAGCTGGTTCTGGAGGCGGGGACTCCTGTGCAGGCTGGGATTCCTCAGGTTCAGCCTCTGAGTACGAATCCCAGGCCATCACAGCAACTCAGGTTCAGCGAAGGACGCTTTGCTTTTCCCAGCAGCGCAGCTCAGGTCTTGCAAAGCGTTTGTTTGCCAGCCCCAAGGTCTGAGCTCTGGTGTGCTTTCCTCCCGCCCCTCGCCAACCAAGATTACAAAGCACCCTGTCGGAATCAGCAAGGTGCAAAGGAGCCATTGGAAATATATATACACACACAAATAAAGCTGTATTCGACGGACGAAAGGATAGATGATGTCTGACACGATTGAGAATCGTGGAGCCGGGGACGGAGAATTTTAAAGCGTTAAAATCGAGATGTGGGAAATATGGAAACAACAAGGAGAGGCAGGACTGAGAGGTGGAGATATTGCTTCAGAGGTCCAGACTATGGGGAGCTCCGAAAAATCAACAATTATAATTTGGATTATAATTTGGTCTTTTTTTATTTTAATTGGATTATGATCAGATATATTAATTGGATGCTTTTTATTGGAAAATTAATAAAAATGCTTTTTAAAAAAAGGAGACGGGGAAGGGGGTCTCGCACCCACACCACGTATTGCATGATCGTTCAGGGGGGCCACCCACCTTTCTCCATCTTCGAAACCTGGTCGTTCATCATTTTCTCCAGCGCGGCCAGTTTCGTTCTGGTGTCGTTCCCTGGAATCGGAAACACGGCGGCGATGTGAAAAACTACTTCCTGTTTGCGCTTCTTCTTCTTGCCTCCTCCCTCCCCAATCCACTTTCCTTGTGTGTCGTGTCTTTCAGATCGGATGCCGAAGCACAGAGACCACCTTTGCAAGCTGTTCTGGGAGAGCTTTTTGGTGGCTGACGTGCAGGGCGAAAGGGCTTTGGTTGGAGGAAGGAAGCAGACCAATAAAAGGATGCCCAATGTCTCTGTGCAATCCGCTCTAACCACTGGGGCTCAGCACCTCCTCCTGTTCCTCCCATCCCCTCACTTACTCTTCTCTTGGATGCTGCTGAGCCCTGCTTTCACCGTCAGGTTCAAACTCTTGAGAGCCTCCTTTGCCGCCCCTTGATCTCCGCTGAAACGAGCCCCTGGTGGGAAGCAGATGAAGAGCAAAATTTGAACTCGGCTCTTTGCCTTTCACACACGCCCACGCCTTCTTTCTTGGCATGGATTCTTGGCGCATGCTCGTCTCCTGCTTGACACACTCCCTTCACCACAGTTTACAAACATAAGAACTGCAGAATCATAGAATTAGAATTAGACATCATGTGAAAGGCTGGGCTGGATGAATCCCAAGCCGGAATTAAGATCGGTGGAAGAAATATCAACAACCTCAGATATGCAGATGAGACAACCTTGATGGCAGAAAGTGAGGAGGAATTAAAGAACCTTTTAATGAGGGTGAAAGAGGAGAGCGCAAAATATGGTCTGAAGCTCAACATCAAAAAAACGAAGATCATGGCCACTGGGCCCATCACCTCCTGGCAAATAGAAGGGGAAGGAATGGAGGCAGTGAGAGATTTTACTTTCTTGGGCTCCATGATCACTGCAGATGGTGACAACAGCCAGTCTGCCTCTTCATGGCCCCCTGGACCAGAGCACGCCAGGCACTCCTGTCTTCCACTGCCTCCCGCAGTTTGGTCAAACTCATGCTGGTAGCTTCCAGAACACTGTCCCACCATCTCGTCCTCTGTCGCCCCCTTCTCCTTGTGCCCTCCATCTTTCCCAACATCGGGGTCTTTTCCAGGGGGTCTTCTCTTCTCATGAGGTGGCCAAAGTATTGGAGCCTCAGCTTCAGGATCTGTCTTTCCAGTGAGCACTCAGGGCTGATTTCCTTCAGAATGGAGAGGTTGGATCTTCCTGCAGTCCATGGGACTCTCCAGAGTCTCCTCCAGCACCAGAATTCAAAAGCATCCATTCTTCGGTAATCAGCCTTCTTTATGGTCCAGCTCTCACTTCCATACATCACAACTGGGAAAACCAGAGCTTTAACTATACGGACCTTTGTCGGCAAGGTGATGTCTCTGCTTTTGAAGATGCTGTCTAGGTTTGCCATCACTTTTCTCCCAAGAAGCAGGCGTCTTTTAATTTTGCTGTCACCATCTGCAGTGATCATGGAGCCCAAGAAAGTAAAATCTCTCACTGACCTATATTAAAGGGGCTAGAGGGAATCCTTCTCCCTGTCTCCAGACAGGTAGCTTGCCTGCAGACACATTTCTTTATTTTATTTTATTTTATTTAAATGCCCTGTCCTCCCAGCCTCCCAAGACTTTGCAAATTTTATTACTGGAAAAGGGGGGGGGGACACAGGTGGCGGCAATTCAATTAAGAGGGACGATGTCTGCAAGATAAGCTGTTTTGGGGCCCTTGGAAAAGTGATGATAAAACCACCGCTTGGCAAGGCTAAGTTAATTAATTGGCGCAGTGGGAGCAAGAAGGCGGCGTCCCAGGCGAGCTCTGTAATGAATTTTTTTCCATTTTGGCAGTTTCATAGCTTTGAAATCCCTTTCCTCCAGGTTGGAGCACTTTAAGGTCAGAGCAATTGGAAGTGATGGGAGGAAAGCCGGGCGGAGGTTCAAGAGGAACTTTTTAATTAGTGAGAAAGCTGGGCATCCCCTAAAAAAACCCCAGAATGAAATCCAGTAGAGATACGTTCTGCATCTAATTTGTCAAAAAAGGGACGCGGGTGGCGCTGTTGGTTAAACCACAGAGCCTAGGACTTGCCAATCAGAAGGTCACGGTTCGAATCCCCGCGATGGGGTGAGCTCCCGTTGCTCGGTCTCTGCTCCTGCCAACCTAGCAGTTCGAAAGCACGTCAAAGTGCAAGTGGATAAATAGGTACCACTCCAGCGGGAAGGTCAACAGCGTTTCCATGCGCTGCTCTGGTTCACCAGAAGCGGCTTAGTCCTGCTGGCCACATGACCTGGAAGCTGTACGCCAGCTCCCTCGGCCAATAAAGCGAGATGAGCGCTGCAACCCCAGAGTCAGTCATAACTGGACCTAATGGTCAGGGGTCCTTTTTTAATTTGTCAAAAAAACAGAAAAGGGAAGGAGGGAGGACACACACACACACAAATGTCTTTAGGCGCCAGGCGAAAACATTCCCCTGGAAATGTGGGCATCCGATGAATGTCGAGAGATTCAGGACAGTGTGATAGGAATTTTGAGGTCTTAGGTAAAGGTGAAGGGACCCCTGACCATTAGGTCCAGTCATGGACGACTCTGGGATTGCAGCGCTCATCTCGCTTTACTGGCCGAGGGAGCCGGCATACAGCTTCTGGGTGGCCAGCAGAACTAAGCCGCTTCTGGCGAACCAGAGCAGCGCACGGAAACGCCGTTTACCTTCCCTCCGGAGTGGTACCTATTTATCTACTTGCACTTTTGACGTGCTTTCGAACTGCTAGGTTGGCAGGAGCAGGGACTGAGCAATGGGAGCTCCCCCCCCCCCCCCGTCCTGGGGATTCGAACCGCCGACCTTCTGATCGGCAAGTCCTAGGCTCTGTGGTTTAACCCACAGTGCCACCTGCGTCCCTTTTGAGGTCTTAGATATATGCTAAATGTTCATAACCAACCAAGCATGTACATAGATCAGCACAGGAAGACCGACCTGAAACCATTTTGATTCCCAAACTGAGCAAATGTTTTCTCTGTGTGAAAATGTTTTCTCTGTGTGAAAATGTCGAGCAATGTGAAATAATAATAATAATTAATAATAATAATATGACTGCAAGTACGTGGCAATCCTTTCTAATGATTTCTCTGCAATTTCCCACACAGTTTACTTACCAAGCAAAACTAAATTAATATTCATCTAACCAAAATGGAATTCCTGAGCCATTTCACAACTTTTAAGGACCCCCTAAGCTGAAAAATTCAACATGCCCTAGCGAGGTGCAGTCCCAAATTTCTGGAGGCCGAAGGGCACCAGGTTGGGGAAGCCGGCCTCTGTGCACCCAATCCCCCGCTTCCTTTCCCCCAATGCTGTGGCGCCCATCACTCACTCTGAACGCCAAGCAGAGCCACCGAGAGAGTCAAGACAAAACAGAATCCCATCAGGACCAAGACGAGGCGGTTGGTGGGGCAGATCCGGCGCCAGGGCGACTGGAACGGAGGCAGCGCTGTGGGGAGGAAAAGAGGGGTGGCTCTTGGGTCTACTCTCAGTCTCCTCTTCCCCAGGCTAAACATCCCCAGCTCCCTCAACCGTTCCTCATCAGGGTTTCACAGGGTGCGAAAGAAGGGCTTTGCACCTTGCCCGGCAGAGAAACTGCCCACCTTGCGCCCCCCTGGGCAACGGCCACCCACTCGTGACTCCCGAACCTCCCCCGATCTGTCAAAACAAAGGCGGAAAGGGGCAGGAGTACTGTACCGCCGGACGTCCCCGGTTCCCCTTCGGCAGCAGCGGCAGTCAGCAGCCTGGAGCCAGCCTGGTAGCGCAGTTGGCTCTGGCTGGCGTCAGGAGCTGCCCGCTGCCGTGGCGCCTGCGGTTTTTCCTCGCCGGAAGTCCCCTTGTGATATGTTGCACACAAGACACATCATATGGGGACTTTTGGCGAGGAAAAATGGCAGGCGCCACAGCAGCGGGCAGCTCCTAAAGCCAGCCAGAGCCAACTGCGCTACCAGGCTGGCTCCGGCCTGCTGAGGCTGCCGCTGCCACATTTCCCGGGGACAGATTTGCAAATCCGGGAACTCTCCTCGGCAACCGGGGACGTCTGGTAACCCTAGTATGAGCCAAACAAGCTATAGCTTAAGGCACCACTCTCTTGGGGGCCCCCAAAAATTTAAAGGGGAAAATACTGGATGTACATTTCCAAAATACAGTGGTACCTTGGGTTACATATGCTTCAGGTTACAGACGCTTCAGGTTACACACTCCACTAAGCCAGAAATAGTGCTTCAGGTTAAGAACTTTGCTTCAGGATGAGAACAGAAATCGGGTCCCGGCAGCGCGGCGGCAGCAGGAGGCCCCATTAGCTAAAGTGGTGCTTCAGGTTAAGAACGAACCTCCAGAACGAATTAAGTACTTAACCTGAGGTACCACTGTATAAGATAAAAAAGAAATAAAATAAAACCTGCCTACAGCAACAGTGTTTTGTGTTGCATAGGCTCCTAGGATGTAAGTGATGGGCCCCGCCTGCTCGCCTGCTCCCTAAAATATCCCTGGTTTGCTCCTTTCTATATAGAGGGTGCCTACATTCTGCTATTTATAATTGTTTGTAGTTTGCACCACATATTTACACCTATTATTATTTCATTTTAGCAAGTTTCTAGAGGCTGGATGATGAGCCCTTGTAAATTGTGTTTCAAAAGGAACTTTTGTTATCGCCCAATGCCAATGTGTTTGCATTATGAAGTTTGTTATGAGTAAACAATCATTTTAAGTTAAAGATTAATCAATATTTCACTACTAATATACTTCTTAATTGTATTTCAGTTCAACAATCACTTTGATAAAATACACACAGTTGACGCTCAGGCTGCGAACGTGATCCATGCAGGAGGCACGTTCGCAACCCGCAGCGTTCGCAACCCATGTCTGCGCATGTTGTGATTTGGCGATTCGGCACATGCACAACCGCCGTAACCCGGAAGTAACCCGTTCCGGTACTTCTGGGTTTCGGCGGTCCGCAACCCAAAAAAACACAACCTGAAGCAGCTGTAACCTGAGGTATGACTGTGATGTGCAAATGGCTTGAGATACCTATGAGATCCATCAATGACCATATAGCATACCATATTTTTCGCTCCATAAGACGCACTTTTCCCCTCCTAAAAAGTATGGGGAAATGTGTGTGCATCTTATGGAGCAAATGCAGGGGGGAGGCAGGCGGGAAAAGCCCCCAAAAGCCGCACACAAGCTCTGCGCGGCTCTTGCGGGCTTTTCCTCAGGAGGGAGAAGGGACTGACGCGGCCAGTCAGTCCCTTCTCCCTCTTCGTAGAAAAGCCTGCAGGAGCTGTGCGCTCCTTAAAGGATGTGCGGCTCCTGTGGGCTTTTGCAGGAGGTGGGGGTATTGCCATAGCTGCGCGCAGCCTCTCTCTGCCGGAGAGGTTGCGCGGGACTAAAGAAGTCATAGCCCTGCGCAGCCTCTCCCGGCTGGAGAGGTTGCACGCGGCTATGGCAGAAGCCAAGACAGCGAGTGGGATGCATCCCACTCGCTGTCTTGGCTTCTTTGCTCTTTGGGGCTGGGGGGGGGACCTGGGCTTCCCCGGCAGCCCCGAGAACCTCTCGGAGCAGTGGGAAGGCTGCGCGCCTTTCCGCTCCTCCCCGACCTGCTCTTTGGGGCTGGTGGTGGGCTTCCCCCCACCAGCCCCAAAGAGCAGGTCGAAAGGAACCCAAAGCCTCCGGAGTGCAGCGGGAACTCCCGCCGCGCTCCGGAGGCTTCGGGTTGCCTTCATTGAAGCCTGGAGAGCGAGAGGGGTCGTTGCACAGCGACCCCTCTCACTCTCCTCCAGACTTTCAAGGTAGCCGCCTGAAGGCGATTGAACGCACCTTGTTTTAGAGGGGGAGAACAAGAAAAAAATATTCTCCCCCTCTCTGCGCAGCACCTCCTGCTGCTTCGTTGAAGGGGCGCTGGGCAGAGAGGGGGGGAATTTATTTTTTCTTGCTCTCCCCCTCTAAAACAAGGTGCGTCCTATGGTCCGGTGCATCCTATAGAGCGGAAAATATGGTATATTCCACACAGAAAAACAGCGGCAATTTGATGTTGACAAAGGACAGCTGGACATGGAAAGGGCCCCATTACCTTCAGTAGCTGAGGGCCGCGTCAAACCTAAATCCGGCCCTCCCCACACCCAGTCCGATGGGCCGGCCCCGCTCCATCACTACTGCGTACCTCTCCCGAAGTGCTGCCCACGTTTGCCTGGCACATCCAGGCTTTGGAGATCTTCGTACTCCTTGGCCATGCTGGGTTCGGGAGGAGGGTCCATGTCGATGGAGGTGGAGCGAGGCGGAATATCTGGTGGGACCTGAAAGCTGCAAAGATGAACGGGGAGTTGGGTTTTCTTGCAGTGCAGCGGGTTGGGCTGGATGACTGCTGGGGTTCCCTTCCAACTCGGCAACCCTCGGACTCCTCCCTCGCTTTCCTTTCTTCGGGTTTACTTTTTTCTCGCCCAGTGTTCTTTCTGCCCATATAGTCTTTTTTATAATAATATATAAAGATAAATGTTTATTTATACTCCGCCCTTCCCGGGCTCAGGGCAGCTAACAACAAATTTAAAACAATTGATGCAACGAAAAAACAGCATAAAATACAATATGAAACGTGAATAACAATAAATTCAGAATTCAAAAATCAATTTAGGGGGGAAATCCATCCAGTAAACATTAGATGATCACCAGGGCTAGCTGACTAAATTAGTCCTATTTGGGCCAGCGAGGAGACCAGGGAAGAATTAGCTGTGGGATCCCAGAGCGGGTAATCTTCATATTACCTCCCCAGCCAAGACCAGGCTCAGGGCGCATACACCAAATATAAAAACAATTGATTGAAATATACCTTAAAAAACAAGATTAAAACACAACATTAAAACATTAAAATGCAACCTATTAAACCTTAAAAGCTTCCCTAAACAGGGCTGCCTTCAGATGTCTACTTGCTTGTCAAAAGAAGTTGTCATCTCCCTGGCACGGAGGGGGTCCTTCCACCGGGTCGCTCTCTAGTTGGGGGGCCAGGGGCGCTTCCGAAAATCGCAATTTCCTCTTCTCCCCGTCAAAAACGTCGACCTGGGCAAAGTTTGGACAAAGTCACGACCTGCCAACGAACCAATTTCCCAATCGGCACCAACCTTCCCTGGCCAAAAGCAGGCAGGTTGGCGGGTGCCCAGGGGGCAAGATTGCCACGGGGCGAGCTGCCACGGAAGAGGGATGTGGGCACGGTTTTGGGGCGTCTGGGGTGGCCTGGCCGCCCCCCTTTTACCTCCTCCCTCCTTTTTCCAAGTAAAAAATTTCAGGCCCTCATCCTGTTCCCAATCACCGCGCAACTCAATGACCTTTGCTCTGTCAATATTATTTCTCCCCAAAGCGGCCTTTCCAAAATGCTACCACCCCACAGAAAGTTTGGGGCGGGGATTTCCAGATGGATAGTGTAATAAAAAAAATTAAGGTCTTATATATATGTATATGTATATGTATATGTATATGTATATACACAAACACACATTTCTATTAGTTTTTTAACATATACCTTTCAACAGTAATTAAACATACTTTTCCATCTTATTCAACTTTTTTTGACTTCCATCAGTCCTGTCTGAAAATTTTCCAGTCTAATCTCTCAGTATGCATTTCTTATTTTCCCTCTTACATTTCAAACTCAGAACCAATATCTCTATCTTTTTCTACTTTGTAACACTTGGTATATTTCTCCTTACAAAACCTTTTGTAGTCCTACTAGCGTAATTTGTTGGTTACAGTTGCTCTTCAAATAGTTCGTATATTTCTTCCAATCTTCTGTGAATCTCTGGTCCCACAGGCTTCAAATCCATTTTTGTCCAATTCTGCATAGTCCATTAATTTCGTCAGGTAAGCAAAAGGCAATGGAAAGGCTTTTCCCCATTTCCTCCTCCTTGCAGGGAAACATTTGAGGTCAATTTGGGAGAGTCCAAGTGGCTTCAGGATTGCTCTCCCATACTATTTCAGACACGTGGTTTACATACTTAGGTATGTATTTGCCTTGTACATTTGTTGTTGTTGTTGAGTCGTTTAGTCGTGTCCGCCTCTTCGTGACCCCCTGGACCAGAGCACGCCAGGCACTCCTGTCTTCCACTGCCTCCCGCAGTTTGGTCAAACTCATGCTGGTAGCTTCAAGAACACTGTCCCACCATCTCGTCCTCCGTCGTCCCCTTCTCCTTGCGCCCTCCATTTTTCCCAACATCAGGGTCTTTTCCAGGGAGTCTTCTCTTCTCATGAGGTGGCCAAAGTATTGGAGCCTCAGCTTCAGGATCTGTCCTTCCAGTGAACATTTGTGAACATTTAATTGTACATTTATGAACATTTAATTTATATATGGGACGTGGGTGGTGCTGTGGGTTAAACCACAGAGCTTAGGACTTGCCAATCAGAAGGTTAGCGGTTCGAATCCCCACAACCGTTGCTCGGTCCCTGCTCCTGCCAACCTAGCAGTTCAAAAGCACGTCCAAGTGCAAGTAGATAAATAGGTACCACTCCGGCGGGAAGGTAAACGGGGTTTCCGTGCGCTGCTCTGGTTCGCCAGAAGCGGCTTAGTCCTGCTGGCCACATGACCCGGAAGCTGTACGCTGGCTCCCTCGGCCAGAAAAGCAAGATGAGCGCCTCAACCCCAGAGTCGGCCACGACTGGACCTAATGGTCAGGGGTCCCTTTACCTTTACCTTAAATTTATACATTTGAGACCTTAAATTCTTATAACAGTCCAGGGGTCAGCAAACTTTTTCAGCAAACTTTTTCAAACTTTTTTCAGTCCTTTCAAATAAAAGGACACAGTCTACTCATGTAAAAACACGCTGATTCCCGAACCATCCGTGGGCCGGATTGAGAAGGCGATTGGGCCGGATCCAGCCCCTGGGCCTTAGTTTGCCTACCCATGATGTAAACCTTGTCTAACTGGCTGGGTCTCCCCAGCCACTCTGGGCAGCTCCCAACAAAATATTAAAAACAGGATAAAACGTCAAACATTCTCGCATTCAGCTTCTTCAGAGGTCCACAACTTCCAGCGTTATGAGAGAGGGAGAAAACTGCCACCTCCAGGAACTCGCATTCGGGTCACATCCATATCATACCTTAAAAGCAGACCCCTGTGGCCAGCGCATCCCCCCCCCCCGCTGCCGCCAAGAATTCTGGGAACTGTAGTTTGTTCAGGATGCCGAAAGTTGTTAGGGGGCCTACAGACACCCCAATTTCCCCTCCCAGACTGGTTTAATGGTCAGTTTCTCTTCTCTGGGAAAGTAAAACACAACCATCACTATATCCCATAATTTCACACTCTACAGATTTACAATTCTACAAATATCTCAATAATAAAATTTCATTGATTGACTTCCAAGATTAAATCTTGTAGCAGCATTGGTGTTTCCGATGCTGCTATAGCGTCAGGGCCAAACTGCCTTTGGAAATATGTGTTTCACTGGTTAATCTGTACTTGACTTGCAAAGCCGTATATTCCACAAATTTGTAATTTCCATCAATTAATTGATTCAATGGCAAACCGCTTTGATTTTTTGTAAATTTTTATTACCATCCACCAGTGTATAAAACTTGTGAAATAGATGATCTGAAGGATCTGTTTAAAAGATTACCTCTCTGGAAGGACCTGAAAAGTCTAATTATCCTGACCATTGGCCACACCTGTGACTCTCAGGTGAAACTACCAGGTAGGTAGGTTTTTCCCCAATCAATCACATCCTGTCCATTTCAGGCTGCAAAGTTAAAGTGGATTCCTTCTATTTCCACGACCCCCAAAATGTGTCAGACTTCCTGAAATAAAGGAAACTGATAGTATATTGGAAAGTTTGGGGTGACTATTAACCAGTGCAACATTTTATAACCCTCCCTGCAAACGAATACGAATGAATAATGTGCGATAAATTGCCGATAGCATTTCATCTTCTTGCAAACGAGACACGGGCTGCGATCTCTCTCTCTTTTTTAAATAAATCATTTTTATTAATTTTTGCATATGTTTTCCAAACAAAACTTCACATCACATCATCTTCATTTTGGCTATTATAGCCTGAGGCTTCCATCAATCCCGTCTAGCGCTTTTCAAATTTGCTATCTCATCTTTCATTTTGTTATTATAATTAATGCTTTTCAACTTCCTTTCCGAATTATTTCCTTCCGAAATCCTTTTACGGTAATTTATATAGCTCCCCCCCTTACAAAACTTCTTGTAAACCTACAAGCGAGGTTACATTAATGCAATTGTCTTTCAAATAATTTATATATTTCTACCAATCCTTAAGAAAGTCCTGGTCTTTCTGGTTTTGAATTCTCCCAGTCAACTTCGCCAGTTCTGCATACTCCATCAGTTTTATTTTCCATTCCTCCTTTGTTGGTAATTCTTCCTGTTTCAATCATTGGGCTAGTAATACTCTCGCTGCTATAATTGCATATAAAAACAGATTTTTGTCTATTCATTTCAGTACCTACAATGCCAAGTAAAAATGCTTCTGGTTTCCCCCCCACAAATGTATATTTAAACATTTCATTCATCTCATTATATGTATCATTTCCCAGAAGCATTTTACTTTCTTACAATCTCCACCCCATGTGGTAAAAGGTACCTTCTTTTTCTTTACATTTCCAACATTTATACATTTTGGGCAACTTTACTGGTGTTACGGGCTGCAAGCTCTTTGAGCTTACTTCAGAGTAAACCTCCCTAGGATTGGGCTGCATATCCGTTTGAACTCAGTTGGACAGAGTAAACCTGCATAGAACCAGCACCAGAACCATGTCCACTTTAAAGATGAAAAATATTCTTTGCATAAAGTTTAGAAAAATCCCCAAGAAATGAATCTTTGCAGAAGGCCTTAATCCTGACCACCACATAGGGGTTCATAGAATAGAATAATAGAATCCTAGAGTTGGAAGAGACCACAAGGGCCATCGAGTCCAACCCCCTGCCAAGCAGGAAACACCATCAGAGCACTCCTGACATATGGTTGTCAAGCCTCTGCTTAAAGACCTCCAAAGGGAGACTCCACCACACTCCTTGGCAGCAAATTCCACTGTCAAACAGCTCTTACTGTCAGGAAGTTCTTCCTAATGTTTAGGTGGAATCTTCTTTCTTGTAGTTTGGATCCATTGCTCCGTGTCCGCTTCTCTGGAGCAGCAGAAAACAACCTTTCTCCCTCCTCTATATGACATCCTTTTATATATTTGAACATGGCTATCATATCACCCCTTAACCTCCTCTTCTCCAGGCTAAACATGCCCAGCTCCCTTAGCCGTTCCTCATAAGGCATCGTTTCCAGGCCTTTGACCATTTTGGTTGCCCTCCTCTGGACACGTTCCAGTTTGTCAGTGTCCTTCTTGAACTGTGGGTTAAATCAATGATTTTTTTAGTTGAGAGGTGACAAAAGTGAGAATAGTTTAATTGGTAGAATAGGAGATTCTTAATCTCAGGGTTACGAGTTGGAGTTCCACGTTGGGCAAAAGATTCCTGCATTGCTTTTTTTGCTAGGAATTATAGGATACTGTTGTTGTTTAGTCATTTAGTCGTGTCCGCCTCTTCGTGACCCCCTGGACCAGATCACGCCAGGCCCTCCTGTCTTCCACTGCCTCCTGCAGTTTGGTCAGACTCATGTTCGTAGCTTCGAGAACACTGTCCCACCATCTCGTCCTCTGTCGTCCCCTTCTCCTTGTGCCCTCCATCTTTCCCAATATCAGGGTCTTTTCCAGGGAGTCTTCTCTTCTCATGAGGTGGCCAAAGTCTTGGAGCCTCAGCTTCAGGATCTGTCCTTCCAATGAGCACTCAGGGCTGATTTCCTTCAGAATGGAGAGGTTGGATCTTCTTGCAGTCCATGGGACTCTCCAGAGTCTCCTCCAGCACCAGAATTCAAAAGCATCCATTCTTCGGCGATCAGCCTTCTTGATGGTCCAGCTCTCACTTCCATACATCACTACTGGGAAAACCAGAGCTTTTACTAGACTGACCTTTGTTGGCAAGGTGATGTCTCTGCTTTTTAAGATTCTGTCTAGGTTTGTCATTGCTTTTCTCCCAAGAAGCAGGCGTCTTTTAATTTC